GACAGTTTCAGCAGTACTGGCTGTCAAAAAGCATTTCAAAATCCCATCTGTCATCTCAGTTTTCTTTGCACAGGGAACACCCCTCCACCTGCCTGTGTCACTGATCTGTTACTGCATTGTGCAAATGTCTGCATAATGTCTCAGCGGTCAAACAGGGTGAGCATTTTGTTTGTTTGTCTGTGTAAATTATGAGCTGAATTGTTGTAGCTACAGGCATATGTACATTCGATGCGGCCTTGTGACCTTTATGTATTCTGGAGAAAAATATGCTGATAAAAGAGGTTTTCTGATGAGCTGACCTGAAATAATTATGTTTTTTTTTGTTTTTTTTTTAATCCTAAAAAAAAAACAAAAAGCACGAACAACTACTAATGGCTGCTTATAAATGACTTTAATCCCACTCTCTGACATTTGATCAGATTAAAGTAGTGGATCAATATGGAGGAGGAAGACACTGAATAATAACGAAGCACATGGGTTGGACCACATTTCAGACGACGTAATACCATCTGTTCTTGCTTTAGACACAGCTCATCAATTACTGTATATACATTATGATCATTATACTATACTTACAGTGTAGATAACTGATTAAAATCATACACATTTTCTTCAAAACCAGGAGCTCAACTTGGTCCCTTTAATGAAGTCTGCTTTGTCTTTCTCCTGACTGATTAAACTGCATGTGCTGTATGTAAGAGACACATGGCGTACTGTAGATATTTGTAGTTGAATCAAAATGAAATCTGAAAAGGACTGAGAAATTGTGAGTGGGTGCTGTAACTGGCAGTTCTTTTCTCTACTTATATTTCACATCTACTTTTTCACGCCACTGAAGCCTAAAATAATGATAACATATGAGTTTCAAGCAGAGACTGCCCCGTTGTCATGGAGGTGCAGATCTTCATCTTCATCACTGCAGAGACACACTGTACCTCTGTACCAGGCCCCTCTGGAGTGTGTGACAAAAGCAGCAGATGGTGATTGAAGGTCTACAACACAACTCTATATCTGATACTCAAGACCCCCTTGGGATCCCAACAGGAAAACTACAGCTAGAAAGCATTCCCGAATCCTTCCCCTAATGGTTACGAGAAAGATTCAGGCGTGACGATGCTCTTTTAAACTAAGCACATAGTGTAAATGATCAAATTAAAGATGGCTGGACTCTGTTTAGTTGCTTCTGTCATGGTTTGCCGTGGGGGACTTAATGTTTGGACTTTTAGACTCTTTATGTTTGGACATTTGTTTTATTTCCTGTTTTATTTTGAAATCACTCTCCTTGTGTCTCTCATGTTAGATCTACTTCCTGTCTTTGCCCTGTTTCCCTCCTTTGTGATTGTCTGCCCTGCCCTAATGTGTTACACCTGTGTCCAATCACCCACGCTTCACTAGTGTGTTTAGTCTCTGTGCTCCCACTTCTCTGTCAGGCCGTCTGTTGACGTCTTCTCGAAGTGTTCCCTTGTTGTATCCTGATGAACTCCAGCTTAGTTCCTGTTCACTTTCGTTTTGGATTTTGAGGTAATTACCATTTCACCAGTTTTGTACTTTTCCTTTTGTTTATTAGAATGTTGGCTGCTCTCAGGTTCTAACTAAGTGTAATTTTATTCCATTTTATTTGAATGAATTTAGTTTTATGGTTTTTTTTGGGTTTTTTTTTTTTTTGGCCTCAATTTATATGCGAAGGTCTAATCTGTTTTCTTTTGAAAAAAAACTTGTTTACAACCCAAAATGCAGCATTCATTTGGCATGTTGCTCTAAATGTCAAGTCAAGAGTGTGATGTTTGCTTGTTTATACCCCTTGGACATCAATTATACATCTCCTTCAGCCTACCCTTCAGCTAAATGTGTAACCCTTGAACATGGCATGAAAAGAACACAGAGGCTGACCTCTCACTGAGAGAAAGGAATGTACTTATTTGGCTCCACATATTTTGATACTGTTTATTATCCTCTGCATGTTCTTGGTGTATTGGCCTTGGCTCATCAGTTGTCACATTCACCTGCTGCTGCTGTCTGTAGTGAAGGTTAACGTCTGCTTTTCAATGACTTTGAGTTTCAGTGATTGCTCTCCCTGCATCGAGCAGCAGTCAGTGCTTTACTGCAAAAAGGAGAGGTTTACCAGAGTGAGAATTTTGTCTTAGATCAATGATTGAAACAATTTTGTGTGAGAAAAGATACTTTTTTTTTTATGTTAATTTCTTAAAATGAAAGTAAATTCTATTGCCTGAAGGCCTTTCCTGCTTCCACCACATTGCCTTGTGGATTCACCTGACTCTAACCATCTTTCCTTGTTATCTTCTGTTGTGTTTATAGAGCAAAGGCCTGTCCTCACTTCACCCTGTAGATCTTGCCACATATTCTACCACCTGAGTTTTGTCTTTGTGATCATGCATCAGGCAGCAATGCAGCAACCCCAAACTGTTCTCAGATGCTGGCAGTCTCACTGTGAGTATGTGGAGGAGAAAATTACATTTGTGTTGTTGCTTTGTGAGAGCAATTAAAATGAGACAGTCTGTTCCTTCTCTGCTTGACTTCTTGACTTTGTGATGAAAAGTTTCTGTAAAAACTTAAATGAGAAAGCTTTAGAGGAGCCGGAAAGTAGATTTTCTTACCTTTGGAAAGAAGCAGGCTAGGTTTTTCCAGTTTTTGTGCTAAGCTAACCATCTTCTGGTTGTAGCGTCGTACTGAACAAAAACGGATACAGATGTTAGTCACATCAGTCTCTCTACATCAGGGGTCTCCAACAGGTGGCTCGTGAGCTACCAGTAGCTCAATCCCTGTTTTAGAGTAGCTCACCAAAAGTCTGTACAGACCATGGAGGCATAGTTCAAACTTTAAGCAACACAAGTTCACTCGGTAACTCTTCTCTAAATGCAACTAAATCAAATAGACATACACCCCCACCCCCACCCCCACCCCTCTCCAACACCAAATCATTATTTGTCAGTTGTCAGTCAAATGAGTTACGCTGTCAGGTTTGTTTACATCAGATATGCTGTAGGCGACATGCAGTGATGGAAACTCTTTTGATAACAGAAAAGATATAAACTAAAGTTTTCCAACAAACAGGAAATATGTTGCCATGGAGGAAGTGAGTGAAGCGGTGGGCTTTAACCTGAGAGTTCATATATGTTAAATTTATATAAAAAAAAAAAATAAAAAATTGTATAACATCTTGGATATTTCACAACATAAAAACATTAAACCGATACTGACACTTCTGTTCTACAGGGACTAACTATTTTGGTTTTAACTTTGAAACGACTAGATCTGCCAGTTTTACTAACGTACGTTTTTTTCTTATTAACTTATTGTCCTTGTTATCTTTTGGTCTTGGTGTTGTATTTATGTGCCCTGTGTTTTTGTTTTTATGCATTTATCCCACTGCTGCATAACCAATTGCCCTACTGGGGATAAATTGATTCATTGATGATTGCTTCACTTTTCCACATGTCTAACTCCAAGAAACACAAACTGCACCAGGGTTGAACTGAAAGTTGCATTGCTTTGACTTAACTGTGAAATAGCTGTCGTCTCTGTTTTTTATGATTTAATCAAACTCCTGTTATGTCTCTGCTTATTTCCTGTTACCACCTGCGTATATCAGCAGCTGGAAGATTGAGCATACAGCATTCATTAGGACATAATGCATGTCATTGTGTTCATTCATCCATGCAGGATTCATTTAGCTGTGAAAATTGATTTGAACAGTGTGACCTTGTGTTCAGTACATTTCTTGAACCATTGCTGTCCCCACTTTGTCTTACACTGCTAGAGCTTTCTTACATTTATCAAGGATGTCCTGCGCGTCACAAACCTCAGAACATGTTTTTAATTAAAAGTGAGTGTGAGACACTTGAAACCTTGGCTGTCTTAGCATTGAGAATAGTTGATAAAGTGCTTTCCCACGGTGCCGTCACAGGTCTGGTTCATTAACATGATTTATGTCAGTCCTATTGAAATGTTCTTTTTTTAAATGGTCTTTTTAAAAAGTGCTTAATTACATTGTGTTTTACAGTGCACAATGAAAAAACAAATCCTCTTTGTGTGTAATAAATGGACTTCATACCATGAATTCAAATAAATGCAGGTGCTTGTAAAAGAACATTTATACTGAACACAATAAGAGGCAACTATTTAAAAATGTTTGAAAGAATTTCATCTGATATTTGTACACTGGCGACTACAGTTGGTGGAAATAAGGGTAAAGAGACAAAAATCTTGCACAAAACACATATGCGATTGAGATGACGCCTCAGCCTTGATCAACTTGCCAGTTGCCTTGAAAACCTCTAAACGCTCGACAGAAAGACATAAATGACGGCATTTCGGCTGTCTAATATGATGAATAATCAGCTTGAGGGTTTAGAAATGTTGTTCGTTCTTCATGTTTACACCACAGAGTGTGTCAAGAGCCTGTGGGAACACATGCCAGGTTCAAACAGAAGGAAGTCGGGCTCATTTTGTCCAAGGACAGTAGAAGTTGTGTGTTGTAGCTTCATGAAAAACATGACATTGAGTGCTGTACTATTCACACAAACATTAATTTCCTGCCCTGCTGGACTCCCAGCTGCTACAAACTCATTTTGTGGGGAGTTATTTTGGTTCCACCTAGTGGTCACCTTGACTACAACCACTGCACATTATTTCCCAGGCTTATTGCTCTCTGATGGAGCTGCGAGTTTGTATGAGCTATGGGACATCCTCCTTAAATTGATTAGAGCCCACTTTACTGCCTCCCCAAATATGGCGAGCATCCCGTTAATGTAATTAAGTCAAATGACACGGGGCTGACTCAACAAATGAGGAATTGCAACTAATTAAGCAAATGGACTTCACCGATCGGACAGTGATGAAAATGTAGTGCTGTAACAAGAGTGAGAGCTGGAGGCCAAAAACATCCATATTTTATGTTTTTAAAGATGTGGAGGGTATATATCTTTCTAACTAATACTATAAATTAATCCTTAACACATGATCAATAACATAAACACAGATGTGTGTAAAAGGTCACTGGTCTTTGGTTTAATTGGTATTACAAACAGTAAAACAAGGCACTGTGGTCAATCAGTGAAATGTTAAGGCAATGGAAGAAGAAAAGATAGGACACAGAGAAGAGGTCAACAACAACAAAAAGCTCATGATGTGGTCTGCAGAGTAGAGACATAGCTGGCGATTGCTCTGTTTCTTTTACTCGCCTCCACACAGCTCCAGCAGGATTTTGCGGTAGTCACCAGATGTGTCTCCCTAAGCAGTGAGAGAAAGATGTGTGAGACTTCAAAAGGACCAGTGTTGGGAATAACTGAACGTTGTTGTTTCTTAAAGCTGAATCTTTGGCCAATCAAATGAAACAAAAGCAGTGATAAATTACAGCCTCATCACATTTCAAAGCTGCACTGAAGCGCCACATAAATTAGAAATTCCAATTATCATTATATCACAGTTGATGTATTGCAAAGCCTTTACTGACTACAATAATTCCCCCGTCTCTAGTATCCGGTGCTCACCTTGATGAAGGAGTAGAGAGTCTTGCCATACATCTTCAGGAACTGCGCCTTAATATCCAACATGTCAATCTCAGCCCTGGCAACCATTATTCTGATGAGGACACTGTCTGTGGTGCCCAGCCCCTGGCAACAGAGAGAAACACTTTTATACTGTGTTCAACTGTGCCTCATGAAGTATGATAACATCAGTCTGCTTTTATTATGCCTGGTGTACAGTAACTACTGTAATTATGTTTAACCATCATTCCCTGTATATTCAGCTATGGTGCATAGAAAAGTCAACGCAATAAGAACAAGTTTGTGATGCATCTTTTCAGGAAATGGTATAAATTACATTGATCAGAAAATAGCACAAAACAATGGAAGATACAGTACGTATTTCTATATTTATAGTATACTGTGGTTTTATGAGAGTGAAAGCTCTATGTTTTAATTATTCTGTTTTCTGATTATTCAGACTAGGGACACGAGATGGAAAATTAGCAATTGCTATAAACTGTCTGTGCAGCACATCAGTTTCATGCTCTGTGTTGGAAACTATGTTGAACTGCATTGTCTCTATCAATTAAAATAAAAGCTGAAATTAAATTTAAAGTTTTTACTGAATACATTTAATTAAGTAGAATTCAGGAAAATATATTTTTTTTTCTATTACATTTTTTCTAAGGAGAAACAAAGTAAATTGCAGATATTATGTACAGTAATGTAATTTATGTAGATGGCTATACATTACAGTATAGTAGCGCCATTACAAACATTAAATATTTACCTTCATTGATTTGTATAATCGCTCCGCAAAGAATGCTGGCTTGTCCCTCATGCATTTCACTGCAACGCAAAAACAAATCCCAACACGTAAGATGCAGTGCTTTCACAACAGTAACTTCAGTTATATGGTGTGAACTGAAACGTCTGGCCCCTCTTTTGACACAAAGCTGTAGTAACAGAAATCTCTTCACAATAAAGGGAATACACCAACAACAACTGAAGGCTCAAAACACTTCCCCAATACCTCTATGATGCAGTGTCAACAGCTGAATAGCAGCTTCACAACATTAGTATGTATTGTATTGTATATTTCCTTTTATTTTCTATAAAGCTTGAGTTGTCGTGGGTTCCGGCTTTTTCTTTGTCTGTGCTCTTTTCAACTTCAACTGTTAACAGCTGTCTTTAACAGGGTTGATCTCTCTTGACGTGTATTTGTAGGAGCAAGTCACAGAAGAGACAGACCTATGGCCAGGAAGACGTCCTCCAGACAGCCGGACATCTCCCTCTTAATGCTGTCCTCGATGTCTCTTCCAGAAATCTTCTGATACTCCTGGAACACTGAGGGAGGAAACAATAAGATCAAAATTATAATTTCATTAAGTTAAAGAATACATCTGAACTACACACTGATCATTATTAAAGTCGTGACACGACACACAACATGAATGAAAGGTGTTTCAACAAAAAGAGTGACTTTGTTCCTAAAACTCCCACAAGGGGTCAGGCTTCTACATGACTTCTGTAGCCACTTTTGGTAAAAGGAAGTATCATCACATGACACAGAACACTAAAAAAAACACAGGGATATATGGTCTGCAGATTTTAACATGAAGTAAGAATACCTCGTAACAGATGGTTTTGGTTCCTCACACAAAGCACCGTGAGGAATTTAACCTCGTCTGTGCCCCATCGAGCCTCACCAGCCTCGTAGATTTCCTACAATCACAGGAATTAAAAAAAAAAAAAAATCATACATGGAGTGATAATTTAAACACAGCCTTTTATCTACAGGTCCCAACCTTTACCTTGGCATCTAGAACAGCCTGAGCCTCGTCCACTTTATCGCTTTCATCTCGTCCAGCCTGCAATGTAGAAAACACAGCAGCTTCAGATAAAATACGCGTAGGATTGCTTCCCGTGGGAGGCGAAAGAAGAAGAAAAACTGGTAGAAAAAATACAGAAGTGACGATTCTTCCTTCTTCCTTAAACAAACAGAAGTTAAGAAAAGTTTTCAACCTAAGTTCCTATTAACATTTTACTTTAAAAATGTAATGAATCAAACTGAATTTAAATTTTAATTCTATGTGATCTATAATAATGTGCGTTTAAAACATTCACATTGGTCCAAGCTGAGAGAGGTGACGGGCTGATGTTTGCTTACTGTGAGTAAAGAGACCAAAACCCTCTGAAACATTCCAGATGTGTCTCCACACACGGCGTCTTCCAGGTCCTTTCCATATTCTGCCACAAAGAAAACATGACAAAATTATAATAGAGAGCATGTGATCTAATACCTGTTTGAAAGAAAATCAAAAACAAGCCAACAGCCACCACACACTACATGACAATGGATATATATATGGCTTTATATATGTACTGGCTCACACAGTTTTTATGGCTAATGCTGTGGCCACCTGATCAGTATAAAACCAAAATTCACTCTCTGTTTAGCTTTTTCTTTTGCTTCTCACAAACTCCTGAGAAATAATATCTTTGCTACACCTTGAAATACTTTCACCAGTCAGTCAGTAAAATTGTCTAGCATGTGGTGAGTCCTTTAAAATCAAAACAATGAGCTCAGAGGGGATAAAAGGGTCAACAGGAACTCTCTAATGCGATTTTATGTTAAGATCAAAAATATTGCTTATTGCAGGTTATAAGCCAGATCAGTAAAATGAGGTTCCAATAATATTCATTGTGTTGTGATCTAAACTCACAAACTATGCTGGTATAATCGGTAAAAAAGAACATGTACATGTAAGTAATACCGCAAAGCACTACACCAATGATTCAGTGATGTGCATTAAAAGACAATGCTCCTTTCAAAGTACTTGCAGACTACTGTCAGTGCAACCACATAAGAACATATAAGCAAACAATAAACGGCCACAGAGAGGCTGCAATGGCTTTTGTGAATAATTTATGCCATCCACTGTTTTCTAGTAACGCTTAGTCAGTGGTACACAATATCAGATGTCATGCACAAGCCCATAGGCACTGGGGGACGGTGAGATATACCATGACCAGACGTCAGAAATTCTGCAGTTACCTTTCTTGTAGAACGCATTGATGGTTTTTATTTCAGCGTTCGTCCTTGAAGCGAGAATATCGACGAGACACGCCTCTTCTGTTCCAGCCCCCTGCGATGAAATAGTAAGGATGTGTTAAAACGAGATATCAGGTGGTGGTGTGATGCTTTTCTGAGAATTATCTTTAAGGATAGGGCTGGTGATATTATATATTGTTTTTAACACGCAAAAAATCCCAACAATGTGTCAGTCAGTCTGTCGATACTTCCCGATCTCCCCTGTGGCTCGCAGCCCCAGCCCCATTCTTTCCCACATGCACTGATGATCACAAATACAAACTATAGTTTTTAATACATGCTACTCAAACAGGAGTTAACTGTATATGTGTTGGGGACTATTTTCAGCTGTAGGATAACACAAATTTGGTGAACTAATGAGTATTTAAGGCAGCAGGATAGTGTATGTGGGATTGGTTGACTGTAATGGGGAAACATGTCACACAGTGCAACAGTGTGGCTCACTGATGTGCTTTTAATAGCTATGGGGCAACAATGGAGCTCTGTGGCTCAAAGTATTATGCTATATCAGGCTTTAGCTAAACTTGTTCATTGTTGGTTCTGGTCTTTTCAGGAGGTTTTCATGGCAAGAAGAAAAATATAAACTATCACCAGACTTATCCTTTAAAGACAGGACACGTGGATAACACACACTGACCTTCATTGCATTTCTCAGCTCATAAGCATCGTACACAGGTGCCAGCATCAGCAGACCTAGAACGACACTCCTGAAGTTCCCACTGAGCTCCGACGACAGCTCATCGGCCAGGTCCTGCAGGGCGGGGCAGGAACAGACGGATTAACGGGGAAACAGTCATTCCCAGGAAGTCAGTGAATTAAGTACAGGGTTTGTGCTGCCAACGTGGATATTCACACCTTCCAGCAGCGGGATTTGTGTGTCCGCTAGAGGGTGTGGTTTCTGAACACAAGTTTCTGTGAACAGAGAAGCTGCTCCACACAACTGGCCAGTGTGACCGCATGTGGGCGTCACCATGTGCAACATGACTCACTCTTTCTGCCTGCGAGGATTCCACTCACAAGCTTTTCTCTCTCTTCAGTTCCCTCAGAGGAACTTTCAGATAACTTCATCGACCCCTTACCAGACACAGCGCAGCGAGCTGGTCATTAACTCATTGGGTCAATACAATAAACATCCCAGACTTCCCTTTTAGTTAACGTATTGATCCACATAATAATGAAGCAAAGAAACGGTCAGTGTGGGCAGCATACCTCTGTGGGTTCAGTGTACATTTTTCTTTATAGAATCAAACTTTCCCCTTTTTCTACAGATTACAAAACCGTCTCTGTCCTGGTCTTTGTTTACAGGTGGTACTCATTTCTGCTTTATAGTTAATAGTTAACACACACATTATCAGCGCTTTGTTAGCACAGTCAAACCCCACCTAAAGTGAAAAATGATGAGCCTGTATGCAGTGGATGAGAGACACATCCCCTGCTGCTGCCAGAAGTCTCTTTTAAGTCAACCTTTCAAATTCTTCTGGTGTTCGTTTCTTTGCTTATTTATGAAAAAAAAAAAAGTTTCATTCACAATTAGACTTTGTTTGCTGCCTTTGAGTACAACTCGTTCAAAACTCTCACCTTCCCAACTGCTTGTTTGAAGGCCTCTTTGATGCGCTGCCTTTGGGCAATAGTACGGTGTGATAGGACATCGATGACGGCTGCCTCATCAGTGCCTGCAAGAAATATCATAATACTGAGTCGTGTGAGCTTGTCTGCTATTAATGTTAAATTTATAATACTGTAAAGATTACATATGTCTATTCCTGGAAGTCATTTAAGAGCAGAGTGTAGAACACAGAGTCAGACACCAGCGCTGCTACCCTGGAGATGATCCTTACACACATTGTTTGTTGGCATCGACACAGAAACCATCTGTTTGTAATAGAGCTCAAAGTAGAGTCAGGGGAAGATGATTATGCTCGCAAACCCTAACAGCATCAACATTCCTCGCCATACAATTTGCTGACAGAGAGAAAAGTGTGATTGTTACACACTCCTGAATGTTTGTTAGGATGTACCTCTTTGAGCGGTACATACCTGCTAACATGGTTTCAGAACAGGGCGACCCATAATGAGGTTAGTCCTCTTACTGCTTCACGCACAATCAGAGAAAACAAGATTAATTTACACTCTATATCATGAGTGAAGAGGAAGCTTCACTATACAATGTGAGGTGAGGCAAAGTATGAGGACACACTCAGTGAGTGGATGGACTATAGCAAACTAAAAGCTGCCATGACAACGCCAGCACTTAGCAACTCTACAGTTAGTTTTTAAACTTTCCTGGAGAGGAGGAGAGAGACCGAAGAAGAGAGTAATTATATTTTTCTTCCATGGAGACCTGGTCTTAAGGGCACAGTAAGACGTATCTTTAACTTAATGATGGTTTCTGGATGACAGTGGCTGGATCACTCACCAGCTCCCTTCATGGCTCCTCTAAGCCTCTGGGCATCTGCCTCTGGGTCAAACCCAGCCGCCTCAGTCACTGTTCCACGGTTTCCGATCTGGTCAAAACAATTTAAAATTACACTATTACAGCAATTTAACTGTTAAACAAATAAACAAAGACAAAGCTTTTGAGTGGACGAGAGGTGTTTCGCTTATACGCCGCTTCACAGCGCAGAATGAATGAAGCACAGTACATGCAGAGTTTGACACTAGGAGGCTATTTTCACACTGATCTGTTGAAGTGAGACAGATTCTCTGTGTTTGCTTTATATAAGGGTTCAGGACTAGTTCAACTAGTTTTGAAGCCAGTCATTGTCCAATATGTAATTTTTGAGTTTTTATCAATAAAATAAATAAATAAATCAACAACATATCAGATAAATTATTCAAACTAGACTGCTTGTATGTCTTCAAATGAATCAGGAAGGGGCATTTAAAAGCTAAATAACATCAATTGTGGCAAATGGCAAAGTGTAAGGTAAATACGATACACAGGACAGTTATTCATCTATTCATGTGAAAGAATTAGAAATGCAGGACAAAGTTGAAGAGCTGTGAAAACAATTTTTTTTAGGAATTCACTGTGAACCTTTTGAGAACTAGAGTTGGGCAATTTCAGTTGAAATCTCAACGATCAAAAATAGTTTTTACACTATCCATGTACTGCATTCTGACTTTTTGCATTATTTAAAATAGTTCAACTGCCAATTGCATTGAACTGCAAAGTAGAACCATGAGTAACATTAAGAAGTCAAACTTAAACATAAAATTGATTAAAATTTTATACCATAATTTACATCTATATCTAGCATGAAACAGACATGACATCAGACCTAAGACTTTACTTTACATCATGGGTTGCAATGGCATTTTAGCATTTTATTACAATATAATGCTGATAAAATATGAAACATTATAAGATTTAATTGCTGTGCAGCCCTATTCAAACGAACAAAACAAAACAGTCCATTGTGCAGGGCAGAATCTCTAGGCTACTGGTCAGGGAAATACATGTAAATGTTGTTGGACACAGCATCTATGGGAAAGACTTACCGCTGCCATTGTAGAAAGAGTATAGATTTCCAAACTGGAGGTGCAGAAAGCTACAAAAGAACAAATAAATAACACTGCTATGTCAATTGCACAAGGTTAACACAGGAAGATGAAATGAAGGGCAGCATCAGGTTTAGGGGCAGCAAACAGTCCCTGTGTTGAATGTGACCCTCATTAACCTCTGATCAATATTGTATGCAGTTCATCATCTCAGAGAAGGCTTCTGTCACACACATTTGCTCAAGGGCTCTCTTGTGTCCCTCGTCTGTGCAGGCTTCCCAGGAGTTAATCTCATTAAGATAGTGTTTGTTTGGACACACCTGTAATTGCTCCATTGAGAGGAAAGATAGTGGAGGTTCTCTCTTACCTGTTTACTGACCTGTAAGGATCACCTTACATCATATATCTGTCAAAATCTATTTAGTTAAAATCATTTTGAGAAGACCTGGATAGATTACAATCCATTGTGCAAGTGTGTCCACAGCCAAGATGTTAATTAAAAATGTTAATTATTACTAACCAGAATAAAACAGAGACAGGTACTAAAACACAGCGACCTGAATGAACTCTGTGTGTAGGTCAACAGCCACACCTGAGTGGTCTATTATGTAAATACAGCACAGGTGAGTCCAAAATACACACTTCACACCATATGTATGGACAACACGCTGTAAAGACAAATGATAAATGACAAGTGATAAATGGCGCGAGTATAACCTTCTTTAGACAAAGTAACAACTTGTAGCAACAAATTCACATTTGTGTAAATATGCGCATTGTATACTCCAGTGCTTGGAGCTATCATTTAAATGGAACAGTCAAACTTTCTAAAGTTAGCACACGTTTCCCGGTGAATGGTCTTTAATTCTCACATGCATTATATTCATATTTACAGGTTTCATTCTTCCAGACGAATATAACGTTAGCGAACTGTATGAAAATTGAGCAATAGTAGTAAAAGTCTATTCGTCCTCTACTGTACGTTAAAAGCAAAGACTGAAAAGAGTTTACACTGTAGAATTATTGCTCCAATGTTATTATTGCAGCTGAAATGTATTCCCCACAGCCGTACAAATCTGGACCACAATGAGCTTAGTTGAGATAATAAAATACAAAGGAAAAAGTCGCATCAAAAGTGAATCAGGAAGCAGAGTACTTTGCTGTTTAACAGTTAACTTGGCATTTAGTTAGAGGGCACACCCTGCACCCAGAGAACCGACCGCCTCTGCCTGAGCGCTACTCTGTCAAATGAAATACCACTAAACATCTCTAAAATATGAATGACCGTGAACTGACCCACACCTTACCTGTCCTGGAGACAATTTACTCTGTGGTGCCCGACAAAAGGGTAGAGCGTCCTGGTCTGGGAAAGTAAAGCTTAATAAGCTACAACGTCCCACCCACTTGGATGCAATTTTTTTTTTTTTACAGGATCCTCCTTTAGCGTGCACAAGACCTACTGCTGCATTTAGGGATTATCGGAAAAATGGGAAAGCTCCCTTCATGCAGTAAGTCCCTTCATAAATAGCCTCAATTGGCTATTTTATCGTGCCATACGTTTGACGGGGGCTAAGTGGAACAAAATACAAAAAACTTGGCGTAGTTTCTTTTTTTTCTTTTTTTTTTAAATTAGCTGAATTACAGTTAATATAGATTTTTACCTAAACGTAACCGCTAATGATGCTGGCTTTGCGGCCATTTTTCCACTGGTTTGTTGAGTCCTCTATAGTTATTTCTATCACCTGGAGATATCTAAGCCCTCGGATATTCCTAATGTATCCGACTCAGAACTGAAAGCAGGCTGAGGGAAACTGTCTTTCCAATCTGTTCGTATAGTGGTTTGACCGATATGTCTTTGAACGCAGCATGTGATGACCACATACGCAAGGGGGAAGGGGGAGTGGAAAGGAGGGGGGGCTGCAGTTGCGCTCTGAACTACAATACCCATATTTCCGTCTGCGCGTCAACAGCAACAGCTAGGATGTTGCGATATCGCAGGCAGCCAAAGATTGCTGTGGTTGCAGAGATTAGGCTGCTGGGTAGAAACCTCCGTGTAATGTTTTGGTAGATGTCAAATTCTGCGGTTTCTGATTTGCAGCTACAGTTGCGACAGACGGAGTCTTCAGTTTCCCGTCGACTCTGCGCTTGTTTGTATTGAAGAATAGCTGCATCGCGCGCTAATGCGTTAGCAAACTAAAAATCACAGTTTTATTGTAAATGTAGGCGAATAAATGGCTAGAAAGGCAGCTATGTGGCAACAAACGGCCGCTCCACTTGAATGAGGATGGAAAGATTTTCTCGGGCAACGCTATCGCACAAGTTACACGTCGGATACATCGCACTCGGAGACATTATCTTCAGAGGATAACCTGGATAACCTTACACGAAATGTCATAGCGCGTAAGTAGCTAGCACTTAGCTAGCTTAGTAATGGCTGGACGAGATGGAGAAGGACCTAATGTTATCAGCAGCAGCCGACCATGAACAGCTGGATGGATAGCTAAAGAAATACTTTCTCCGGAGATGCTTTAGCCTCCTGGGTGGTGTAATTCACTTACATAACAGCTAGTCGCAGCCGCTCTAGCTATCATCAACTGGCTTGTGTTGGCAAGCAAATGGGAAATTTGCCACCAAAAATCTGGGTTGTCTCAACATCATCATAAGTGACAAAGGCATCACTGCATGTTTTGAGGCTGCAAATAGACTCGCTTGAAGCGTCAGATTCGTCAGGTTTACAATCTGACCTGCATTGGTGCAATAATTCACTGCACAGGAAACAATCAGCTCTCCTCTGTTTCTGTGACTGAAGCCGCAAATACTCCCCCTGCCATTTCGACAACATGAGGAAGTTCTTTGATTCTCGTCGGGAGTTGGTCAGCTCCGGGCCTGGTTCTGGAGGAGGCGGTGGCAGCTCCGGGTCCAGTCATGCAGGCGGAAATTTCATTGGACGAGCCTTCACTGTCGGGCGACACCAAGTCACTGTCGAGGAGATTATAGCTGAAGGTGAGATGAGGTTGCACAGACCAGATGATGCCAGTTTTTTTTCCTCTTTTTATTTCCATGCATGTTGTTGATGCAATAATATGATGTGTGCATGCCCAAGCCAAATACATGAGTCACATGACAGTACAGGGATGTAACCTTATACCATCCCCACAGGAATGATGGAGCTTTGCATCTAGCCTGTGTATCTTGGATACATAAATGCAAAACAGAGGCCTACTGCTTTCTCTTAGCAGCACTCAAGCCGTAGATCATACAATTGTTGGATTTCTTTGTAGATACCAGTGGCAGGCCCTTCTCTAATGCTGTTAGACATCAGAACAACATTACTGATGCAGAAATAGAGGCCTGTGCTTGACCGAAACAAAGTCATTTTATTTACCATTTTGAACCCAGGAGCACAGCAGCATGTTATTCTTCTATTTGTAGTGTTTTAAATAACAACTGTTGTCAATGTCAGGCATTCCTTAACACTAACACTAATTTTTCTAGACCACAGTCTGTGGTAATGATGTCTGCCTTACAGAATTAATCAGTGCGTCAGGCTGCTAACTAGTGAAGAGTTTAAAACCAGTGTCCAGTTTTTAAATAATGTAGGAAGACAGTTTTTTGCAATTGACAAGAACGTCTGCACTTGCTGTACTAAAATATGAACATTAGAAGTGGTGTAGACCCTCGACTTGCACCCAGGTTCATAGGTATCTCTTGCACATATATAGTGCCACAGTGCCATACAATACCATTTCACACAAGGTGTCAATTCCAGGATGCAGTATTAGTCGCAATGACTGCCTGAAATTGATGACTCTGTCACAACCACAACTCGGCAAAGTGAATTTGTGGGCTGAGATGTACCAGATGGTTAGGCCTCAATGTAGGCCTCTACTTAAACCCTGCAGCAATGACATGACTAATACATAACGCTATAAGGCTGCACCATTTGGCCCTGGTCGTCCGTATTGATGAAAGGCCACACACACACACACAAATTGCAACAGTTGTAGAAGTGATTAAGTGTAAAAATGAGCATGTCGGCCAAATTTCCAAAATCATGATGCCCTAAGAAAGCTTGTGAGAATGGTGCCATGCAAGATTTGTCTTATTGTGATATTGATCACAATTAAATATGGTAACTATCTTTAAGTGTGTGACAACAAGAATGTTTTTTTTGTCCCAACTGTTCACTGTCAGTTTTGCTGACACGGCTATCATCTCTTCGGGGACTGACAGTTTAATTTGGTCTCTTTCTCAATCCTGCAGGTGGCTTTGCAATTGTGTTCCTTGTGCGAACAAATCAAGGGGTGCGTTGCGCCCTGAAGAGGATGTATGTCAACAATGAGCATGATCTGCAGGTGTGCAAACGCGAGATTCAAATAATGGTGAGTTGCAGAGATTAATCATTTATCTGCTCGCTCGCGTGGTTTTGTATTTGGGTAAAACCACATGAAGGCAACAACATAGCAAATGTCAGTTGAAACCTAAGTTGTGCACATTTCCACACACACATTCACAAATGAAGGATGTCTTATTCTGTCCAGAATAACTAAGAACAAGTGGTGAATTCAGCACACAGTCAGCCTGCAGCGGTGTTGTTCTGTATTTATTCATCTGGTTCTTGGTCAGCTTTGTTTTTTTGCATGTTCTGCTCTCCTCGACTGAGATGTGTTGTAGAATGAGTTGTGGGGATATCTGTATGAACATGAATTCTTAAAGGACTATTCAGTACCTTGATAAGATGTTATTTTTAAGTATTCATTGTTATTCTAGTCCTGAAGTTGTAGTTGTCCTCCTGTGGGCTTCTGATAAATTTATAATTAATGATACCTGTTTGCTAACATAACATAAAACTAAACTGAAGATGTTTTATGGTATAAATTTGCTGCACATAAGGATCACATTGTGGTAAAAGGGAAGAAGACTGTTCTGGCGCTGTCAGACCTCTTGACCTGTTAAAATCCAAGAGCAGAAGTTGGATTTATTTAGTCTATAAATAGACATGTATGCCATGGTAGCCTCCCACAAAATGTAATTTTTCTATCAGCAGGAAAGTCATATTATAGTCTTTAAGCATTTTTGCAGCATGCACTGAGTTCACGGTCTGTTCACAGAACTCATATCTGAAGGAACACTCAGGAAGGAAGGAAGGAAGGAAGCAATGGATGTTCAAGTTTTAGAAGAGTGGCATATCTGTGGCGTATCTTTGAAACCAATGCTGACATTTGGTTCAAAGATAATGTCTGATGTCACTCATGGTGTTTCCTTTACCTCTCAGTCTTTCTCATACTCACTCTCTCTCTCTCTCACACACACGCACACGCACACACACTCACACACACTCACACACAGGCAGGTATAGACTGGCAGTCCCTCACCTCAGCATCAGTACTTGACATTTTTTCATTACCTAATAGATTCCTGATTTTGATGGCCTTGCACTGCATCTCATCTCACACTGACCATACTGAATCAAAGGCTTACGGCATTAAAATTCCCAATGCGCATTTTGCAGCAAAATATGGAAATATTTCTTCCCTGTCCCACGTTTTCTTGGTGTCACAAATCATTTTATTTTACTTCAACACTCTTAACTAATCACCTCAACAGTCACATTGTATGAGCACACTATGCAGCCGCTTACAGTAGTTGCACGATGGTGTGTTAATGCTCTTGAACGTGCGTTTGTGTTCTTGCAGAAAGACCTTGTCGGTCACAAGAATATTGTTGGTTATCTGGACTCCAGTATCACAGCAATGGGATCAAGGGATGTATGGGAGGTTCTCATACTTATGGACTACTGCAAAGGTGAGTGAGTGAGTCGGGGACATGGGGTGTGGCTGCAACCACATGCTTATATTATCATTATAGTGATAATTAGAGTTTGGGCAGCAGTATGTTTGTGCTGTTGAATGGTAAAAACAAACAGTTATTGTATAATAAATCTGACCAACATCAGTGTTATAATAGAATAACACACACAAGTTGAGATTCAGTCCGGTCCCAGTTAGGTTAATGACCCATGTTGTTTGTGCTGCTGTGTAACTGGATCTTGTTTTGCAGGAGGGCAGGTGGTCAATCTGATGAATCAGAGGCTGCAGACTGGTTTCACTGAGGCTGAGGTGCTGCAGATCTTCTGTGACACTTGTGATGCTGTTTCTCGTCTGCACCAGCGCAAGACACCTATCATCCACAGAGACCTAAAGGTGACACATTTTGCCACTTTTTTGCCCTGTGAGGTGCTCTGTTCTGCAGTATGTAGGATAGTACAGGCAGGTCCATTCTCTGTTAGCACAGGGGCAACACCTACTGTAGTTCACCGGGCTGTGATGTCTTTTGAAGAGTCATGATTGATATGTTTGTGTGGGGTTGGTGCTGTGTTTAATTATGGATAGCTCTTATAGGAGGAGAGGGGAGATTGTCAGTTGTCAAAGTACTCCAAACACTGCAGAGCCCAGTTAACTGCAGTGTGGCCTTCGCTTTAATTTTGAGTTACTGTCACTCAGAAGTTTTAATCCATATGGAAACATGACTTTTTATTGCACAGCAGATTGCTTGATTTACATTAAAAAAAATCGACTTCGATGTGTGTTTCAGAGTTATTAGAGCATGATGAAAGGAGCACGTCAATTTTGACTCTGGCTTAAATCTGCATGTCATAATGTGAAGATGGCTGCACCTTGAGATTTGTATTCATCATTATCTCAAGTGCACATGTTACAGGAAGCAAGCAACTCCAGTGTTTGACTTTGCAGAATGGGCCAATTACTGCACCACCTTACACCTTACACAGTGCCACCTGACACTTGAGATCCAAACTGGGTCCCTTCATGTATAACCATGCTGTATCTCTACAGGTGGAGAACATCCTTCTGCACGACAAAGGTCATTATGTGCTGTGTGACTTTGGCAGTGCTACTAACAAGTTCCAGAGTCCGCAGACTGAGGGAGTGGCCGCCGTGGAGGAAGAGATCAAAAAGTTTGTGCCTCTTTTCATCCGCTTTGGTGATATTTGCAGCTTTCATTTATTCACACTTTTAGGTAGGGCTTTGTTTTGTTTTTTTTCTTTTTATGGACTGGTTGAATTTTTAAACATTTTTCTCCTGATCCTCATATGAATCACACACGAGCAGTGCTGTGCTGCTGAAAATACTATGATGTGTGTGCAAAGGAGGTTTTGGTTGATGCAAAATTGAATTATTATCAAATAAAGTCACTACTTTCATTTGCATTTATGCACATTTCTGAATACATAATATTGCGTAGGCTGTTTCATTTCAACTCCACATTAAAAACGGGTCGTTTTCTTACTAATTTATTCCTGTTCTGTCCTTACTAATATATTCCTGTCTTCTTTCAGGTACACCACTTTATCATATCGTGCTCCTGAAATGGTGAACCTCTACAACAACAAGATTATCACCACAAAAGCAGATATCTGGGTAAGTGAAGAGAGAACACTTCTGTGGTAATCCTGATAGGGGTGCATACAGAGAAACAATACAGAGGACACATACAGTACTTATCTGGTAAAACTAAGCCACCATTTCAGTAAAATATAATAAAAGTGTTGATTATAGCGTATTTTGTTAAACTAATATCTAGTGCACTGATACTGGATGTTTTATACTAGAACCCTGTTTGACATCATGGCCCATTGTTAGTTTATTAAACTTACAGGCTCAATAAGTAGCAGAAGTTTGAGTTTTGGGATTGTTTGCACTTGTACTAAGTTTAAGATAAGTAAAGTTGTATTTGTACAATTTAAAAGTCAGAAAACTTTGCTTTTATCTTGTGACTGAATATTTTTATAACCTTCTGGTGTTTAGAGGGGAAAAGGATTTTTGTTGTGACTTGCTGTGCAGTATTGGTAATCTTCTCTTCTCTTCTCTTCTCTTCTCTTCTCTTCTCTTCTCTTCTCTTCTCTTCTCTTCTCTCCCTTTCCTCTCCTTGTTTGTGTTTGGTGTGATGGGGCATGCATGTGATTGTCTTCTCCAGGCACTGGGTTGTTTGCTGTACAAGTTGTGCTTCTTCACTCTGCCCTTTGGTGAAAGCCAGGTGGCCATCTGTGATGGCAGTTTCACCATTCCAGATAACTCGCGCTACTCTTACGATCTTCACTGCCTCATTCGTTAGTGCCTCTTAAACATTAAATCATGTTTTCAACATCAAATTCAGTTTTGACAAAGGCATGCACTTGCGATTTAAATGTAAATGTGTGTTCACTGACTCAGTTTTTGGAGTCTCACTCTTGTTTCTTCACGGTGTTTTGTTTTAGGGTACATGCTGGAGCCGGACCCAGACATAAGACCAGATATCTACCAGGTGTCCTTCTTTGCTTTCAAACTAGCTCAGCGGACCTGCCCTGTTCAGAATGTGAAGGTCAGTCTCTCTCAGCACCAGGGTCAGCTGAAATATTTGGATTTGCTTGGCTTTCTCTCATGAGGAATTGATTTTCTTGTATTCAGTGGAATCTGCTGTGGGTTCGCTGCCTGACCTACATAGACAGACGTGTTAGTTGTCACACTGTGGGAGGAAAATCTGCACTAATTCATCAGTTGCATAAAGTAGAAAATACTTAATAGCCATGATGATATTATTCATTAGTATTAAAAGTACCAACCTTGAGGGTCAGCGTTTTCATTGTAAAATTTTGTCTGTGTGGACTGATTGATACAGTATTCATTGATTCATTGATTTCTTGTGGAATTTCTTTTGAAAAGCTTTTGCATTTTTTCCATAATCCAGAATTCTCAAATTCCCTCTAAACTTCCTGAGCCGATCAAAGCGAGTGAGGCCGCCGCCGCAAAGAAGAGCCAAACTAAGCCCAGGCAAGCATGACCTGCTTACATTGTATTACCAATCAAGGCTGTAGTAACACTACATTTTGCGGAAGTAATTAGGTACAGTCAGTATTCTGATACTCATTAAATAATTATGTTAACACTGTTTGCCATGATTAACAAGGAGGCCAACATCCTCCCTTTTGTTGCCAGACTGACAGATCCAATTCCCACCACTGAAACCTCCATCACCCCTCGCCAGAGGCCCAAAGCAGCCCATACCCAGCCTGCTGCTGGCATCCTACCCATCCAGCCTGCTGCTCTCACCCCTCGCAAGCGGGCTAATCTCCCTGGTGGTGCAGCTCAGCCTGTGGGTACGTACAGCACTCCGTCTCCGGCCTTAGTCTCCTCTCTGTCACAGGAAAAAGACACCCACGATTTTGAATGAAGACGCACATAAAGACAGGAATCCCTCTAATCCTTTGTGCACACTTTGAATCCTGCAATTCTCAACAGGAACAGATCAAGTATGCAGGTTAAGACTCATGCAAATTAAAGCCATCTAACCACAGGCCCAAAGTGATTATGAAATGATTATTCTCCTCTCTGCCACTTGAAACACTGCTTCAGTTGATATCAGCTTTGGACCTGTTACAAATCACTTAGATTTTTTTTTTTTATCAGCATTTAACAGATTATATAATCCTCTTTGAAACATTTTGTTTGAGATAAACATCAACTCGAATGCTCCTATAAACCTATCTATGTTGCTTGATCTTTTCATTGTTCTGCATCTGTGTAAGTATGAAGATTAAAATACTTTGATGCTCTCTCAAGAGTAACATGTTCTTGTTAACATCCCACAGGAGTCAGTTTAGACCTCTCTCAGCCAGCTGCAGCTCTGCAGTCACAGAAGGCGCAGACTTCAGCTCTGCCTCTCATCCAGTCACAAAACAATTCCAGTCAGGCTGTGGCTCCGCAGAAGCAGGTACGTACCAGCTAAATACACAATGAGCAGCCAAAAGAGCTTTCTACACATGCAAATTAATACGAAACCAGCAACTTATTTTTCTTTGGTGTATGCAAATGTGCAAAAACACAAAAAAGGTAAAAAAAAAGTAAAGAGCTTCAGTAGAGCATGATTGATGTCTGGCTGTATGTATCAGGGTGGCATACAAAGGTCGTCACACTCGTGCTTTTCTATCTTTTTAAACCATATATTTCTGGGTTTTAGTTTGTTAAGCTATTTCAAGCCTTGGTTTCTGGGAAATTGTTCACTATTCTCTGACATAGATTAAATAATGAATTAATTAATTGTATTAAAAAATTACAATTATCAGTAGTATCAGCCCTGCATATAAACCCACAGTTGCTTTGGTGAGGTGGAGCACTAAGTTATTTTTGTCTTGACAGTGGTTTGCAGATGTAACATTTTATGAGACAAGAGATAAAAGTCTGTGTTTGTGTGACAGGCCGCGCAGCCAGCCGCCGCTGCAGGAGCAGACACTACAGCAGCAGCAATATCACCAGTGACCAAGGCTGATGTCCAACCGCAAGTACAGCCAGCAGTCCAGCAACAGACCACACCTTCTTCTGTGGGCAGCTCCACCTCCCAGCAGGCAGCGCCGACTCCGTCCAGCCCAGCCCCACCCCAACGCCCGGCTCGACGCAAGCAGGCCAGCCAGGCTCAACAGCCTGCGGCTCAGCCTTCGCCCAGCAAACCAGCCCCTGGTCAGCAGCCTGTATCTCAGCAGCAGATAACGCAGCCAGCAGCTGCCCTTGCTCAGCCTGCCTCCACTGAGATCAGCCAAAAATCAGCTGAGGCGGTAAGTGGTCTGCTGCTCACCATCCAGCTTTACTATTATCGTTATAGAGTTGACATGGTTCATTTTTTTCCCCCTACTTTTTAAATTAGTTCTTTCTATTTTAATCTTGTGTTTTGCTTTCATCCTGTGCCTTTTTTGATCAGACTCCACCTGCTTCTCCGAAGACAACCGAAGAACGAGGCCACCAACGCATCCCGAGTGACGCCACAGCGAGTAGCGTCGCTGCAGTTGACTCACAGCAGCTGCAAGGACCTAATGGAGATGCGGCCCTCAACCAGTAAGTGGCACATACACTTGAAAAAAACCTGAAGAGTAGTTCAAATTCAGGTCATCTCCTGTGTGTTTTATTTATGATATTTTGTTCATCTTTCTCTCCAGATCACTTACATCTCAACCGAGCGGCACCCAGCCTGCTCAGCTCGGTGTTGGAGATGCAGTCCAGGACCAAAGCAAAGCTGGACCCACTGCTCCTGCCTCTGGCACCCCCACACAGCCCGCATGGAACCCCTTTGATGATGACAACTTCACCAACCTCTCTGCTGCAGAATTCAAAGCAGAAGACATAAAGCCCAGTGGTAAAGTTTGTGTTTTTATGCATGCAGTATATGTATATTAGTAGCAGTATTATATACACTAATAAACAGTAGATGTTATAACTGTTTTTAATTACTTTACCAGACCTACCTTCAGAAACTGAGACAACATCATCTGAAGAGTTGATACCAGGTCTGCAGGCCTCAACTGTGGAAAATGAACCCCATGAAACTGGTATGTCACACTTTTCCCTTAAGAGTCTACCGACTCAGTGTTTTTCTTCTTTTCTGTCTTGTATGTGGACCTGGACCCATTAACACAGACCTTTCAGTGCCATCATTACAAATTCAAGCTGTCCTAGAAACATATGGTGACCCTATGTAACTTCATTCATTCCAGATGTTTAATAAACAGCTCATAAACTTGTTCCATCCACTGTAGCTCTGCCATTAGAATATGGTGTTTTTAAAGTAAGTGTGATCAAATGCACTGAAAGTCTGGAACGGGAATATGATGGTAGAATAAAAGGTTTCAGTTAGTTTAGCTTTGTTAAGTTTAGGGTTCAAGAGATTAAATATCAGCAGGACATCATTCCTATGAGCTGCCAGCTGTTAGCATGAGTTAGCGTGCTAGTTTATGGACATCAGAGTGAAGTAAATATAAAGACTGGTAAGTTAACTCAGACTGAGATTTACAGTAAGATATCTTGATGAGTTGATCCCCACTCTGATACCTTACGGCTGTCCTGACGCCACATAATGCGTTTGTACTGTATGAGTCTGAAGGAGTCTGATGAGATGTCAAACCAAGACATAAACCTCTTAATGCACCTGGTCCATTAATCAGCTTTATCAAGCTTTCAAAAGCCATGGCTGCCTTTGTGCATCACACAAATAAAATAAGGGGATTGGTCAGAATGAAAGAATTGCCAAGATTTAAATGACCTTTTAATGTGAAGAGTTCTGGCAGCACCGCTGCTGTACCCAGCAAATGTAGCCAACGATGGTTTTTATGAGCTGCCGTTAACAAGACAGAAAAGTGGGAGGATTGATTTGCTAATATACTGAATAAGTTAATGCTGTATCTTAAGCAGTTCAAAAACATGAGGAAGAGTTATTAATTTTCATTCATTCACTGGGTCTGATCGATAAATTAAAAAAATAGTTTGATATTTTGGGAAATACATTTATTCGCTTTTTTGCCGACTGTACGCTAAATGTATAGCTACTGCCAGCAGCTGGTTAGCTTACACTTAACATAGACAAGGTTTCAACCAGCTCCCTCCTACATTGCTTTTCTTGAGGCTAATTTTTAGACTTCATTACACATCATTACTCTGTCACATTGCTTTGTCACCCAGTTGAAAGACCTTCAGCCATTCTTGACGTGGATTCTGGAGCCTCACTGCTGGTTGTCCCAGATCCTTTCTGTACACTCGAACTGTCGGATGCACCAGGTAAATATCTCTGCCAGTGGCTCCACGCTGTATGCTCTTTTTGGTACTGTCTCATACAAACATATGACTCACAAACTGCCATTCATGAAAAGCTTTTGACTTCCAGAGAGAAGTCTAAGAAATCTTTCTGTCCTCTGAAAAAAATGTTGTTGTTGGTTGTCCTAAAATATCCTCAGTAAAATTAACAATTATAACAAATGAATAATAACATGAATAAATGATGATATGAAAGTAAACATCTAAGCATCATGTAGACGAGCAGCCAAACCAAGTAACATACTGTACACACAAATAGCACATCAATGTCCTAAATGGCTTTTCTCTCCTCTGTTGCTATGGGAATTTCTTATGTCAGTAACTTCTTATATTTAAACACTATTTTATATATAGGTTTTATATACCTGGCTCACCATGTTTTACTTTCTTCACTGGCCTTTAGAGAAGCTGATTGAAGGACTGAAATCTCCAGACACGTCTTCACTCATGCTTCCTGACCTCTTGTCATTGTCTGATCCCTTCGGTGGTTCTGTGGAAGAGTCTGCAAAAGGTGTGTGTGTGCGTGTGTGTGTGTGTGGGGTGTGTCGGTGGTGGTGGTGGTGGGGTGCTCCTCTACAAGCAGGCTTGTGTGTTTCAGCACAGAAAAAAAGAGCTCTAAAAACCCACTGTACACTATCCGCCCAGGTGGTGGGATCCAGCTGGATATGGAAATGAGCAACTGTTTGCTAACAAGTTTGCCATAGCAACTTAAAAGCTGATATTATTTCAGTGTTGTGTTCCCAGTTTGTTTTTGCTGCTCCAGGTGGCCAAAGATGTCACATGTTTACGATATCACTACTAGTGCCACAAGTATTTGAGTTACAAGAGATTTTTGGCAAAAAATGATATCAAGATGTTTTCTGTTGGGAAATTTAACCAAATGTATTATGCTCTATTAATAAGCTGAGAAAAGGGAATTTATCTTTACTTTACTTCACTTTGTTCTAAGAGTTAGTAAAACCTTGAAATATTACAGTTTGTAAATAGTAAAAGGATTAGGTTCCTTTTACTATTTACAAAAGGTCAATGTATCTGTGTCCTTGTCCATAACTAAACTTTACCCTCTGTTCTGTCCCAGACTCTCTCACTGCCGACGACTCTCTCCTGGGCTGCTCTCTGATCTCTGGTCCGTCCGTCCCTCCAGCAGCGAGCAGTGCCACCACCTCCGTCTCCTCTGCCCCCACCTCCGCTGCCTCTGTGTTGGATGATTTCAGTCTGTTGTCTGGAGATTCTGCACAGCCTAAAGCAGGTAAGAATCTCAGGGCCTGTTGGAGAAACTTTGCTTTTTCGGTAACTCACTTCTGCCTCTATGCAGCTATCTGCCAGTTTTTTCCAATATTCACTAAAAGAATAAACAAGAACGATTTGGAATTGAACCCACATGCTTTTTTATAAATGACAGAAATGTGTCTGTACCGTAGCACCAAGTATTAACTGTTAAGGAACACAGTTTGTAAATTTCAGCAGTAATAGTGATGCACCCTTTAACAGAAGAAAACATGTGTTCACGTTAGTAGGTTAGGTGCTGTGTAGAACGGTAATGTTACTGTTTTATGGAGCAGATATGATTGGCTGTACAGACACAAGTTCTCCATCAGTATTCATATCAATAATGCAGAACCAGGCGGCGCCTCATGAAACCAAAAAACATTTCTCCATTTTGGTTTCTAATCTTTTTTTTTTTTTTTTTCCAAAGGAGAGCACAGTATCTGTGAGAGCATGTACATAAGCAACATTCAAAAAAAAAATGCAATTAACTATTAGTTGGACTTAAAGCTGTTGTTGACACCAACGTCCAAAATCAGCTACTTGTAAATACTATCATACTGTACTGTGAATTTCAACCACTGGGTGGCAGCAGAAGCATTTCCATCACAGCTGAACAAATTCATCTAATCCACATTCATCTTGACAGTTCGTGTTGTGTTTATCTTCATAACCTCATAAAGCTTTTGACATTAAAGGAAAATGCTTCTTTTCAGTGGCGTCATCTGTAAAACTACATTGTGCGTCCCGCACTGAGCGCTCCACAGCTGTGGCTGAGTTGTTCGGTCTTGGCTGGTGAACGAAAGGCATTTGACTGTTGTTGACAGTGCCAAGTCTGAATCACAGCCTGAACGTTTGCACCAGCTGCATGATCCTAATTACTACTAATCTGTCCTCATGATATCTTATCAAACAGCTTTTTTACTACAGGAGAGCTTTGGATGTGGGTTTTTTTTTTTTTTTTTTTGTGGTGGCTGTGCTGATTTTATGATTTTAACATTTTTATCATGGTGAGGAAAAAACAAGTGCTAGTGCTTATCATCATTGGCCTTACTTATAAATGTTTATTTGGCCACAGTGCTCCTTTTTTCTTATTTTTTCACCCCTTCATCTAAGAAGTTTTCTAAAACACTCGGGATTTCAAATGGTAACGTCAAACACCCACTTTTTTTTTTTTTTTTCTATTCTTTGCAGACTCGTCTCTCCTGATCTCAGACTTTGAGCCCCAACAAGCGAGTGGAGAGGGAGGCACGGAGGACGAGTTTGATCCAATTCCCGTCACAGGCCGAAAGAACTCCCAAGGTAAGTCTGTACAGTATCTGCAAAGAAGCACAGGTGGGTCAAGATGGTCTTAGAAATTGTAGACACACCCAGGAGTGTTTTTTTTGGGGGGGGTCAGTGGCATGCTCATTTGCTAAATAATTAACAGCACTCAAACCTACTGATAACAGGATCAGGTGCCTGCGCTGTTTTTACATCTTCAGTTGAGAATGTTTGAAAACCAGTAGCAGTAAATGGGTAAATTCTGCCCTCTTTCTCCCTCTTCTCTCTTTCTCTCTCTCTTTCTCGACCTCTCTCCCCCCCTTCTTTGACTGCTGTGTTTTGCTTGTTGTGACTCCCACTCCTCTGCTTCTCCTCCCCTCTGTTTGCCCGTGTTCCCCCTTGTCTCTCCGGCCAGTTTCAGGAGGCCACTCGCGCAGTAACAGTGGCGGCTCTGAATCCAGCCTGCCCAGCTTGGCCCGCTCCCTGCTGCTGGTGGACCAGCTCATCGACTTGTAGGCGGCCCTCCCCCCCCTCCCTCGTAGAAGCTGTAACACTGGATTATAGACTGGCATAGCATAACTGCAATCAACACTGTTGTCATAGCTAGCTTCCTGCACCCCCTGGCTGTCATCATCATTGTAGTTCCTACAGTAGAAATGTCCTTCGCCTTTCAGTGCTTCTTCATCCCCGCCCTCTCCGCCGTATCAACTGCATTATCTGGCTTCTCTTCACCTCTTATCTCTCACCCTCTCACTCACATTTTCTCTTTGTTGTAGTCTCTGCGCATCATGTATTGTCCATTGGTTCAAGAGTGGCCAGTACACTAACATCATCCTGACGATTAACCATTACATCTTTCTGTCAATCAGGATATAATATTGCTATCCAGTTTGTTTGAACAATATCGCATTATGTCAAATAGCAAACAATAGAAGATCATCGTTGTAATGTACAATAGGCATAGTTATAAGTGGTTGTAGTTATTATCGTGCACAAGTGAATTTGTCGTTGTTTGCCTTTTTAAATTCTCCTCCCCAGATTTATTTGCACATTTTAAAGTAAAACCATGGAAAAGTTAAATGACAAACTTGTTCAAATAAGGTCAGTTTATTTCTTCTGCAAGCGGAAACTTATTTGAAACGTAGTCATGTAGCCTGATTTGCACAGTAGCATAAGTGTTACCTCTGTCAGCCTGTTGGGTGGAATATCTTTAACAATTTAAAGCTGCTAAAGAGTAGACTGAAAAATGAAATCAAATCGTGCCACAATCTGGAAACAAAACAGTCATAACGACACCTCCTACTACTTCTCTGTCTGCTTCTGCAGCACGAGCACCATACTGAGTTATTGTGATGGAGAGAAAAGCAGGACACAAAAAGTTTCCCTGATCAGACTAAACAGTGAAGTGCCATAAAATAATCTGTGAAGCAAACTACTGACTGAAACAGTCCTGAAAGTGTACAGGATCTGCTAATCTATAAATATAAGTACAATTAAAAAGAACATCTTACAAATTCTGTCATCAATCCAAGGTGAACTTGTTGTCCAGACAGAGTGTACTTTTAAAACAAGGACCTGTTCTCATTTGCTGTTATTTTAAGCTTCCTTTTGATTTTATCCTTGAGGCAAGCAAGAGGTTGCTTTGGAATTAAATGGCAAATCCTGGTCATTTAACAGTGTTTATACCAGTGTGCCATACCGACATTAAATGCATGAAATCATGAAAATAAATTTAAATAATCAACATTAATAGGAAATATTAGAACTACAGTAGCTGTTATATATAGAGAGAACATTCATGACGATTCAGGTGATTTTTTGGCACTAACAGAAACAAACTAATGTGGCATTTTAAAAATGATTTTCACTCATTCACATTTTTTCTTTAATATCAACACAAACATTAATTCCCCATCATGCAATCCTTCCTACATTCCTGTCACTTGTTTACTCCTTATTTATGTAAATAGATATCTGGACCCCGTGCAGGCTCTTATCCAGACCATAGAATTGGTTATTCTTCCCGTGTATATATGAAGTCATTGTCATAAAGCTTTACTTGTGGAAGACATATTGCTTTACTTGTGAAATCTCTCTCAGTATATATATATCTATACATATATAGATATATATATATGTATACATGAGATATTGTTTTCCTGTTAATAAATGTTAATATGAATAGAGTGTTAGAGAATGAATGTAAGAAATAAATATTAGTCTATAATAAAAAATATCTATAATTCTTAACACCATAATCACTGAATAATATTGAAGAATACTCTATAAATATTTCATTCCTCTTTGTGGAATTGTGTGTTGAGAAAGTTTTTTTTCTTGGTTATATCTATTCAATAATTGTCCGTACATTCAAATGTATAGATAATAATCCTAGTCTTTGTCCAACCTGGAAGATTAGGCTGAATCCCATGTCTTATTCCACCTTTGTGAAAAGAAAGTGAGCCTGTGTTCTGTTTGTTTACATGGACTGATGAAGGATTATATTTTTACAGTTTTCTGGAGAGTGGGAGCTTAACCTCTTGAATCTTAGTCCTGTTTCATTTCATTGCTAAACTAGAACTTTTTCTGAAATTGTGCTTTACCGGTTTTAGTGATCACAGAATTCATATCAAAAAGCATGGCAGTGTTGTTGAATGTTATGTTCATGTGTGTTGGTATACAGTGTTATGATAAGTATGTATGTGTGTGTGGAGTCAGACTTGTTGGATGTGTTTTCCAGTAGCCTACTTGTGTTGTTGTTCGCTGCAAACATGGCGACGGTCGCGTTGTCATTAAAATCTCCTCTTGAAGCACAGGCCCCCCTAAATTCTCTCAGGTAGTCAGAGCTACATGACTCTCTCTGAGAGTTGGATACGTATTGGCTTACTGCTCCCCAGTCTCACTGTCCTCTGGAAGTCTGCGCTCCATATTACAGTCAAGAGAACTTGTCTGATGTAACGTGTGAGGGGCTCTCTGAGGTGCGAAGTCTGCCAGTCTCACAGTGATGATACGTCACTGTTGCTGTAGCAGTGGTTTGATTATCAGGCAGCATGAAAGTCAGCTGTTCAGGGTTTGAAAAATCAGCTCCAATCAGCAATATAAATGTTTCTGTAGGATCAAACAAAGTCATTTTGCTTCCTGTGCATGGTTACAGTGGGGAGGACGACCTCCGCCTCCTCTTTTCAATTTTTGTCGTATTAAAAAATGATTTTAAATAGCATATAGTGTGCGGTACGGTATGTTTTTTTGTGAGATCTACTGAAAATACACCTTTCTGGAAGAGGAATAGTACATTTAAATAATCAGGAGTTATTTTATCATTATTTAACTCTAGTTATTTAAATCAGTCACATTTTAATTCAGATAAAGTCCACAAATTCTGGTTAGATATTAATAATATCATATATATATATATATACATATATATATACATATACAATAACAAATGAATAAATTAAGTAATTAATTGTAGTTACCTTTTGAAGTCAAGGCAGCAGTATTCAATAAATCTCACATCGCTTAAAATCTTTGAATCTTAAATTTTAAAATCCAGAATAGGCTCAAACTAAGTTTCATGATAATGAGTTGAAACATATTGATTTCTGCGTTATTTCAACGTCAGTCCATTTGCTCCCAAAACGGAGAGTATTTTGAGTAGAAATCACTGATTAACAATTTAAATTATGTCCTTTTATTGTCTAAATCAATAAACGTCGAGGAGCGGCTGGTTTCAAAGCAACAGGCTCTTTTGGCCGCATTTACTGTAGGTACTGCATGTGCAACTGAAGGCTTATGTTTGTTTTGTTTTTTTATCATCCTCTCTATGATCCTTCCACTGAACAGCTCAGTCATTTGAAGTTACTGTTTGAACCTATGCAACTCCCGAGCTTTCTCCCTGTAGCCGCCTGTGTGCTGTTGTAATCGGTAAAGCCAAGCAGGTAGTGAGATTAGTCCTTGATGTGAAACAGGAGCCCCTCGTTCTCTCTGTTGTTTTGCCAAAAATGAAATCTGATACTATTGAGTGTTTTGAGACGCCTCCTGTCTGTATGGCCCCAAACCTGCGTCAGAGCTGTGGTATCGTGTGCTCCTTCTATTTTTGTGAGATAATTAAAGAATTATAAAGGGATGGCAAATAAAATACAAATGTGAATGTCAACGTGTTGAGTGTTGATTGTACGATTTTCTTTGTCATCATTTTCGTTCAGATTATTGGTTACTATAGCTCAACAGAAGTTTTTTTTTTTTTTTTTTTTTTAAATAATAGTGTCTGTCAGTAAAGGGGGAAAAAAATCAACATTTACAAGTATATTCCACATTTAAACAACTTTTCTTTAGACATAGTCCCATCTTTAAATTGTTATAGTGAAGGGGAACTATTTTGCACAGTCCGCTACTAGTGCGAACATAACATAACACTCCTGACTGAAGTGTGAGCCGTCAAGTTGCATTGTGGGTAAAGTAGGTGCAAATTTTTGACAAAGGAAAAAATAAAATGTGTAATAAAAAAGACGATATCTCTGGTTCAGCTGCTTTGATTCTGATACTTTTTGTTCTAAAGTGTTTTAGGAATGCGCCGCTAAATCGATGGCACCCTCTTTTAATTGTTTGTCATCAGACTTGCATGTAAAGATATGTGCATGAAATACTTGGGTGCGAGACTGAGGGCTTAAGTTATCAAGTAAATGAATTTTTAAACTGTTGTATTTTATAGCAGGGTTGGTTTAATCATGTAATGCACTAATCAACGTTTTATTCTACTTGGATAGCAGGTTAAGTCCACTCAGGTAAGATCAAACATCAGCTTCATGACCCATTAAAATCTCAATCCATTTTTTGTTTTTCCATTTTTGTGACTTTTCCTTCACCTTCTAAAAGATGATCATTTCTCACTTTCCTAAACACAATAGTTATAGGAATATACCTGACATCGTGTCATACTCGAGCCTGACCTGCCGACATGTTGCCAGAGTTTAGCTTATCGCAGATACGGGACGTTAGTATCAGCTCATTTATTGATCCATTAGTGAGAGGAATATAGCAGTACAGAAATGACAAAGATGTGTTTGACACACAACGATGGGACAGTCAAAAAATAACTGAGAAGTTTATTTTTCAACAATAAAACGTTCCACTCGATACATATCCTGAACACAATGCTTTAATAACCGAATTGAACAGTTCCTTGTGATATGTTAATATTAAAAAGGGGAAAAGAAGAATGTCGGCCAATATATTATCAGATTTTTTTAAAACTCTTAAATAGAAATATAAGTCTAGGCTTTTATCACTGGAAACATGTCACAGTAGGAAAAGCACAGATGTGAACAATAAATTTAATGATGGCTGGATTTCATTTAGTTGCTTTGGTTTCAGGGTCCTGGTGTTGTGCGTGCTGGCTCACTGTCGCACTGTCATGACTTATTGAGACACTTAAATTGAAGAGAAATTGTTAATGTGCTTTTAACTCTGTTGGCCTCAAAACTTCAGTACTGATCAGACTAATGTTTCACACCACCCATCTGAGCTCACTGATAAACATCACATGCTCCACACGACGTAAAAACACTGGAATATTTTGCATTTTCCACATTTTCTCTCTAAAACCTTCCATGATTTCCACTCCCATCACTTTCTGTCACTGGGTTTTGATCCATTTGAGAAACATTTGGTTTAGGTAAACATTCCTTTCTGTTGCATTTAATATCATGATAGAAAAAGATGCTATTTTCCACAATATGAGATTCATAAAATGAATGTCCCTTTGTTGTAAAGTTTTTAAGCATGTATCTTCATGTTTCTCCGATGTCTCCCACATACAGACCTGCAGAGGGAGCTCAACAGTAATGTACTGCGAGGCTCTGGGACTGTGGCTTCTGTGCAGTTCTCTGAGGAGAAGCAAGGGCAGAGGATCCAGCAGAGGACTGCTGCATGTGTCTATAACAAACACATGCTGCAATCAGATGAGAGGAGCAAGCAACACCATGTGATTTCAACTCCTTCCACCACTTTTCACTTCGTACCTGACAACCATGTACCCCTGTTCCAGCCTCCAGACAGCCCAGTGACCTCTGATGTCTTCCAGCTGGCCCCTTTTAAACCACCAGAGAAAGAAAGCAAGAATGCATTCAGCAGCTCCTCCTTTTCTGCATCTCATAAACCTGTTGAGGCATCGGATGTTTTCCTCCAGGCACCGTTTGGAAAGAGGCAGGAAACCACCAAAGCAAACGATCACATATTTAAGTCTGTTACACAGCAGATTCAAACCAGCAAACACAGTCACCTGGTCCCAGTATCTGCTCCTCAGCCTCTCGGTGTCCGGGTCCCTCCTCAGCCTCTGCTCCAGCAGCCGGTGGCGGTGCACCGGGTCGTCTCCAGGATTGGTCAGCAGGCCGCCGTGGGTTCTGTGGCTGTGGGGCCTCTGCATTCCTGGACCATAGGGGGAAGAGCTCTGGATGACCCGTTTACCGCTGCACCTTTTCAGCCAAGATGCTCTCAGGGGAAACCTTGATTATATAATTGTCTGGTAAAAAATGCCAAGTCAGAGCTTTTTCTGCAGCTCATGAAGGAGCCAAAGTATAAGTCAGTCGCAGTATTACCCATTTTATAATGTAGTTTTACTATTGTCATTATTGCTGCAGTATTAAAATGACTAAATTATCCCTTTTAGCAACTATGTACTTTAAACTTCATGTTCTACCTCAGTCATCTGATCCGCTTTTAGTCTGAGCACAACAGTGCGTCATTTCAGCACTTTACAAACAGTCTGAACTTGGACTGAGAAGTTATTAAGATGAACTTCAGTGGATTGATCCTGTAATTTAAAACTTCATGTAGGACATCAAGAAGGGTTTTGTAAAACTGTAATTTTTTTGACTGCATATTTCTGTTTTATTCAATTTGTCAATATTTGGTGTGTTTCTCAGTTGGTGCCGTCTTTCTAAAACCTCTACAAATATTCACGCATCAGAAAACTTTAATATCTGAGATGTAAAGTCGCTGCTTTCAGTTTTATTCTGTGTATTTCAGTTTGGCAGCGGCTGCAGGGTCTAATCCTGTTTTAAATCTATATAGCGGTTTACCCTTCTGTTTACATGTAGATTACGGATTGTGCCTTTTTTAATATCAGTGATTGCAGGCGTCTGGTTAACATTCAGCATCAGTGCTGCAAAGCTACCAAACAGACCAACGTGATAAATCAAATGCAATGATGAGAAACATTTTCACACAGTTGAAGGAGGGAAAATATTTCAAGCACAGTGAAATTTAAAAAAAAAAGAGTTACAAAGAAATCTGGACAAGTACTTTAGTGATTTCGAGCTCAATTTACCATCTTTACTACTTGATAATTGTTCTCTGGTTGCTGCTGCTGCCATTTTCTCACAAACTACACCAGTGTTATGAGACTTTAGTAGTTATCTTGAAAGGAGTTAGACTTTTTTAAACCTGCTAATGTTGTTTGTCTTTGGTCTTTTTGTATGTTGAATGAAACATATCATGTCTGTGTCTTCCAACTTAAAGTTACACAATAGGTCAGAAGGCAAGTCACAGAAAAAAAAAAAACCATCATCTCTACCGAGCCGAATTTTTAGTGCGTTTTTCTTACAGTGATAAGATTTTAAATGTTTCTTATTATTTTGCTTCATACTTTGGCAGAGATAAGGACTTTTTGTAAACCATGCTGCCTTTACTTATGGCATTTTGTTCATGCATAGTATTTTTCATTCTTATTATCTGGCTATTAATACTGGCCTTTAGGAAAGATTGTCAGTAGAAAACTTTGTATTTTATTAAAGGTTTATGAATATAATGGTATCCTAGTTATTTAGTTATATGTCTTTTCTTCCTCTTTAACCTGTCAATAATGTGGTGGTACGGTTTTCAAGGCGTATTCCAGTGTCCTGCCTCATTACTGACGTGTTTCACACCAGTGGATCCAGGCTTTCATGGTTCTACCTGAGGTGGGACACGATGGCAAATGTCTGTTTGAATCTTGGCCAGATGACAACAGTGAGAGCGCTGCAGGGATCTTTCATGTCCAAAATGGTGTCAGTGGCGTGCTGGAGGTCTTTCTTGTGTTGATAGACTTGCAGAAGTTTGCTTCACGGGACAGAGGCCAAAAGTATTGTCTTTCCAGGAAAGTTTTTGTTTTATCTTTGTTTTTTTATGAATAACAGATTAGGCAGATTAAAGTGCATGCAGAGGAAAAATGGAAAAAAGATAAACACAGGATCAGCCAAAAACACTATAAACTAGTTCTGCTATTTAATGAGTATTTTTACTTCAGACCCAGTCCCCAATAAACCCCCACAAAAACACACGAGGTATACGGCTCAAATCTCTTCTTCGGGAGGAAAAGTAAGTTGAGCTTGTGTGAAAGATGAGCCGCTTGTTTTTGCTCTGCTGTGCGCAAAACGTCATGTGAGCTTAGTTTTTGTAAGAGGTTCGCTTTTCTTGAACTTGGGACAAGAGCAGCACATGGAAAAAAAAAGAGAGTGAGTGAATGAAAATTGATAAAGCTGGAGCTTTGTTTTTTTTTTTAATTGTAAACCGGTTCAAGGCTGTGTGGAAACTGCGCTGGTTCATAAACTTGCATAACTGTGGAACTGCGTGACGTCAGTGATTGCCTTTGTTTGTGCAGCCAAGGCACTGGCGAAGCTGAGACCACTGATGAGCATATTTTTACACTCTCTTCACAGTTATACATATTTCCGATGTTACAGATGGTGTTTCGCGGTGAAACGTCAAACGCAGAACAAATAGAGGTTGATGAATTTTTGTCAGTTAGGGAGGTCCGTTTGATCATTCATATATTACTGATAAATACCGGCTTAACACTGAGCAAGGACATAAATACTGAAACATATTGAGGGAAAAGAAGTATAAACTGCTTGTCAGACTCATGCACGCCACACTGGTGACAAGTTTAGCTTTGCTGTCATTTTGTAGATTGAAAGATTTAATACTGCGTATGTTCATCATGACACATGCAAAGCTGGAAACAGCCAAGAGAAAATAGTGCTCAGGTAAAAAAAATTTTTTTTTTGTCCTCAGCAGTGGTGGACTCTGTAAAAGTGTTAAACTGTGTGAATACCTCTTCCAGATCTCCATGGCGTCATAGTTGGATTTTGATTTTATTGTGTGCCTATAATCCGACGTCCTGCCTCTGCTCCTGGCAGTTTTCTCAGGCACGCCTCCATGAGCTCACTGCCCACAGGACTGCAGGTCCGACTGCATGCGTCTGCGAAAGCATTTCCTAATGCAGAAAGAACTGAAACTATGGAAAGCACATGGAAAAGATGCATTTGGGTTTATTTTAGTCGATCTGATTGGAATAAGGCTCAGCTGACCAGCTGTTCCACGGCTTGTTCCATAATTCCCAACCCTGAAAATAACGTTTTTTATTTAGAGAGATTCAATAGAAATCTTACCCATAATGGAAGCGATTTACTCCAAACTGTTTGGAGTATTGTTAAAGTAAAGTGAATAATTTTGTTCATCCTTCTAATCATTCAGCCACATTCTAGCTGTATGCATATTTCCTGCAGTGCCAGCCAGGAAAGCAGAGAGAAGCAGCCCAGATCTGCTTATTACCAGGAAATTCCTCCAGTGTTTCCATAAGTATCTAGTGGTGCCCAGGGAAACCTCATAGTACCCAATAATCTTTGTGACCTCAGGGGCATCTTTACCAGGTGTAACAACCACTCAACTCTTGTCCTGATGACAAAGACGTGAAGTCAGTCAGCCACTCGACAAAGAAACCTTAAACTGGTCATTTGTATCCACCTCCCTCATTCTTCGGTTAACTAACAAATAAATCTTCTGACGGACGATTCAGTGTTCTCTAAGATGACAGTGGATAGTTTCACAACAAGTCTCTGAGAGTATTGCAGGCATAAAAGCAGGCAGTTCACTTGCACTTTACAATATCCGTTTTTTAAGACAAATTCCTTTATCCTACTGCAGAATTATGACCTTTAGGCTGGAGCCGGGTGGAGCTCTGCTGAGGATTACATGATGTCTCCAAACTTTATGCAGTAATAAAAGCCCCTCCTTATTAACTATATGGTGCACTGTGTTAATGTGCCATAGGGAACTCAAAGGTTCCCACAATAGAGCTTTTTGAATCGCAGGAAAGTCAGGGAGACGTCTCTACACCTGCAGAGCTTTGAGCTGTGACCACCTGTGATTGAGCTCAGTATTCAAAAAAACATCTGTCAGAGCTCTGACAATGACAAATCCTGACTGGAGCATAAAAGAGAGGAACAGCTATTTACTGACCTGTTGCACATCATATTGGTATGAACAAATTCGATCACAAGACTCAAAAACTGCAGTCCATCATTCCGACTGCTAAATCAGTGTCAGGGTAATTTTCCACTTTCCAGACGTCAGTGCTACAGAATGGCTCCTGTCAGCAGTCGGCGTCACACACCACGAGAAGATGTTACACCTGTGTTCAGAGTTTCACGCTGACAGCTTTACAGATTAAAGTCATTTTTGACAAAATGTTCAAAATTTTATTTCATTATTTCAAAAAAAAGAAAAAAAAAAGAAGTGTTAACTGCATTGAGAAGACTAGTCTCTGCGGGCAGCTCTTCTGAGACGCGTGTGACACTGATGTATGAATCTTAATGGAAGTTTAACATTTTGGTAAATATGTTTATTCACTTTTTTTTCCCGAAAGTTAGATGAGAAGATCAACACCACTGTCATGTCTACACCATGAATGTGAAGCTAGCTTAACTAGTTAGCTTAGCATAAAGACTTAAAGCATGGGGAAACAGTTTGTTCAAAGTTCAAGAAATCTACCTATTATATATTTTTGTAGAAAAAAAAATACATCGTGAGAACTGCCAGCATCCATGAGAAGCAGACATCAAATATATCTATATTTATACATATATAATTTTTGTGATTCAATGAATATTAATTCACAACATATACATTTTTAAGGCAACACTGGCCAAACACACTTGCATGTATAAAACACATGACGCAGTTGCTGAGTTGCTGGATTTTCTGCGGTTTAAACATCTGATTATTGTTTTTCACTGTGCAAAGCAGTGAAAGATTATTTTAGATCAACAAATCTAATTCATATCAGGCAAAGACTAAAATGCAGATTCATACAATAGCGCATCGACCAATTTGTCTGATTTAGTATTATGAAGAACCGACTAAGTTGCTTAGCTACAATAGCATTTAATAGCCAAAGCTGCTGTGCTTGCTACACTAAATATTCACTTTCTAGACTTAAAAAAAAGTCATAGTTCATGGCACATAATGTGTGAGCCACTTGTTGAGGCAAACCGACTTGTTGAAAGTTTTGACTGTGCTTGGGTTGAATCTCAAAAGGCAACATCACACAGTCACTTCAATTCTGTTCTCTGTTTGGACGTATTTAGAGGAAGGCACAGTGAAAAGGTCTTTTCAGGTTTCCATCCTGAGCTTGGATCCTGCTCCTCAGCTTCTTAGCTCTCCATCATCATCAGTGGCTCTCATGATTGGGGCGTGGAGGAGGGCGTGACGGAGGAGGCGCTCTACAAGGAGGTGGCCCCTGAGGTGGAGGCGGCAGAGAGCCGGTTGGAGACGGGGGTACAGAGACGGGGCTCATGTTGGCCGGGGGCAGGGCTCTGTTTGGAGGTGGTGTGTACATGGGAGGGGTGGTGGAGGACGGGGGAGGAGTGGACGGCAGAGGGGGGAGCGTTGAGGTTGGCGAGGGGGGCAAATTGAAGAGGGGGCTGCCCTCTGATGGACGACGCTGGTAAGTGTGGGGCAAAGTGTAGACCGGCGTGGACGGATGGTTGTAGATGGGGTAGCGAGGAGCAGGGTAGGATTTGCTTCGGGTGAAGTTTATGCACCTGCCCTGTAATAAAGAAAACCACATTGTTTCAGCACAAAGAGGAATCACTGGTCATTGTAGAGGCTTGTTTTATTATTTCATCATGAACTGTACACTGCAACATGTAGAGAAAACCTAACTACAAAGACTAAAAACTGCAGTGGATTCAGTTAAATTTCCTAAATCTACTTCTGCTGGCGCAGCTATTGGCAGGTTCAGTGGGGTAAAGCTTTCAACAGACAGAAAGAGGAAATTCCTCTGTTAGTGAGTGTCTTGGAGGAAAACAGCATTCCTGCCAGCCCAGCCGTGCTGACGCTGGGAGCTGGAGGAGACAGGCAGCATCTACTCCTAATGACTTATCCAGACAAGATTGTTCCTCCAGACAATACTGCAGTTGTTTTGTACCTTTGTCTACTCACTTTGCCACTTCAGGCTTCCCTTTGAAGGCACTATTCTTGTGATTTGAAGCAGACATTACTTTCTTTTTTTTTTTTAAGTGTTTAGTCCATGAAATAACTGTAGCTAATGTCATGCAGATAAGATTCCAGCTTGGTTTCCACCGTGTTATTTGATGCTGAGCCGGAGGCCATCGCTCCAAACTTCCCATATCCCTCATTTCCAGAGGTCATGAATTTAAACTCTGGTAAATTCTTCAACATCTGCCTGCCAAAAGTTGACATAGTCGGTTCACAATCTTTTCAATTGCTTTTCAAATGCTTGCACGCTTATCTTACAGCTGTAAAGAGCTGATGCTGCTTTTCATTACAGAGTAGAGGAAATCATCCTTGACTTATCCCTGGTTTGTTCATAAGTCTCACCTTGTCTCCAGGATGAGGTCTCATCACAGACACTCTGTCATAGCCTTTTCTCAGGAACACACACAGAGCGTCCAGCTTGCCCTGTAGAAAGATATTCATAGATGATCATACATTAGAAAATAGTTGTTACACCAGTGATCTCCGATAACCATTACATCAACATAATTAGCAGTGCGGCAAGAACAGTCATTTAAAAGACAAACAAAAAGCTACAGTAATGAAGTGTGTTTATTTGTGGCTCTGCCAGACTCTATCTGCTCTACTTTCTGCTCCAGATGTGTCTCTTTGATTCTTGCATAGGACGCTTTATATGGTAGAGAGACAGATAAATAAAGAACGTATTTTGTTAGAAATAACACCCGCTCAACAGATTCCATATTCAGGGGTTAGCTCAGTTCATGTCTGGTTCTTATTACTATCCATTCAGCTGACTAATACGTGAGGAAACGATTTTATTAACTATTTCCTGGTAACAAATCATTCCAGCAAACACTTACAAAGTGACATTTTTATGTTATGGATAGGGCAATCGTAAGGAAGAGGTCTTAATGTCAGAACTAACATCTGGACTTGTAGTGTATATTACATATGTTCACATTATGTGATCCGTGTCTTGAAATATAATAAACATAGCTCTATGATGACTGAGCAAACCGAGGAAGAACAGGGGATGTGTTTGAAAAAGCTACTAATGGGACGCTTAAGAGTTAAGATTTCGTTGTCAAAATATTAATTAAAATAAGCAAAATATGAGCAGATACCTTGGTGACAAATCACAGAATCAAACATAAGCTAAGAGGTCAAATAAGATCAGAGAGACATACGCAGTACGTTTCCTGTAAATGCCTGAAAAGAGTGAATAACTCTGAGCACCTTGATGGGAGAATACCACTTCTGGGGGCGGTGAGATTTGTGCATGTTGTAGTAAGGCCTTGGTGGAGGAAAATCAAACTCCTGTTCAGGCATCACAACTCGAGCATTTTTAGCCTTTTCCAGTTTGGCACCTTCTTCAGTGGAACCTTTATCTCCCCAGCGGACCTGAACAAAGACAGAAGCTTGGAGTTACATGGGAATATGGCCGATAGATCAACCCAACCATCACAGTTTCTTACATCTACTGCAGAAGCTGAGAGCAGAGATACTTGCAGTGTGGTGAGAAGTAGTGTCAATGTTGATTTGTTGAGGTCCAGATGGCAACATCTGCTGGACTGATTGCCATGACATTTTGTAGAAACATTCATTGTTCACAGACGATAAATGCTACTGACTTTGGTGATTCATTGACTTTTACTCTCATGCTACCATGAGTTTGACGCTTCTGTGTTTTTAGTGAAATTTATCGATTGTCATGAAATGTGGTTCAGATATCCACAGTGATCGGAGGACGATTTGTTCTAACTTTGGTGATTTGGAGATTGTACCTTTCCCTCTTGCGCCATCAACAGGTCAAATTTTAGTCCAGTTCTTTGGTTTGTCATTACTTGTAAAGGTAACGACAATCCCATCCGCCCCAGCTATACTTTGCATCTATTGCTAATTTGCAAATGTTAGCATGCTATGATGCTAAACTAAGATGGTGTCTATGGTAAACATACCTGCATGTTAGCATTGTCATTGTGAACATGTTAGCATGCTGACTTTTAGCACGTACAGCCTCACAGATCTGCTAGTGTCGCTGTCGACTCAGATTCTTGTTACAATACTAAATTGTTACTTTGAGATGACAAGAAAATTTGATCATAATCCGGAATCTGATTTGAGATGATAATGTCAGATCCATTTGCCTTACTGATTTTTTACCAATGCAGCTGCATCTATTTTGCATGTAAAACATGACATCTGGTTGTGCTATAACCAGATGTTTATAGCATATCTACATGGAATTTAATTAAACCGAGTCCACTGAAATACAAGAAAACAGAAGTTGGCTCCCTTGCCACAAAGTTTTATTGTGTCATTACAAGCAGTTTCAGAATTGGGATTTGTCCTAAACCTCTGAGAGCACATACATTATATATGATTCTGTTTTATGGCATAAAACCTCAAAATTCAACAAGAGACCCACAGCCACAGGTAACTGGCCTCATTCTTCCTCTGCCTCAAAGGCAAAGAATATCACTAAATCACTAAAAGCTTTTTTCCATTTTTTTCCCCTTTTTTTCCCCCTAAATTATGACGTTGATGCTCAGAGAGCCACTAAAAAGCTAAAACTAAATGTCAAGAACGCTTCGGCACATTGAGAGTGAAACCAACACTGTCAAAGCAACCTTGGAAGTTCATTACTCAAACACACTCCTTTGCAGCTGCCACAGACAAGCCATGAAGGCTTTGACCTGGCAGAGAAAGCACTTAAATGAAGCTGTGCATATTTTCCACAGCTCTGTTTGGAAGTGGTGCCACTTCAAGGCAAATTCACAGCACAGACTCCTCAGACTTGCACCAGCAGTTGGTGAAGCTTTTCACAGTGAGAGGGTGACTTCTGTCTCCTTGACCTTCATTTGCTTAGACAACATACACATCTGGTTCCTCTTGACCTGAAGACGTGTCAGTCTCCTTTCTGTTGTTCACGTCTCTCAGGTATCATGTAGCATGCAGGGCCCAGATGTCAGTTTGCCGCTTCTTATTCTAAAAATAAATCTCTTGATGACTGAACTTCTGCTACCTTTTCCTCCTCTGGAAAAGAAATTGTGATGATTCTTTCCTTTTATCACCTCAAGCAGCTAAATCTAAATCTTTTAACAAGATTTTTCAGAACAGCACCTTTACTTCGCCTGACTCTGCCAAACTGCAGAGAATCAAATACATTTGTCTGTTGTGTAACAACCACAAATGAATCATTCAAGCTCACATGATGCGGCTACTAACAGAAAGCTCATCTTGGCTTCTGGGCCTTAACACTTTGCAGTTTACCGGCCAGATGGCCTCATCTTAACTCTCACTGGCTCTCAACAATGTGACTCAGTCTTTTCCAGTATGGACTTGCGGACTCATCTCTTTTAAGGAATGAGTCGCTTCCTGCTTCCCTTTGTATTCCTGCTGCACTTTCGTTTGATCTCAGTCAATTCAAAACGAGCTGAGTCATAGATTCAAGCTCGCCATATGTACTGTCTGCAAACCTGAAGTCGACCAATATATTTCATTTCTAATCTTGAATTTAGTTGCAGTATTAAAGCCCTTTGGTTTAAAGTCTTATCTTATACAAACAGTAACATTTCGTCTCAGTGTCTTAGATCCTGAGACTCTTTTGAAGACACTTAAATTTCCACATACAATCATCTGTTGTGGCCACTCTGTAAGTACACTGCATATTATATAAAATATCACACGGATTGTGATCACATACTGTTTCAATTGCGCTTTGCCATCTGTGTTACCTCCATTCTCTTGATGCCTCCGACTCCACGTCCTCCGTAGTACGAGGCATCCACAGTGGGCCACCTCTTCTTGGGAAAACCATCCTCATCATCCTTAAGAAGAAAGAAAACGGTATTCATGTTTGCAAAGAGTAAACAGATTTTTTAGACTCTTGCTGAAGAGCAGATGCGCTGTGCTTGATTAAAAGTGTCACTGTTTCTAACAAATCTTATCTCAGCTCCATTAATATTCCAAACGTCTGGAGAGGTAGGCTTCTCTCAGTACTTATACTCCTATGTACGTTGTTTTTTGTGTATGTGTTTATTTGTTGTTGTGATAACAATGTAATCATTATTGTAAAGAAATGAATCATTTATATAATTTTATCATTCCAAGGTGGAGAACAAAGCCACTTACAGAGATGTCCTCTATTACTGGAGGAGGCGGCTCGTGAATGACCTGCAAACAAGAAAAAGAAAAATGTTCTGAAAACCTCAAAGGATAGTTGTGTACTAACAAACACATTTGCCTTTGTATGTTCTTCATTCTGAGAGGATCCAAGATGGCTGCCATACCACAGTGCAGCAGAGAGGCCAAAACCACCACAGAAGAAGGATGGTGAGCAGGAGCAGCAGGATGAGCAGAGCTATGGCCACAAAGGTCCCATCAGACTAGAGGGGACATAACTGGTGTGAGTAGGTGATCACTAATTTCTATGACATTTGTTGGACAAAATCACAACATGAAACTGAAGACCTGAAGGTAACTACAACACGTACAGTCACATACATCCCTCCCTTAAAATCCGTGCCTCACCAAACCCGTACACAACCCTACTGAGCCTCATGTTGCTTTCTGATCACAGATCGTATAGATTGCCACTTTCTTGTCTTTTCAACCATACTTAGCAACGTGGATATAAATGGTTGCAGAGGACATTCAAATATTATAACATCGCGTCATTGTCACGGCCACTAAAGTGAGGAAGCGAGAATAAGCATCAAGCTGCTGCTTCCATCAAAGATAAACTGAAACGATGTATAAAAGAGCTAAGGAGCCATTGATTACAGGGTGATGCTATTCTATATGTACAAGTAGTATATCATTTGCGTGTAGTTATTGAAATAAATCTCCATCCTTTAGACAAGTCACTAAATGAGTGATCAGAATCTCTGCTGAAGTTCAGAATCATGTGTGACTTCAGTTTTTTGTTTATTCCCTCCTTGTTTTTCCATTGTACTTACACAAGTGACTGCAGTTATTGTCACAGAGCTGGATATGAAGCTCAGGCCGTTATTCATGCTGACATGGAGAGTGGCAGAGCTGTAGAAACAGTGAGAGAGTAAATGAGAGCGGCGATAGTGAGAGCCTCCGCTGGCACTTTCAGCACACCTCTAACTCTGACTTTGATTGTGGTTAGAAATAAAAGATAAAAAAATACTTGTTTCCACTCTAAGTGAAAAGCTCACACAATAAAAATGAAAGGATGCTCAGCTATAATAAAATGTCCATGCAGAATCAAACAGTAATAGACTGATTACACTATTGTGAGAAGTCTGACAGGAAGTTACTATTTTGGTGAAAGGTTTCTGTTTCAGTCTCTTTGATTTGATATGACCCAGACGACCTCATCTGTGAACAATAATGGTAATCACTTACGTTCCCTCTTTTTCCAGAACAGGAGCTGGGCACAAAAGGTAGGTATCCCTCACCACCAAAGGTCTTTTCACTGTGGAAAATTTTGAATTTGACACAATAGATAGGAGGGTATATTACAAGATAAGTCAGTATCAGTGGCGAAAGAGAAAGTAAAGTGATGCAAAGGAAAAGTTTACCTCACTTTTTCTACCAGCCCTGAAACTTCATGAAATTCAAGCCTCAAAATATTCTTTTTGTTTTTTAAATTCCTGGACTTCCTCTCCTCATGGAAAATGAAGCAAATGAGGGAGGGTTGTGGTTTATTTACCCTGGCTGAGCGAGTGTCTAGTGTGTGCAAAGACACTGCTCGTCCCTGATGAGATCCACATTCCCCTTTAGACATCTGAGAAGCTTTGAGCGTTGTACCAGCTGATCCAAAGCAGAGGAAGATGGTGCTGATGGTTTTTGGGGAGGACGGGGATTTAAATCATTGTGAGCCGCAAAGAGCTCCCCCCCCCCCCCCCCCCCCCCCCCCATCCCCGACTGCATGGCCAAAATAAACTTAGCATGATGGTGTAAATGGCTGCTGAGCACAAAACTGTTGCAGTTTTTGGATTCACACACCCACAAAGTTTTGCTATTGTCTGAGTATAATGCGGGGGACAGAGGGCGGATGATACATGGTTCTCATTCACACACATATTAAGATTATTCTATTAGAATAAACATTTAGCCCAGCTACTGCACCTCTCTGTATCTCAAATGTCCTATCAAAACAATTACATAATATACACTATAAGATGACAGATTCATCCTCTCTCTGTGCTTATGTCTTTTATTCTCCACCAACAACACACTCTCCGCCAATTAACCTTATGTTACCTTTGCACAGCGCCAGGCTAGCTGTTTCCCCCTGTTTCTAGTCTTTGTGCTAAGCTAAGCGGCTCTCCAGCTGCATATTTACTACACAGGCATCAGAGTGGTATCGACCTTCTCATCTGACTCACAGCAAGAAATGGAATAAGCACTTAAGAACGTATTAGCAAACATTTGCCCATTTACACATCCAGTAGAAACAAAGCAACATTAGCAATCATCCGAAGTCATGTGTCTGGCAACCTGACGAATGTGAGTCCAATATTCACCCTTCATTTAGCTGCGGTTGGTCTCTACCAACTCTTGAGAGAAATATGTGGCTCTTTAGCTACTAAATGTTCCACTACATTCACCACCATAGTCACTAACTGTGTCTGTCTTCTGTTTGCCGCTGGGCTGGTTACACAGCAAACTGTAAAACCAAAACTATGAGCTCAAAGATGCTAAAATGCTCCGTAGAGCTGAGGGGAACTACAAAGTTGGATGAAAATTTGATGTGGGTTTGTGACCACAAACTACTCCTTTCAGATTACACTTATCCAAAAACATAAAAGAAAACAAAAGAAAAAGAAATAGAAATACAATAAAAGAAATATATCCTTTACATCCCAATACATCCCAATTTTTTATTCTAGTATATGATTGTCTGCTTGTGAATGAAAATCTTGGAGGAGGAACTTACTCAAAGTAACTGTGTCGTTGATGCGGAAGCTGCAGAGAACTTTCTGTACGTCTCGGGCGTGAAGGAAACCATTTCCTTTGACTACAACCTGGAAGGATTCTGAAGTGCGATTAAAACAACCATTTATATATTTTTTCCTTGTAGTAGGTTATGTAATAATATTCATTAAACCTTATAAAGAAGCTCAGGTGGAGTCATCGATGTAATGTAACTGGAATAACAGGCCTATGTGTAACTTTGAGTTCTTTACCTCCTTCACAGATGCTGGACGGCTCCACTGCCAGGATCTCAATGCATGATCTCTTCAGGATCTGAAAGGTAAAATAAGAATTCAAAAAGCTGAACTAAAGGTCGATTAAAATCTGTGAGCGTTACTTAATCAAGAATATGCATATTTCCATGATATTGAAGCCTCATGCTTGTGTCTTTTGTACCGAGTCAATGACGCCTTGTAGTGCCTGAAACCCATCATTCACAGGGAAGACGTGGTCCTTACTGTCAGCTATCGTTGAAAGCTGTCAAGAAATGTGACTGAGTGATTAATTATGTGTCTGATAGTTTGGTTCATTGATTGATTAAGACTGATTGGTTCACCTGGGTTTCATTGAAGTCTTTTACTCCCACACAGTACACAGTGGCACCCAACTGGCGTGCTCTGCTGGCCTGAATCAAAACAAGACATTGAAAAAAACAAACAAACAAATAAGCGACAGTAAATTCACAAATGCTCACTACATCACAACAGGAATAAAAGTGCTGCTGCACCGCTCTTCATGGACTGAAACTAAACAGCTTCTTCCACTTGTGGCCATGCCTCAATCACTGATGTCACTGATGGTGTTATGCCACTGACAGCTATTGGAAAACGCCTGGTGTGACGTCACTCGGAGTGAGGGACTTAAAGGTCCCATATTGTATAAAATGAAATTACCATGATCTTTTTGATTATAAAGCAGTTCTAGGTTCTATATTAATGCTGTGAAAGTATCAAAGCGCTCAGTCCACAGAGAAATGCACACAGAAACTGGGACTAAAAACGAGCGGAACATCTGCAAATTTGTGATGTCACAAAAAAGCAGTCATCGCCATCACCCATGCCCCAAGCCCAGCCCACCTGGACCCACCATCCAACCTTTCAGGATTTGGTTTCTCCGAGTGTTTACCTGAAATCTGCTATATTTTTATTCGATCACTCAGAAAACAATCAGCCACTCTGAAGAGAGACTCAGAGCCTCTTGGCTCACCGACCTGTTGTTGCTCGATCTCCAGAGAGAAGCCTGAGAGAGGGGTTATAAAACTACATTGAGATTGCTCTCTAATGTCACATTATTTTCAAGTGACACAGTGAGGAGAAAATATGTGTTATTGCTTGATGAAGTTATTATGTATTATTATTACTGGCCTTTGGTTGAGGTTTATGAAGATATCAATTCTGTGCTGAAATGGCTCAATAATTGTGCTATTATAATGTTAAAATAATGGTATCACCCTTCATTTAAGTGCACAAGCCAATGGGTTTTCATGTCACCTCTCTCACCTCTCTTTGTGCCAAGTCAAACTGATTTTCTCTCAGTTCACCATCTGTCAGGGCAATGATGACACTGGCTGTCCGGTAACCTGAGAATCAGAGCCAGAGTGGAGAAGAAAACATCCAATGAGATCAATTTTTTTATTATATTTTTCACAGTAGGAATCAAAGTGAACCAACAGCACAAAATATTTTGGACATAATTGTCACGTGATCGAAAGAGCAGCTGTGTTTTTGTTGTTGTTTCTCTCTCTATTTGATGATTTCGCCATATGCTTGAATAACCTTCTGATGACAAAGATTTCACTATGATTAAGTGCTAAAAAGGAAAATCTACTACTCACCATCTCCAGTCCCGTAATATATTTGCTCACTGGCCTGGGAGAGAAGTTTTGAGGCGTCAGTGGCTATAAATTTAAATGGGCCTCATTTAAAGCGTTAAACGCCATACTGTTGGGAAAACAGGATCAGTTTCCCATCGGCTTAGCAGATGACTTACTCTTTGAAAACCTCTGTGCATGTAGGTGTCTCCGCCCGGCTGCACCATGCGTAGCTCCTCCAGTCCCGCACGAATCATCTCTCTGATCACAGACGTAATACAGAGAATGAGAATGGATATTACTTGAAATGTTATGACAAGGGACAGAAGGTAAATCTAAAAGTGCAAGGTAAATTATAAAGGCATTTGAGTGACGCTGTGTATGTGCCACCTGTCTTCTGTTAGTGCCATGAGAGTCCTTCCTTCTGTTGAAAACACAATAAAAGACATCCGCAGCTGAGGACTGGAAAAAAGAAGAGACGACTGTTTAACCTTCTATTATTTTCTCCTTCTCTCTTTACTCTTTAAATCCCAGCCGTGCACCCACCTGATAAACTTGTGCGCCAGGTGGTCAACAAAGTAATATATCTCATTCCAGTAATGCTGCACACTGCCAGACCTGAGAGGAAGAGTTAAGGGGATAACAATGAGATATCTTTGAAAGTATGACAACCATATCAGTCCTGCATCAGCTCCAGTTTGTTCTTTCAGGTCATTTCCTTTTCATTACCACACCAACGCTTTTAATTTCAGGACTCCTCTGGAATTAGCTGGACACAAACAATGAATCAACACATGTACATAAGCTGTCACATGATAAAACATTACACTTTGCATCTAGTCTATGGTGTAAAAATCCAAATATACTCAGTTAACTATCATATAAGAGAATCAGGAAATCTTCACATTTGAGAGGCTGGCAAAGAACGAGTGACTTTTTTTTTCACATTTTTGCTTGAAAAATGACTAAACAATAAATTGATTATAAGAATTGTTGCCAATTAATTTACTGTTGAGACACTAATCAACTAATCATCAGCTCTACTGTGATAAAACACAAAGTCTGATCAGTGGTACTGTATATATATATATAACCTGTTGATTTTACGTTGTTGGATGATTTATTATGCTGTAGCTGCTTTTTGCATTAGTTTTGCCATTGTCTTTGTGCTACGAACTGTTAGCGTCTTTATATACTGTAAAGGGCTGTCATGATATCAGATTTTCACTACATGATTATCGTGGACAAAAGAATTCACAGTAACAATATTATCGCGATATCTATAGAAACATTTGGGAAAAAAATAATGCTATTTGTCAAATTCATCTTTAACTTTGTTTATTGTGTGTTTTGTCTCTTTTTTGGCAAATGAATTAGACTCAAATGTGAGTGTAGGGAGGTGGAGAGAGTCTGTAACCATAACTGTACAAAACGAACAACTACCCTTTATGGATAGAAGGCAACAGGATGAACTGATCGACAAAAGACCTAACATCTGCCATCACAATAATATCATATATGTATTACTGACTCAATATCAGAACTTCATTTCTTTTTAAATACCACGGTTGTTGTCAATAACGTTACATCACAACACCCGTAACACTATATATGTATGTAATGAAGAGGTTCATCCATATATTCATCATAATGAAACTTCACCGAGAAGACCAGTGAGGTTCAGCCTTTTGTATTTCTGTCTGAATGCTGATGCTTAATATTTCCACTCTTTCTCATGTGACCTCCCAGCCCATTTTTAAAAAAAAAAATTCCAAACAGAAACTGAAGTGCCACGTCATTGTCTCGGCTGAGCTTAACATTATATCACATCTTGCAACAGGTGCAGGCTCGACAAAACAATAGAAGATAGCAGCGTTTAAAGAGGAAGTCAGAAATGATAGAGAATCGCGTGGCAAATCAGCATAAACACTACCGCCTCTTCTCACGCTGCGCTGCCCCTCTTCTTCTCCCTCGCTTATGTTTTCATTTATCCTGTGATGTGACTCCCAGGGCAGAGACAGCCAAAAACTTCTTTGGAACATCTGGCTCTAATGGAGAAAGGGTTCTGCAGACTGAGGCACAGGGAGCTGATGCTGGGGCTATATGTGGGCTGTGCCTTGTCTGTGAAGCGTGGCTGCAGTCTGACAACAGAAATCCCTGCAGTGTGCTTCATCATCAAAGTGAATGCATATGCATAAACACAACACACTGCAAATGAAGATGTCAGCATGTAAACACTTTCTGTCAAATCTTACAACTTTACCTCATTTGTATTGGCTCAGGTGATTGCAAAGAGCAGCTAACACAGCTGCAATGTATTTTTCAGAAATGTATGAATGGCTCTATTAAAGGTGAGTTTACAAAACTGGAATTTCCATCCAGGAAAATATGACTACATGAGCTGACTAACAAAACAAAACTACACCACATTGACACAAAACTTAATATATCCATTCATTAGCTTCATGACAGTTTAATAAATAGACAGTGTAATTCAACTCTCATGTCAGCCCTCAGTGGGCATCTGAGTCTCTGTGAATCTGCTTCTGTGTTTGTTCAATGAAATGACACAGTGTTGAAAACAGAAATCTATTTGGTAACTATTTTGATAATCAACTAATCGTTTCAGTCTCTTTCAAGAAAAAGAAAATACAAGGTGAATCAATCTCTGGTTGCAGCTTCTCCAATGTGGCGATTTGCTGCTTTTCTCTGTTTTGTATCATTGAAAACTAAACATCTTTGGGTTTTAAATAGTTGATCAGACATCACCTAGGTCTCTGTGTGCACTTCTCACTTTTTATGCAACAGCCCAAACAACTCAACAATAAATCTAGAATCTAATCAGCAGATTAACCCATAATGAAAATAATCATCAGTTGCAGTCAGTTTGTTGCAGGCCAAAATGACAATGAATGTATTCCTGGCAAGTGCAATGCTATTTATGGGTTTGCTCATCTGTTTCGAGAATTGGAAAATGATGGAGCACAGCATACTTATCCGCAACAAATCATCAGATATGACTGAATTTAAACTTAAGAAAAACCTCGCTAAAATGCCACTTGAAACAGAAAGAGCTGGACAGGTGATATTTCAAAATAAATATACATTATGGCTACATCCATGCCAGCTGGGTTGACTGGACTTGAGCTTTGTTTTGACGGCTATGACTCCAAGACGCTCACTTATTTTCTCTTTGTCTCCAGAGCCCAGAAACCTGCCCTATTTCTACTCCACGAGACTGATACTTATCATCAACAGGTTATAAAAAACCTGCAGTAGCAGATTTATGCATGTAGTAATTAATTAATGTCTCTGGAGAACATGAATGATGTTTGCACCTGTGTCTTAGTTCAAAAAAATCTCAGCCTCTCAGATGAGTCATGCACCAAAAATCATAAACTCTCTTCAGCAGTGGAGTAAAAGTGGAAGCACTCACTTGTCCAAAACAAAGTAGAGGTCAAATCCTCCATAGCAAGACGACCCTGCTTCCCTCCTGTCATGGACCTGTCCTGCACTGCCGGCCACCAGGACCACCATCAGAATGCCCAGCTCCAAACCGAGCAGGCCCTGCCTGCACCAGCACTGGGACATCACTCCAAACTTGAGAGAAAGCATCAGCTCAACCTCAGAGAAGGTAAATGTAAACACTCTCCTGTTGGAGTTTTCCTGTCACCTTCTCCCTCACAACACAGTGACGCACCGAGCCATGCTCTGAAGACTGATCTCCAAGGCATGAAGTGCTCCTCTCTGGATCAGTGTCCCATCTCCTCAGCTACAGATGTGTGCTGGCAGAGGAGGAGTGAAGTTGCTGGCTGGGACTGAGTCTTCAGCTCTCTCTCTCTCTCACACTCAATTATTTTAGCACACGACACCATGAGTTCACACAATGAAAGAAAACACGTGTTAGTATGTGATTTACTGTGTCTTTCATCAGTTTGCATGAATGACCGTAGAGTTTTCATTATTCTTTTGTTCTTGTTCATACTATTCATTGTTTTTTTTCTCTCACTTTTCTTGCAGGTTTACTCAGTTTTACCTCTTACCCGTCAGTGCCACTTAGTGGCAAACACATGCATCATACAATTCACTGCACTGGAACATTCAATTGTAATTCAGTTTATCCTCATTTAAGTATCTGTGAAAACTGGAATAATGACACAATAAATCACTCCTAATGTAACACTTGAGAGAATGTGACCTTCTAAAGGCAAACACTGTAAAAAAAAACCTTTAACAATTAACAAAAGAAAAAATGCTACAGGCTTTTAGAGAGATGCAGATGTTTTGCCCTGTCTCCTTTTTCATTTCTGGTTTCCCGGCCTGTGTGCATCTTATTCCTCACCTGTCCACCAGGTGTCCTCCACCCGATCATCACTAATCATCTGCTAATCATCTGATCTCCCAGCGGCTGCTCATCATCTATATCTGTGTGTATATAAAGTGGACAGTTTTTGTGGTTCATATTGCCAGCTGCTGTAGTTTTGAAGCCATCTTTGGTTTCCTGTTCACATTGCTTTGAGTTTTCAGCACTTTGCCCTACATGAGAGCTACGTGTAACATGTTAACTGGTGAGATTCAGAGGCAGGGCTGGCCCAAGCCTTTATAGGGCCCGAAGCAGAATTTGATTTCAGGGTCCCCGACCGCCATACTATTAGCACTGTTGTCGGTGCTTGATCATTCAACATCATCATTATCAATATTAGCTGCAGGCGCGTTGCTCCGACAGATGTAGTTGGAATTGATTAAACCAGTAGTATTAGCTAGCCAGTCCGTTAACATACTGTGTTTCTGTACGACTACCGTTGACATGATATAATATATCACAAAAAAAAACAAAAAAAAACATTTCAAGTGCTCTTGAGGGCCCTCTAGTGGCCACAGGAACCCTAAGCATGGGGCTTAGTTAGCGCATGCCTTGCCTCTGTTTAGAGGTGCTGGTTAGCAGATTTCGTTATCTGGATGCAGGCTAGCTTTTCCCCCTGTTTCCTGTCTTAATGCTAAGCTAGCTGCATGGTGGCGGTAGCTTCATGTTTGAATGACAGATATGTGAGTGGCATCGATCTTCTCGTCTAACTCGCAGCAAGAAAGCGAATAAGCGTATTACCCCAAGATGCTGGACTGCTCATTTTAAAGTGTTCAGACGGTCATGATACTAAGGACTCTTATTGTCCTGCATCACACTTTTGAAGACAGGAAGAAAACTGGGGTAATCTCAAAAGAAACAGGGGCCGCTGCTATGGAGAACCAAACAAACTAAACTGAAGTGACAGTAGTTGGACATCTCACCCCAAAAAATCATGGCAGTGTTCCTGCCTGTCTGTGTCAGCATCAAAAGTAGTTCATAGAGGAGGCTGAATCTTCTCTTGTAGCCACAAACTAGCTCAGTGAAGGAGCAGAAAACAGGATTTATCACTTTTGAAGTAATGTTTTGCCTTAATTAAAGTCAGCAAACTAAATGCTGCAGTTTACATTTTGGTTTAATTGTGACATTCAGAGATGAGCTTAGGGGACCAGCTGAGGGAGAACATTTCACTCCTCACACCCAGTAAGTGAATCCTTTTCTCTCTTAAAGTGCTCTTTAAAACTGAACTTGAAGCAGCTCCTGCACTGACTGATGAGTCAGTGTGTACATTTATAAGAGACGTGTGTGTGGGGGGTAGACCCAGCAGCCTGCAGGTGGTGTATCGGGTCAAGATTCAACACCTGCTGAGAATGACTGAGGAATCAGGCTGGGTTTTCTTCATTGGAATAAGAACTAGCGTTACTTTTCTTATTTATCCAATCTTTTGAATTGTCAGTAACCTGTTTGCAGGTAAAGATCACGTGGCAGTATATTACAGCTTCTCTTTGTATCCCTCTTGTTTTTAACCTACTGACAGTGTTGCTCCATGATCCTCTATAGTCCAACTAAACTAAACCAAACTAGTATTAAATACATGTATTAAAACAGAAAGTAAGCAAGAAACATGACATGAGGTTGAACACTCACCTCCACCTTATATAAACGTGTGTAATGGATCTGAGTCCAGGTGAAGCACCTCTGTACTGCATGGATGTGTGTTTTGCTGTGAACTGTGTGAGCTCTGCTCTCTTCCCTGTATGTCAGTGACCCACTGCTGCAGCATGGAGACGTGAGAAAACAGCGCTGAGTTCATGAATCCAGGAACTTTTTTTTTTTTTTGCGCTGTTTTCTCTTCTTTTAATCACGAACGCTCATGAACTTTAGCTCGTCTACATATTTGATCAGAAGTAATGGCAACTCCTGCGTTTTTCCTGCTGCTCTGCGGTCTGCGCGTCTCTCTGGCGGTTGATTGGGAGTTTGTGGACACAAATTTTACCTACCTCGGTGATGCAATCGACTACAAGGATCCATGTAAAGCTGGTACAGTGCATTTTTACCTCCTCTGCCAATTTATTGATTTTTTTCCCTCCATAATCACCGTGAGATCGGCTGAAAAAAACGCCTGAAACCTTTTAAAGTTAATTGTAGCTCTCAGTGACGTTGACGTGAAGGCAGTAGAGAATGTAGCCTTAATTGCAAGTTAATGCAAATATTTACATGCAAAAAGTAACCTCCTTATTTTTGTTTTATTGTTAACTAACAGTTGACTAATTGTTAATGGCTCAAAAACATAACAGGATTGTAGATGCATTACCACACACTAAACCACACTCCACCACCAGTAACAGTCATGTGTTGTTAGTTTTATTTAAGTCAAAAAATCTGAGCAGCAAAAAAAATTCACAATCTGTGTTTCAAAGTTGTAGTGGAGCAGGAGTGTAAAATGGGAATACTGAAGCAATTAAAGAACAAGTAGCTCATATTTGTAGGCCTGCTAATGTTTATAATGTTCAGCTTCAGCAAACAGCACTAACCTGAAGACACTGTTTCCTTGACACTAGACAGACCAGTGCAGTTATCACTGTTACAGGCAGATCACACTGATGCAGACCAGATCCAGTTTTAACAGACATGATGTTGACATCATGTACATGCAAGGAGATCATGTTACTGCAGAGTCGCAGTCAAACTTGTACTTTCTTCATACGTAACTGTGTCTGGAGGAGATGTTTGGAGCACTATATTCATTTCTTTCCATGTGAACCTGTTTAATCTTGGTTTAATAAGTAAAACAAATATATTGTAGCCTTGGTTGGGACAAATCTCCTTTGTTCATCTGCTCTCAAGTGATTTACAAGTTTTTAGCAATAGTGGAAAAAGTAGCGATACCACACTATAAAAATATCACATGCAGTGAAATGTGCTCCAAGTAAAGTATTCATCAGGCGACAGACTGGCCCCTTTTATCAAGTTATACTATTAAATTATCATTACTAATTCATTATGGTAACAGTTTAGTTGGTTATTTTAATTGTTGTGTAGTTTTAGATAGTTCTCCAGCAATGCATCATATTTTATGAGCTTATATGTTTTGTATGTAAATTATTGATCTTCATGGTAACTAGTCACTACAGCTGTTAAATAAATGCAGTGGAGTAAAAAGTACAAGAATAAAGCAGCTTAAAACGGAAGTAGTACAGCACTTGAGTAAATGTAGTTTGTGACATTTCACTGCAGGTTTTCAAGTGAAGGATGTAGAGTATGTTTAAAGAAAGTCAGGTTTAACATGTTGGTAAAATAATAATAGTCTAATCTGAAAAAGAAAACACTCAGTCAAACACACTGTACTACAGATATGCAGATATGCAGGGTACTGATAATGAATGAAATCTGCATTATGAATAAGAAAGTCAAATGGTAAATCATTGTCAGGAAACTGAGTGTGTCTGATCGGTTGAATCCGTCCGCCTTGACTTTGTAACGAGCCTTCTCCGGTGAAAAAAGAAAATACAACACTTTTTTTCTCCATCATCTACCATACTAAACAGTTAATTTGGTTATTAGGGGGCCTCCAGCTGGTTGGGGTTCCTTTTTCACTTGTGACTTCTGAAACTTCTAAAACACACCGTTCTTCTCCTCTGAGGCAGTTGCCTGGAGACTGGAGGTCATTGAGGCCATGCCAGCGCCGTCCTTGGCTGGGCGCCGGTGAAATCCCTCTGGCTTCAGGGCATGGGGTGCACACTGCAGGGGTGACAGTCATTTACAGTCACCCTTTGCATGAGTGAATTCACTTCAAAGGCCGACACAGGGCCCGCTATGTCTTTTCATTTCGACTTTCAAAGGCTGTTACATCGCGCAGCTAAATGAGGAATTTAATGGAAAAGACTAGTGAGCTGCTCTGCTGGACTCGTGCAATATGAGATTCTGATTTGGGCCAAGATGTATGTCTTAAATGAAACAAAATGTCAATCCCATAGAGGGAGAGGCAAGTTTCAGAAAGAATATTTTGAGGCAAGAGGGATCATCAAGATGCACATTAAAGAATGTGAAATTAGCTGTTGAGATTCTTATGTCTTGTGAGGAAAAAAAATGTATTGACTTTGTATTTCAGGACAGAAGTTGAGGGTTTTCCCATTCATTTCAACACAGTCTGTTGGAGCCAGCACTCCAACTTCTGTCCAACTTTCTGTCACAGTTAGTCATCCCTGCTTTTGGCGTGTTTAATTTCTTATGATTGCTCATAATTGCACTTCCTTTTCTCCAGATTCTCTGCTGCTCAGGTTAAATTATCTATAATCTAAAAAGAAACATCTTTGTCAGCCACGCAAACTATTAAGTTGCAACTCTTCACAGCTTTCACTTTTGGTGCTCAGTCCGTGTGTGTGTGTGTGTGTGTGTGTGTGTGTGTGTGTGTGTGTGTGTGTGTGTGTGTGTGTCAAAGGGCAAAATCAGCTGTTGATTCTGTTGTTGTGATCATTTTCATTAACATCGCAATCCTGGCTGTCATTTTACGCTGCTGTAGAAAAGGTTTAGGATGATGTCCATGTCACTTAGTAAAACATGATCAGGAACTACTTTGGGCCTCGTACAAGAGGTGAGGTTAATGTTTGGGAACTCCGTGCTGCTGAACACACAAAACGAACATACAGTGTTCCTGAAATGCACAGTGGATAATCTCGGTCTTGCTGGTTGGTCAAAAGGGAATGACTTTATAGGACAACAAATTTCCTGTCATGACGGTTTGATAGGTACAGAAATATATAGTAAAGCTGTTAAATGATCCCTTACTTCACCTTATCAGGCACGTAAAGGTCTTTGCGCCGATGTTCATGACTTCACTCGCAGGTTAATCAGTTGCTGAACATTTAAGCAGTTTGCTGCAGGAAAGATGCCACAGAAACACAAAGCAAATTTCAAGGTTTTATTGTAGTATCTTGAATAATGTATGAATGTCTGCATATGTCTGGTTATTGACCAAGGCCAATGGTCTAAATTGAAAATGAAGCTTAGTAAAGAAATGGGACATGCTTTATAGACAGCATCTGGAGGCCATTCATAAAAAAGCTCCTGTGACAACAGAGCAGCCATTGTACAAAATGCTGATTTGTATGTCACCACATTGTTTGTAGGTGTTCAGCAACACTGCAAAGCCCAGCAGCACGGTGTGATCACAGTCCTGTAAAGTATCCAGTGCACATCTTCACCTTTCAAAATGAAAGAGCAGCCGCACCACATGGTGCAGACTGTATTCAGGAGCTGTGTTAGCTGATCAAACAGACACACAACACCACTTTGCTTTCTTGCCATGAATTAGATGAGAGGATTGATACTACTCTTATATCTGTCCATTAAGCCACAGCCGGGATACAGTTATCTTAAGTTAGCATAAAACTGGAAAGAGGGAAACTGCTTGCCTGGCTGTGTCCAAAGGTTTAAAAATAGTCTCTAAAATGGACTATTTACTCCTCTGTAAAACCACAGCATGTTGTTTTTACACTCATACTAATGTGTAATGCTGTAATGAGTGAGCTTTGGAGCTGCTATTAGGCAGATTTTGTTACCTTTGGACAGAGCAAGACTAGCTTCCCCCACCTGTTTCTAATCTTTATGCTAAATTAAGCTAACTAGTACTATTTAGCACGTAGGAATCTAGTCATTAACATTCATCTTGAGTTTATTGTTTTATTTTTAACATAATTTCAGCTTTATATATCTACTGTTTCCTTGTGTGTTCATCTGCCTGCCCCAGCTGCTTTTTTGGGAGATATTGCTCTGGATGAAGACGACCTCCGCATGTTTAAAGAGGCCCACAGCATTGATGATGAACAGCACACTGTCCAGACCAACCAAACGGACTCCGGTATCAAAGCAATCTATGAATATTCTGTGTAATTTCATCCTTTTTTTTTTAGATTAAATAAAGAGATGACAGTCAATGCAGATTTCCCATTCACTCGTTGCAGTGAACAGGTCCACCTCCAGTGAGGGTGTCAGGAGTAAAAGAGCTGCAGACAAACTCCATCGTCTAAAGAGAGCGGCCACCTCCAGACCTGAGCGAGTGTGGCCAGATGGCATCATACCGTATGCGATCAGTGGGAATTTTAGTGGTGAGTGCTGAATGAGAACAATAAATCCTTCAACTGTTTTTACACAGGAGTTGTCAGCTATACTGTGCAGCCAACCTGTGTTTGTTGGCATGTGTGGTTTTGACATCCTGAAGCTGTCATACTGTAAGTCAGAGTTTCCTTTCAGGCAGTCAACGAGCCATTTTCCGTCAGGCGATGCGTCACTGGGAGAAACACACTTGTGTAACATTCACCGAGAGGACAACTGAAGAAAGCTACATTGTTTTCACCTACCGGCCATGTGGGTGAGTTGGGAGCTCACTAACAATCTTCAAATATATATATATACTGTATACATAGGTCCATGCATGTTTGCCTGTTTTAGCCCCTTCACTACACTACAAATCAAATATACTTTACATTACAGCTATCCATATTGCAAACCATGCTGATGTGTTTTAGAAACTTAAATGGATTTTTTTGTACTGTCATGGGTATTAGTTGGTTTCCATTAATTTCTGTACAATGTGAAACTCAATTATCAGACTCTACAAGCTTTTTTGCGTTCAGACTTCATTCCTTCCAGCTCCACAGAGCCTTTTAGCATCTTTTAGCTCATTGTTTTGTTTTTCCAGCCCACAACTTGTTTTGGTTCAATCTCATTAGCATAATTTCCAGCAGCAGTAGGCAGCTGTTTAGAGCAACAACAACAACAACAACAACAACAACAACAACAACAACAACAACAACAACAAAAGCACTAAAAACCTAGTGCATCCTGCCCACAGCACTTAAAGATAGATCAAATTAGTGACTAAGTGGTAAACACAGTGTTGGTGGAGAGCAAAACAGAACCAAAGGTAGAGTGAATATTGCACTTAGATTCATAAGGTGGCCAGAAACATGACCAATAATCAGTTTTCCATCCATCCTAATGGATATATACCTATACCTATACCTGATTATTTTCTGATAATGTAGCAAGCACACAAACTAATTTCAGTGAAGTCAGTGAAGTAACAATTAAAACGTACTGAAATAAACAGAAAGCAAAGCTGCCTGGAGCTGTAGGAAAATAACCTCCAAGAATCTCACTGTGCATAACCTGCAATCAAAAATGATTTGTAGTGAAAGAGCTTGAACTTGCAAACACACCTTTAATATTAACAAGCAGCAAAGAGTGAGTGTTTGTTCTGCAGGTGCTTCAGGGTTTGGACCTGAACAGTGTCGCCCCCTGCAGGTGTTGCTCCTACGTGGGGAGGAGAGGTGGCGGCCCTCAGGCCATCTCCATAGGGAAGAACTGCGACAAGTTTGGCATTGTGGTACATGAACTCGGCCATGTGATCGGCTTCTGGCATGAACACACACGTCCGGACCGTGACGAGCATGTAAGCATCATCAGAGACAACATCCAGCCAGGTACTGTTACTGCATGTGTGCTGACGCGAATAAGTGTGAATGGACGCGTGTGTGCTCACTGACCCTCCAGATGTTTTTCTTTGCATTTAGTCCAGTGACTGTCTGTATGTGAATAGGACAGGAGTATAACTTCCTGAAGATGGAACCAGGCGAGGTCGACTCTCTCGGGGAAGTCTACGACTTTGGCAGCATCATGCATTATGCAAGGAATACATTTTCCAGGTTTGTTATCCTTCACATTTTTTCTATCCTAAAGTTTAGCTTTGTGTTGAAGGGACTGTGAGGAGTTCACCGCTTTTATTGCCCACTTGTGAGTTTCCTGAGAATGCACGCTTTATTTTTAGCTCTACCCTGGCTCACATTAAGAGGCCATTAAACAGCTCCACTGGGGCAATTACTGGAAAAATACCTTGCTCAATAGCCTAATTGCTCAGCACTGGTGATTCACTCTGTCCACTCCATCTGTATATTTGAACTGACAACATACAGTGCACCAGCCTGCATCTCTAACTAGGCCATTATTACGACTGCCATTGCTTCTGACATCTCCTGCATTTCTGAGGTCTTGAATTTGAAATGACCACTTATTCCACTGATAAGAGTTCTGACTTCTGACAGTGCAGTGTTTACAGTCATTTGGAGAAGCCGACATCGAATCCAGTCACAACCATATGAAAAAAAATCTCCCTAACTGTCACTAATATCATGCTGGATTATCAACTGAGCTACTGCACTGACCTGGTGTTTGTCCCTTTATTCAGCTCTGCTAAACAAGCTCCATAGGAAACCTCTGGGATTTGGTTCTTTATTGTCATAGAAATGGTTTCACACTAGTCTCCTTTTCATTTCTGTCTCGTGCATGTTGTTGCCCCGTTGCTTTTCTCTCTGCTTTGGTGTTTTTACCTCCATCACCGCTCTGCTGGTCTGGGTCATGGAGGAAAGCCAAGCTAAATAAAGGCCTGGCAGTTCAGGCTTTGTTGAACAATTTGGGCTGGAGTGGCCTTTTTCTCTGGCATTCAGGAGTGGGCTCCACTGAGCCGGCTGGCACCGGCAAAAGGCCCCATTCAGAGCGCTCTGTTTGCACATGCCTGTCATTCATGGGTGCATCACCATGGGAACTGAGCAAGAGTGAGCTCCAAACCCAGTGAGAGATTATCAGAATCAATAAAGTATCAAGGTGCTGAACAGGAGTCGGGTCTGAAAAATTCAGTTGAAAACCACATTTTGCTGCACATCAGTGAGGTTAGGCTTCATCAGACTTTTCTCTGCTAGAATCAGTTTTTGAATCGTATGCTTTGATCTTCTCTGAGAAACGAACTGCTCATGTTTTTTGATTTGTCTGAATCAGAGGAATCTTCTTAGACACAATCTTGCCTCGTTACGATGTCAATGGAGCCAGGCCACCTATTGGACAGAGGACCAGGCTTAGCAAAGGGGACATTGCACAAGCCCGCAAACTCTACAAATGTGCAAGTAAGATACATTGATACAAGATACATCTAATGATCACAGCTGTAAAATGGCATCATACCTTGATTTTTAGACTTTTTTCATTTTCAAAGCCAATTATATTTTTGCCTATTGACTGAATGTGCACCAACTAAAGCTAAACCTTCTATATGCCAAAGAGGAAAAACAAAAAGTTCAAAAACTCTTCTTTGTTCTGGGATTTGAGTGTTATTTTTCTGATGGTTATTGTAGTGTAGCCCTGTTGGTGTGATGGTGTGTTGTTGTGACAGAGTGTGGGGACAGTCTGCAGGAGAGCGCTGGAAATTTCTCTTCTCCTGGTTTCCCCAACGGGTACTCAGCGTACGCTCACTGTGTCTGGAGGATTTCTGTCACCCCTGGAGAGAAGGTGAAGTTAAAGAAGTTAAAGCACCACTTCAGTAAAGGGTGGAGAAAAAATACTGAATGACCAAAATTACTGTATGAATACCTCGCCTATCTGAAGTCACTCATACAGTCTGAATTTGACAATAACATTTCATCTAAGTTAAGGACAATCAGAAAACGAACCAACATGACAAAGGAAATATCATCCCTTGATCCTGCAGTGCACTACATTTATTGTTAATCAGGTTATTGTGAAAATAGATTGTTTGTAATCATTTATCTGAATCATATCATCCAGGTGCATAACTAAATGTATCTTCTTACAGATTGTTTCCTTTCTCAAACCTTAGTGTCATTTGCTCGATATTTTCCATCTTATTTTGATGTATAACTTTATAACACTGCAGAAATTTACATGCAAATAACACGTAATAATTAAAATGACGGTTTCAAAACATCTGTTTGACACAGTACAAGACAATTAATTACCTCCCTGAATTATTCAGTAATCAGTATGTGGTTGGTTCAATGTCAGAACATTTCTTGATGCCGTAGTTACTCACTTGTACCCACCCAACCTCCGTCTGTCTCTTCATGCCTGTGTTTCACTGTGTCTCTCACAGATTGTGCTGAACTTTACTTCCATGGACCTCTTCAGGAGTCACTTGTGTTGGTACGACCACGTGGAGGTCCGAGATGGGTTCTGGAGAAAAGCTCCACTGAAAGGTCTTTAACCTTGATTAACAATAGTCCCCCTTCTCCCTCTGAGTGTCATCCAGAAACCTGTCATCAACCTGATACAGTTTCATAAATGCAGTACCTGGTGCTGTGAAGTACTCACTGACGGTGTCATTATTTCCTTATGCACTTTGGCAGGCCGTTTTTGTGGAGACACACTTCCAGATCCAATCATCTCTACTGACAGTCAGCTGTGGATTGAATTCAGAAGCAGCAGCAGCTGGGTGGGCAAAGGCTTTTCAGCGGTTTATGAAGGTACGTCATCTGTGGCGCTCACTTCATGTGAATCATCAGCCATTTGCTGCAGGTTTTTCCAGGTTTTACATTCGATTTCACTGTATAATGTGAAAAACTGAAGGTAGAAATAGAGGAAGCAAGTCTCTGGATGAAACAAAACGCCATTAATCTCAATTGTCACCTCCTGTGCAGCCATCTGTGGGGGAGAAGTGAAGCGGGACAGCGGCCAGATCCAGTCTCCCAATTACCCAGATGACTACCAGTCCAATAAAGAGTGTGTGTGGAAGATCACAGTAGCAGAGGGTTACGATGTTGGCCTCTCGTTTCAGTCGTTTGAGGTAAAATCATCTTTATTATTACTGTTCAAACAAGAACGATGCTTCACAAAATATCAAGCACTGCAACTGATGTTTGAACGTTCAGTATGATCCATGTTATTGTCTTATGTTAAAGCAATTATATTTGTATAACCTTTAACTTAGTCCTCTGCTGTAATGTCTCTTTGTGAACTTCACTGTCGTTGCTTTGACTGCAGATTGAGAGACATGACAGCTGTGCCTACGACTATGTGGAGGTGAGGGATGGCAGTTCGGAGAGCAGCCCGCTGCTCGGCCATTTCTGTGGCTACGACAAGCCGGACGACATCAAAAGCAGCTCCAACCAGCTCTGGCTGAAGTTTGTATCTGACGGATCAGTCAACAAAGCTGGGTTTGCAGCCAACTTTTTTAAAGGTAGGTAGGTTGTTTTAGTTGCCAGTGATGAGACAGATTTATTAATTTTTTTTTACACGTGGCAGATGATGCTTCTGTTTAGCACAGAAAACTAATTCTGTCGATTTTTCTTTTGCCAGAGATGGACGAGTGCTCCAAACCTGACAATGGCCACTGCGAGCAGCGCTGTCTGAACACGCTGGGCAGCTACAGGTGTGCCTGCGACCCTGGATATGAGCTGGCAGCTGACAGACGCAGCTGTGAGAGTGAGTGCAGAGCACAACTCCACGCACAGACATGACACTCAGACCCAACATTATGTAGAGTGCTATCATTTCAAAATATGATGCAAAGCCTGCAAGCTAGTGGAAGCGTCAGCTGGAGTCCGCTGCTGCCCTCATGTGGTAAACTCCTCTGACGGCAACACATACTCATTGTGCACTTTTCAGTGCTCTGCTCACTCATGCTGCTTGCCTGCTGCCACACTTTTCACCTGAAAGCTGTTAGTCACTACTACTGCTGCCAACACTACGGCAGCTGTTCATATAGCCCCCCAGCATCCGCCTGGATGCTGTAACACTCCCTTCCCCTTGGAGAGAAGTTATTATCATCACTCCCCACTCCCTGCTGTGTGTTTTCTTGTAGGGAGTGATTAGGTTTGAGCCGAGCCGAGACGTCAAATATCAGGACTGTACATACTCTACATTAAAGTAGTGATCCATTCCACATGAGGGGGCTGGCTGAAGTCGAAACATACCTCTCTGTCAGACGGGCCTGAGGACTGCAGCTGGGAGGCATCGACTTAGACAATAAAGTCAAAAAACATTTTTCATCATTCATCAGGATAGATGAATACCGAAAGTTACACATGGCATTTTATGTGTTGCATTAATGCACGTCTCAACTGCTTCCAGTACAAATGTTTGTAATGAACACACAGATGTTTTAAGAGAGTCATGTGATGTCTTTCACCCAGTGTAAGCTCGATTCTCTGGTAGTTTCCTCTCTTACCACAAGAGGGCACCGCTCCCTTACTACTGCTTCTCTAGGAGCTTTGACAGTCACTTGATTCATATATAAAATAGGAATTACATTTTTTCTCCAGCAGAATTTTGTGTGTCCCCTGATGTTACCTTTTCATTAAAAGGCTGTAATTATTGTTTAATTCCAGTACTACTACTTTCTTATTACAATGATCTTACATGGTTTATTTCATGACTTCATTACTTTGTCTAACAGCCTGTAATTTGACAGGTAGTTTGAAGCTGAAGGGTTAAAGAAAAGGTTAAAGAAATCACAAATTCACACATGGGTCTTGTAATTTATGTAATGCATGTGTTTGTCTTTCACGCATCTACCACTAAAATCAGTGCTTTCTCCCACCAGCAGCTGCCTGTGGTGGGTTCATCACCAAGCTGAATGGTTCACTCACCACCCCCGGCTGGCCCAAAGAATACCCACCGAACAAGAACTGTGTGTGGCAGCTGGTGGCACCCATTCAGTATCGCATCACTCTGGTGTTCGATGTGTTTGAGACTGAAGGGAATGATGTGAGTTTCACAATCTCAAAGATTTGTTTGTGATGTTTTTTCTGTTGACTGGTAATACAGTCTTTCTGCAGAGGTTTTATTAGATAACTTGCTAAAAATCGTGACAGTTTCACAATCCAGTTCTTCTTTTGTCCTTTGTAGTAAGTAAAATCTTCTAGTGTTTACCATCAGGTGTGTAAATATGATTATGTGGAGGTACGCAGTGGGTTGAGTTCAGACTCAAAGCTTCATGGGAAGTTCTGTGGAGCAGAGAAACCCGAGGTCATCACCTCCCAACACAACAACATGAGGATTGAGTTCAAGTCGGACAACACCGTGTCCAAGAGGGGCTTCAAGGCTCACTTCTTCTCCGGTAAGTCTTAAAGGGTCAAATTAAAGAGTCAAATATTTAGGAAGTATCGAGGAAGGAAATATTGAGTGTTATGTAACACAGACTAATGTCCAGATCTTGTCCAGTAAGAAGGACAAAACCATCACCCCACTGCAAGAACAATGCAGGCAGCTGTCTCTAGTTTCTGCCACAAGGATGAAAGCAGTGTAATTTGTACTTTATGGGAAGGTTAGATTGAATTTTGCACAACCTAAAAGATTGGTAGTATGCTTAATGTTCAATTCAAATTAATTTCCTGTCTACATTCACATTTATAATCACATAGTAGTATCATCATAGTATATGCTCTGTGCTGGTTAAATTAATATAATAATTTATATAATAATTATATTAATAGTTAATATTTCTGGTTCAATAAATTTCCCAAATGTTTGATTTTTCACACATCCACACTCGTATGGATATATCTGGTATCTTTTGCACTCCATTTCAGCCTTCCATCCACAGCACTTTTAAACTCTTTCTAAAATCTTCTTTGTTGTGCGGACAGGATAAACTGCTCTTTTCAAGAATACTGAGGAATACTGAGGAATACTGAGGAATACCCAGGAGGTGTTTTGCTGAAATATGATCGGGGGGTTGTTGGTGTGTCATACAGCAGATTTCTTCCTTCTTGAAGAATACAGAAAAACCTTTGTGTCTGCAGTCAGCAGCAGATCCTAAAATGTCTAAAATGTTAACTCAATATGTTCTGCAAGTTTTCTGCAGCCTATTGTGACAGATTCACATGTTGCTGTGCCAAGGAATTCTGAATTAAAATTACTTAAATGTCAACAGATATAGATGAGTGCTCCAAAGACAATGGAGGCTGCCAGCATGAGTGTGTGAACACCTTCGGAAGCTACAGCTGTCAGTGTCGCAGCGGCTTCATGCTGCATGATAATAAGCACGACTGCAAGGAAGGTACAGTATGTGTCTCTGCTGTCCCTCATCTGCGTGATTTAAAGGGTCAGTTCGCCCAGATTACAAACAGAAAATGACGAAATTGTGAGAATCAGCTGACCCCAGCTGGGGCCTTCTGGGGCTGGGTATAAAGCCATTAGGGGATGGAAGGAGGGGCAGAGAGTCCTTGCTATCTCTCATGTGGCCACATGTTGATTGACATGATAGATTGACTTGTGAATAATTCCACAACGCCACAGACCTCACCGTGGAAGGTCGTCGTAGGAAATACTTATAGACACTTTTAGTCTTAGTCCCCAAAATGTTTGAGTGTGGAAAGCTTTTGCTTTACTTTTATTTTGCTGTTCTGTTTACGATGCCTTTTCCAAGGTAAATGCCTCAGAGGGAGTGATGTGAGCACTCAGTGATGCAACTTCATTGTTTTCTTCTGGTGTGTTGTGTTTTTTTCAGCCGGCTGTGATTATGTTGTAAACAGTGTGTCAGGGGTCATCAGCAGCCCCAACTGGCCTGACAGATATCCCAGCAAGAAGGCCTGCACCTGGTCTCTGTCCACAACCCCGGGCCATCGAATCAAACTTGTGTGTTAATGGGTGATTTTTTTTCATTTATACATTGTGTTTTGGTCCAAAGTGAAGACTTTAAAAGCAGTCAGCGACTTATGGTTATTCATAGCTTTTTAAAATGAATTTCAGGTGTTCAATGAGATCGACATGGAGGCTCATCTGGAGTGTGCTTACGACCACCTGGAGCTCTACGACGGGCGAGACGTCCGTGCACAGAGCCTGGGGCGCTTCTGTGGCACCAAGAAGCCTTCTCCAGTCGTTTCTAGCGGCAACAAAATGTTCCTGCGTTTCTTCTCGGACAACTCAGTGCAGAAAAGAGGCTTCGAGGTTTCACACAGAGCAGGTGGGCAAAGCAGCTGAAAGGTTACTGTTCTGCTCCTAAAGGAGTCTGGAGATGTATTAAAACGGTTCTTTGGAGAAAGAATAGAACTACAACTATGGGTTTGTTTTCTGTTGTGTTTAGAAAACTGCATTCTTTCCTCACTTTTACGAGTTCCTCTTTTTGACCCTTTCATTTTGTGGTTGTGAATTCCCAGAATGTGGAGGAAGCCTTAAAGCCGAGGTCAAGACAAAAGATCTGTACTCTCATGCACAGTTCGGAGATAACAACTACCCTGGTGGCTCTGACTGTCTGTGGGTGGTCACTGCTGAGAAAGGTTACGGAGTGGAGATCGTCTTCCAAGTGTTTGAGATTGAGGAGGAGGCAGACTGCGGGTACGATTACGTGGAGCTGTACGATGGCGCTGACATCAAGTCTCCGAGGCTGGGGCGATATTGTGGATCTGGGGTGAGGCTAAAAATATCAGGCCTGTGTACTAAATGCTGCTTAGACAAACTTTTGCTTCAAAAAACAATCTCTTTTTTGTTCTGTATCTTGCTCCTTTTCCTCAGGCTCCAGAGGAGGTCTTCTCGGCCGGAGACGCCATCGTTTTAAAGTTTCACTCAGATGACAGCATCAATAAAAAAGGCTTTCATGTGCACTACACAAGCACAAAGTTCCAGGACACGTTACATGCAAGCAAGTGACTCTTACCCCAAACCTAAATGGAGACTTCCCCCCCTAACATTTGGTTGTACACACCCTTCTCCAGACGAGGAGTGAATGCATGGATTGATACCACAAACACCAACACTCATACTTTACGTTCACATCTGCTAAAAAGAGTGAAGCCATGCAGAAATGTGACATCTTTGCTCTTCCTCATTATAGAGCTATATAGGACGAAAGGCAAGGATTAGTTTGAAGTGATTATTATTTTGAGTAAATTCAGTCACACCACTTGTAATGAGCTGATTACATCATAACACTGTGCTAAGATATAAAATGTATATATTGTGATATAGTTTGCCTTGTTTTTTTAATCATGATTTCAACTGTGTCACTTTTTACTGTCTGAGGTTGAAAAGCTTGATCACTTCTAATGAATGTAATGCACTTTGCTGTATTATATCACAAATGCATATAATGATAATAATTATGGAAGAAAACATAATGTCAAAGATGAATTGTTTAATATTATTTTCCGACCTGCCTTTGCTTTACTTTAGTTTTTGAATTTCCATTAACATTCCCTCACAGTATATTTTCTGATGCCTTTTTTCCCTGGCATTTTTTTTATATTTTTATTTTAAACTATCATGTTTTCATGTGTTTTCTTCTGACTGATGTTTCTGTGCATCAAATTCTCATGCGACACACGGTACTACACCATGACAACCGATGGAATTAGCACCTCATTCATCAATATATTGAATATTTTTCCTTCACATCTACAGTGCATTGACTCTAAAGAGCAACTGAACTCCAGATGAAAATCTTACTTTGGGTTGTCCCAGAGGTTTAATTTCTTTACTTGCTGCTGTGATGGGATGTAGAGGTGGACTCCAGGGTTTGTCAGTGCATGATGACATCACTGTTGGGTGTGGTTACAGGTGCAAGAGACCACACTTATGACACACCTAGCCGCACCCATCAGTGGTGGTGGTGGGTGTGGTCAAGGGAGCAACTTTAAACTTTAACCTAGAAAGGACTGGCTGCTTTTCAGCCTGGTATTAAAGGTGCCCTGTGAAGTTTACTTCTAAACAAAGTTTTGTTTACATTCAGTGTTAACTCACCAAGTGTGTGTATCTTAAAAGTCTGACAAATGCATGCAATGTATTTTTCATCCTCGTAAAACACAAAATGAGGCAATGTTTACATCACATGTTTACTAGCTTGGAGTCTTCTTCACTGCCTATGCGTTGCAGCATTTCTGTGAATGTTACAGCCACCAGCTCTCAATTAGTGGAACAGAGTCTAACCATTATGTGTTTGTTGTGTCACCTGCTTGTTTGTGCGTGTGCATGTGCATCCTCATGTGAGCACATACGAACAAAACAGGGACCCACTCATAAAAACATTGCTTCTTAGCGCCACTAGTGGCTAAAAACTCCACAGGGTGCCTTTAATTTGCACTTACACTATGACAAATAGTGCTTCATATGCAGTATGTAATGAAATGACACTGATGTTTTATTTATTTTCACGCTGGATTAATGAGCACACTTAATTTTCAAGAAAAACTTTTAATAAAATTTTACTCATACAGTTGTGTGTGATATTGGGTGCCACTTAACATGCATCAGGCTTGGGATCAACCAGGTCAAACAGCAGGTATACTAAATTCATCAAGCACAGCAAGTACAAAGTAAATATCCAAAATTCTAACCATTTGCTCACATAAAAAAGACTATTAAAATTAAGTTGCTTTTATGTAAGCTTAAAATTTCCCAAAGCTCCTGAATGCACCAAATACATTAGTTAGTATAATATGACACGTTAAAATCATGATGACATTTTTTTCAAAATGTAAAAAAAAAAAAAATCACAGTATTAAACGATTAAGATGTTTACTTAAATGTATTAGTGTATCATGCACAAAAAAATCATTGAATTACAAAAGTAACCATAATACTACTTTACATTTAATGTCACAATAGTCAAGTAACCAGACAGTTTCACATTCTTTACTGAAGCACAGCTTCTCTGAAATGAAATGTGTGGCAGTAGATCCAGTCTACATATTGAACTATGTGTTACATGTATGTTACATGTGTTTCCATTGGACAAATGTCAACTGTTTATTGCACAAATACAAATACTTTGTTGTATCTAATTCTGTACACTATAAAGTATGTTTTCTCTTTTTCTGAAATGCACTTTGATTTCATGCTTGTTTGGTAACTTTTTGTAACTTCTTACCCTTTTGTTACCATTTTTCCCAGTTTGTTAAATCTTTGGTAAGAAAACTTTAAGAGGCTCATTTTCATGCACTTTATCCAGGAAGCCCAGGTTGAAGTAAGGGTACAGCGTCTCGGTGAAGTTCTCCCTAAAGGTGTAGAGATGTGTCATGCTCTCTGCATTATAAAAGGACACCAGGCCCCTCTTGTAGTCGAGGTACACTCCTATCCTGGCCAGTGGCTCCTCCAGGGACAGGACAGTTGGAGGTGTGGTGCCAGCCATGTACTGTATCCCATAAGAGAGGGAGAGAGTCCAGAAGCCGTTGGCTGGTAGGGCTTTGATGACTCCCTTCCGAGGCACCGACTCACGAGCCACCCCCACTGTCCAGACTGTGCTGCTGTAGACTTCAATCTCCCAGTAGTGGCGTCCGTGGGTGAAGCCCTGGCTTCCGAGCAGGGACAGGGCAGCGTTGAACCTGTAGGGGTTGTCCTGCACGGTGTGGTTAAAGGTCTGGTAGCGAACACAGGTGAGGGAGGAGGTCAGGCTGAGCCAAGGGTTGGCCGTGCTGGAGTTAAATGTGATGGCTGCAGGAACTAAAAACAGGAAAATCATATGATAACAGAGATTAATTAAAAGATTGATTAATAATATGTTTCTGCTAAGATTATCAGTGTTGGTTTCTGTGTATTTCAGTGTTGTATTTTACATTTTTAAAGGGAGATGGGGCCACTTAAAGTACCTGGGTAAATACTTCCTTTCATGGATTTCCACACTCTGTACTGCAGGGGCCCTGCAAACCGACCCTCGCACAGACTGGGTGGTGTAAATGCAGGTTTCTCAAACTTCAGCGATGGCCTGCCAACAAAAGCAAAGTCAAAACAATGAACATAGAGGAAAAACAAAAAACGACCCAAGATAAAACAGTTGAACCTTTCCCACACTCACCTCTGGAGCAGGACTTTGATGCTCTGAAATGAGACACAGGAACAAACACAGGAAAAGACAGAAAGAGACTGATGATTAGTTTTGTTGTATCTGAAAGAAGAGAAAGCTTTTTCCACATTACATCAATGTCTGAGCTCACGCTATCCCACCCTGTGGGATCTCCCTGTGGCTGGGGAAAGTCCCGCAGCCATGGCCAGAGTAAATGCCTAAACTGAACTCCTTATCCTGCAGATCAAGGAGTGAGATCACTGGCCTACATCCTGTCTGCACTCACTGCGACCAAATCCTTTGCTATTAGAAAAGTAGCAATAATTCAAACATTACTCTTAAAATACATGGAAACATGTTTATGGCCTTTAATTGTGTGCAACCTGAAACAGGAAAGCCAAAATGGTCACACCCTGCTCAATGAAATCTTGAATGTTGATGTTGGAGCTTAGTTAACATTTTGGCAAAGAAAACCTGAAACATCCTTGAGTATAAAACAAACAAACCCTCACAATTTGCTTCTTTACTTCCTCTGGCTTCAATATCATATAAAACGTTTTGGAAACAAACAAAAAAAAGTTTGAAGTCAAAAGCTCAGCATTTCTCGCCTTAATCATCCTCAAAGCTGACTCATCATGCTGTTAATCACTCCCAGATGGACTGTATTCACGTTCATATTTAACTGAACTCACTCGCAGCAGAGTGAACGGGTCCTGCTCTCTCAGCTTGTCCTCTATCTCGTGGACGGCTCTCTGCAGACGGGAGATCTCCACGCACAGCAGGGCCTTGTGCTCGTCCAGGCGGATCAGCTCTCTCCGCTCCTCCGTCTTCAGCTTCACCTGCAGCAGCTTCTCTTCCTGGTACAGGAACTGGTGCAGGTCGCTGAACTGGGCCTCGATGCGCTGCTTGAGGTCGGCGGTGTGCTCCTGAGTGGGTGAAAGACGATGGACATTTGTCACCGGGAGTGAAATAGTGAAAGCATGCGATCCGTGCCATATATAAGAATTTAAAAGAGCTTTGCATGTAATGACTTTCTTCCATTTTGAATACTGTAACTCTCACAGTGACAAAGGTCAGTCCCATTTATTTGGATTCTTGTAGAAACAAATGTTTATAACTTGAAACAAGACCAGATGAGGCAGAACATAAGGGAGATTACAACACTTGTTTTGCAGAGTGTGCATAATGACATATATACAGTATATATACATATATATCCTGAAATCTTCTCACCTTGAGCTTTTTAACCTCATCCTCAGCTTCTCTGTCACACTGCAGCGCTGTGTTGAGCTCAGCTTTGAGGGAATCCATGGAGCTGTTCAGAGACGCCTGACAGGACAGAGACACAACGTCACTGCATGCTGAACTTTCACCTCACACTCATTGTCAACTGGTTCTACATTGACCAGTTGTTTTTGGAGCAAAACTTTTTTAAAAACAAGGAGATGCAGATAAAATCCCATACACACACACCCCCCATAAGAAATATTAGCTGATGTTACCTTTAAATTAAATGCCCAAATATATAAAACAAAGACAGAGCAGTGACTGATTTGCAGCAAACTAGAGTAAATCATGGCACGTGCCATAAGTACTAGAGACTCTGACATCCTCAAAAGATGCACCAGGGTCTTTCCTTAACCACAAACATCCAGAGAAGAAAATTAAGTTTTTTAGCAAAGGTAAGTTGTCATTATTACAAACAAGTGTACCAAGGGAGAGAGAGAGAGAGAGGGGACAAAGACATAAGTAAGATGTCCTGGTGTGTGCACTTCCTGAGAGGCAAGTTTGTCAGGCAAGTTTGTTTTTTTACATAAAATCTTAATATTCTGCTGAACCTTTTACATAAGTCAAAGTGAACTCACCCTGTACTTCTGTTCAGCCTCCTGCACACACACCATGGTATGATTTCTGTGCTCCTGGGAGACACCACACACCAGACACACCAGCTCCTGGTCCTCGTCACAGTACAGCTTCAGCTCCTCCCGGTGTCTGCTGCAGCGGGGGACCGGAGCTGGAACCCTCTCTGCCACCCCAACATCTGCGAGGCGGGCTCCAGTCCCGCTCTCCTCCAGGCCCTGACAGTAGCTCTCCACTATGTTGGCAACAATGCGGTTGGGCCTGTAGCTCTGCCCGGGGTACACCTTCCTGCACTGAGGGCAGGAGCCCGTGCCACCCTGCCCGGAGCCCCGGGGACCAGTCCAGTAGCCCTCAATGCACCCCTGGCAGAAGGTGTGATCGCAGGGCAATGACACCGGCTGCTTGAAAAGATCCAAGCAGATGGAGCAGGTCAGGTCTCTGCTGATTCTGTGGGCTGAGCTTTTGGTGACTTGTCCAGCTATGGGAGGCTGCCGCAGCTTTTCCATGGCTGTTTGCACAGCAAAGTCTCCTTCCTTTGGTTTCCAACTTTTCTTGTCTGGCTTTATCCCCTGGTTTAGTTTGTCCAAGTTCTGCAGATAAACTGACTGGATTTTCTTCACTTCTTTCTGAGTCTTGCTCATTCCTTTGCCTTGATTGTTTCCCTTTGTTCTGACTGTACAGCTGGACCTCTAAGTCCTTCCTCTCCTGCAGAGTGTGGCCGCTCTCCTTGGCCTCCAGTCTTCCTGTTGACTGTGGGGAAATGGAGGGGGTGGTGCAAAAGCAGCCTCAGCCTCTCACATCCTCAGCAGATAGTAAGGGGCTCTCAATACGCCCCCCTTTTCCCTCCAGAGTGACATCACATCTTAGTCAGGAAACCAAGGCGGACCATGGATATTCTATCTTTGGCTTGTTTTCCTTAGACTCTGGGCATTAACTCTAAGAAAGTCCTGCTTTGCAAAAATCTTAATCTCCTTTAGAGTAACTAAAGAAAAATTTAAATCCATTTTATGTGACTTTGAGTGTGTATTTGTGTATGTGTGTGTGTGTGTGTGTCTGTGTGTGGGTGTGTGTGTGCGTCTGTGTACAACCAGAAACGTGTGGGCTGTAACAGATTTCCTGCTTCTTTTTCTGGCAATGATTTCTGCCCATGAAGTAATCATTGTCAATGAAGGGTAAACAAGATCATTAAGAGATTTATACAAAGACAGAAAATGTCCAGCAGGAAGAAAACTTCACCATGGACAAATATAAATACTGCAGGCATCCTGTGAGCTCTCTTTCTCCTTTATCTGCTTCTCAGAACAGATATTTACAGCTTGTTCCCTGGGGGCGGGAACATCTGTCCAGTAAATTAGTCCTTCTCTCAACACACAAGCTGTTTGTTATTTACTTCTGTGAAACAGCCCTGAAACATATTAGCATATGAACAGTTTGAATATTACAGAGTGTTACATCAAGCTAATCACAACTCATCACACAAATACACACACACAAACTAAACACAGACACCCTGTGATTATGCACTGGGACATAATCACAGGTCTGGTGAGTAAAACTACAGCTGAATTACATAAATTTAAAAATGGATGTGTGTGAGAAACAGAAACAGAGAGAGAGAGAGAGAGAGAGAGAGAGAGCGAGAGAGTGACATTAACATCTTACCTAGTATGTGGAGTGTATTCAGATAGTTTGAACGTGTTTAGGAAGAAATTAGATCGTCAATAGGAAGAAACTTTGATCCTTTTGTTCATAGAGCCTGTGATCTGCCTCTGTCTACAGTATGTTACAGACAATAGTGACATCTGGTGTCCAAAGTGAAAATTGAAATTTATGTTTAGTGTAGTGTATGTTATGCTACACTATTAAAAGCGCCAGGATCGATAAATATAGTTTTTTTTTAAAAAAGTGACTGTGCATGCTATTTATGTAAACGGCCTCATGGCTCAGAAAGCATGGAGAAAACGGATGAAGTGGTAAATATCAGAAAGCAAATGAGAAAACAAGTGTTATACTCATCCAGTCACACCAGTCATGTTTCCAAATACAACAAATGAAGACAAGACTCCTGCTCAAACTCTGATTGACTTAGCAATCAAACAAGAACTCAAACTCTTTACCAGCAAAACTTCCTATTCCCTATCATTTTTATTTAATGCAATTCTGTTTTTTAGTTAAGTCTCCACAAGCTTGCATTCATTTTGAATTTATATATATACACACACATATACATAAACATATACAAAGTGCACATCATAACCTTTATAATAATTGTATTTTTTAGGGTTAGGGTTTGTTATGTAAAAAAAAAAAAAAAACTCTGCTATGATAAATATTTTTGTTTAACATGGTTTTCCCACATAAAAAGTGAAGAAAATGGGGCTGCACTATGGATGTATTATAAGAACATCCATGGGCTGTAAGCAAATGTTCGCTTACTTCCTCATTGAAAAATCTGGGTCGGGCCTTATGCCCCGCCCACCACCGCTGCTCGCGCTAGGTTGACAGGTGAAACAGCAGCGCCAATCAATATGATTAGCTGAGGAAACGTCAGAGAGACTCAGCCACATGTTTCAGCCTGAGTCAGACCCAGACTCAGGAGTTTTTGAGGAGTTGGTTGTGCACCAAAATGAGCGACTAGAAGACGTATCAGCATGGTAAGCGTAGTTATTTATTTACGTTGTTTGTTAGCTTGTAACTCGCAGTGGTTGACACAGTGTTAGCGGCTGGCTAATGCAAACTGTCGCTGTCTGTACTAACAAGGTTTTGGTGACTGGTGTAGGAGCAATGTGTCTCATGATGGTTAGTGTTAGAGGAAACCAGAGAGACTCGGCCACATGTTTGAGCTCCAGTCGGACTCAGATGAGGAGTGTCTTCTGCACCAAAATCAACAGCGTAGTTAGCATCTTTTATTTGTTTATGCTGTTTGCTAGCTCGCAACTGACAGTGGCATCATAAATGTGTTAGTGGTTATGTTAATGCAAACTCTCGCTCCCTGTACTGACAAGGTTTCAAGTTTATTTTGCCCACCCCTTGTCCCCAGACTTGACGCGATTGGTTCCTCAGTTATATGATGTATGAAATCCTGGCTGTATGAGACTTCTCATTGGTTCACTGCAGTTCAAAGGTGGAAATGCGCAGCCATGGTTTTGACTGCTTATTTCACTCATGATATGTCTCAACAATCCTAATCTGTCCCCTGTGATATGATATGTCTTGTAATATATATATATACATATATAGATAGATAGAAAACACAATATAGACATGTTAACAAGGTTAAAAAACTTGATTTTCATTGGAGAGGGTCTTTAAATGATATCAATTTTATTCTTTTCATATTTTTGTGTCTCCTTCAGTGTCAACTTCAGCAAATAAAAACTCCATAAATGCACAAATGGGGTTTTAAATGGTTTATTTTGTTTAAAAAGTAAGATAATGTTGATATAACAACGCTTCATTACTCAATTTATTTGAATATACACTTCTCACTGGACAGCGACAGTACATGACCAATCCTCTGGATATGTTGGTGGTTCTGTGGCTTCTTATTGTATCGCACATAGACAAACATGTACATATACTGTATGTGTAACTGAAACACAATAAGATGGACACATGTCAAACACTGTGCACTATGCCATCTATTGCAATAACCCTGCAATAAATTAGGTCAGATATATCTTTTATGGTGCAGGTGTTGCATTAGTTATGATGTGCAACGACTGGAAAACACAGGCAAGAAGAGAGGCCATGTGAAATGAAACTTTTATCTGCAGCCTTTCACATTTACTGAGGTTTTACTGGAAAATAAGCGATGCTTCACAGTGTAATTAACCTTTAACCTTCATCTGGTCCCTAATAGAAATGTCCATGACAGCATCTTCAGAGCTGCGAGTTAGTAATTAACACAGGGGACGGATTAGGATTGTTGAGTTAATTAAAATGTTGAAATGCTTTGGCATTGTGATTCCTCTAAGCCTCATGGGCTGGAAAAAAAATTGAGTGGGGTGCAGCAGAGGGTAAATGATTTTATTATACGTTTTCAGCAACATCACATCCAGTTTGCAAAAGAAAGTTCAAACATTTTTTAGCTGGATTACTAAACTGGAAACTGCCTGGATGAAATAAGTCAACAACTTGGATACTGAGTTAATTAACATTTGTTTAAAGCTATACTTCAAAAACAGAACAGCAGTTTCTGCTTTTTACTCGCATTAAAGTGCTGGAGATGAACTGACAGCAGCAGTGCAGAGAGGCAGAGGCAGAAGGACAAAGAGAGGGAGAGGAAGAGGATGAGGAATGTGTTTTTCAAGGAAAACTTCTCATGCTGAAAAAGACAGAATATTACCTCCAGTGTGAACAAGATCCTGTGGCCAAAGAGACGCTGAAGAGAAAACACATCCTCACTTTTTAATAAAAATCTTTATCACATTGTTTTACAGCTGAATACTGTTATTTCAGAAGCTGTCTAGTGATCACAAAAAAGTATTTTTCATTTATTGCCTCTTAAAGCAATGTCACATTTTAGAGGACCTGTCTGTTTTATTGTATAGTTTTGTGTCTTGGGATAGCTGTGGAGAGTGTAATTTTGTCTCCTCTGTATTTTTTCTTTGTGTTTAGACCTTTGGGGAAAGAGTTATAACAGCAACAAACCTTTAATGTCCTCTTTGCTACGAAGCTGTGTAACTTCATCTTCCCCAAATCCTATAACATACAGAGTTAATTAAGTCAACATGTTTCATAATGTCACATTTCCGGTTTATATTCATGTCTCTTATCAAAGAAAAGGATAAGTAGCGGTGGATGATTGTGGCACAGTTGCAGACGTAGTATGAATGTGTGCACAAATGTGTGCAGCCATGCATGTGAGTGTTTGTGGCAAATTCTCCAAAAAAAAGAAAAAAAATGCAACATTCATGAGGGAAGAGAGAAAATAAAAGAAACCACCTTTCGCAGACACACACACACACACATTATAGGTACATCTACACCGAACACACACCTTCAATTAAACCCTGAGCTGATGTGTAAGGCACCAGGGAAACTGGAGGCTCTCTGGAACTAGTGAGGCTAAAAATAACGTAAGTGTCTGCAGGAGTGAGACAGACCTGTAGGAAGATGAGAAGTACAAGGACAGACAGACAGAACAGAAATATTGAATTTCACCAGTTTAGTTATCATTGCTGAAACAGCGGGGGAGATATTAAATATTTCCAGTCAATGTATTCTCTGATTAATGAGAATGATCTCAAGCTATTGGTGTATAATTAACTAAATGATAACCACATTTTTAAAAAGGTACAGACTGAAATATCTAAAATATCTAAACACCTGTTGGATGGATACAGTTTAGAAGAGGCATTCATGGTCCCCAGAGGATGAAACATAATGACTTTGGTGATACTCTGACTTTTCAGCACCAAGACCAGCAAATACAGGCTCACAGAGCTGCTGGACTGCAGCTGTAGACTTAGTCTTTGTTTGATGAAACATGGTCAGAAGTGGAAGTGGAGATTTTCACTCAAGCTGTTTCATTTCATTCATAGAATAATGCAGAACGTTCTCATGTCACCAGCAAATCATTTTGAGTTTGTGCATTTTACACTTTTATTTGCTCTTGCCAGTTTTTATGTTTCATTAATCGCCTCTTTTGCATGTTACACTTTCCCTCCAATGTTTGCTTTTTAAAGTCTCTTTTTAATGTCTATTCCACCTGAGATAAAGCGTTGCCTCAAACATCACATTTGTCCTTCTTAAGCACTGATGGACAACATTTCCTATTGTAACAAATACATCTCGGAGAAAGTGAAGAACATTTATCCTTCATGCAAACCTCCCTGTGACTTGTGGGAACAATAACCACAAATGAGACAAATGACAGTCATAGAATTTGAGAAGAGGCACTTTAACAGATGCAGAGGCCATGTCAGGATATTTTGGGCAGCTTCCTGCTCTCATATTAATTTTCCTTTAATGTGATACCATGGGTGGAAACAGGTGCACAGTACAGAGTGTTCCCTTAATGGGGTGTAGTTTCAAAATTCAAAGTCAAATTAAAGGAGCTTTGCAGCACAATGCCATTGTGATGCTGTGGTGTCAGTACATTGCACATGTAAAGCCTGTCTTTTTGATGTTGATGGAAAGTCTTGCTTTTTTATTGTTTGAGAATATTTGGTAAGAACAATTCAACCACCCAACCAACCTAAATTGGATAAAAGTCACAAAATAGTATTATTAGTAGTAGTATTATAATTATATTTGAGTATACAGACATAACACAGCAAATCAACTCGGACAGTGTGTGTGTGTGTGTGTGTGTGTGTGTGTGTGTGTGTGTGTGTGTGTGTGTGTGTGTGTGTGTGTGTNTTGGTAAGAACAATTCAACCACCCAACCAACCTAAATTGGATAAAAGTCACAAAATAGTATTATTAGTAGTAGTATTATAATTATATTTGAGTATACAGACATAACACAGCAAATCAACTCGGACAGTGTGTGTGTGTGTGTGTGTGTGTGTGTGTGTGTGTGAGAAACGCAGTAATCCTGTTTAATTTCCTCAGAGAGTCTGAGTTTGGACCCACACATCATCGCTGCTCGTTATAATATGTCTGGCACTTCTAATAACATTTGTCACGATGCAAACACCTCGTCCGCACCTCGCTCCTTCTGTGGCTCTATAAAGCGTCCGCCTCCTCTCAGTGCTGTTTACTGGATGAGCCGAGGATCACGACTCTGCTGCTCATCACCGACTCAATCACACCTTCACTCTCTCACTCTTCAGGTGCGAACTTTTGCTGACCTGCAACACGTAGATGTGGTGATTACGGTTTATCCTCAGTGCATCTCTCTCTCTCACTCTCTCTCTCTCTCTCTCTCTCTCTCTGTGTCTCTCTCTCTGTCTCTCTCTCTCGCGCGCTCTCTCTCCATGCAGCTGCAGCTCACTGGGTCGTTTTGAGGAACGCAAGCTGAGGACCGTTGCAGCGATTCTTCTCCAAAACATCAACACAAGCCCAGACGCAATGCAGGTGCAGTAAACATCTATTACTTTATGCTTTAATGTACTTATTGCTGGAATAGATTCCACTAACATGTAGAAAGATTAATCATGGCCATTGCTGCTGTGTGCGTTTTGTACCTCACAGTATGATAGCCTACTTTTTAAATCAACAGCGCAAAGTCCTTCAACTCAGCTGAACATTAGAGAAAAAGAGCTGTACATCACATTTTAAAGACATGAACTAGTGGAGGAAGTGTTCAGATCTTCAGGCTGAAGTAAAGGTCCTGCGTAAACTACACATATATTATCAGAAAAATATACTTAAAGTGTCAAAAGAAAAAGAAAAAAAAACTGATTATGTGGAAATAAAAATTGTAATTAGTTTCAAAATTAGATTATTGGGGATGTTTTTATTGATGTATTACACTAATAGAAGCAGCATTTAATGTGGTGGCTTGTTGATGTGTGTCTAACTTTAACCACTTTATTTATTGGAGAGATCTATAAAAATGCATTAAATTTTATTGGTTGATCATATGTTTTGTATCGAAAAAGTAACTAAAGCCGTCAGATGAATGTGGTGGAGTAAAAAGTAGAGTATTTCCCTCAAATGTAAATGTACCTTTTTTTATAAGAATAAAAAAATGCACTCAACTACAGGAGGCTACTTGAGTTAATGTACTTTCCACCACTCCTGATTTCACACTATAAACAGAATTATAATATGGAAACATGCATGTTGACCTAATGTGCTTGTTTGACCAGTAACTTGAAGCCAAAACATGTTAACCACATGGCAAACAGAAATCAAAGCAGATTAGAAAAGCATAACAGGTGGTAAAGAGTTGTACTGGAAACCAGACTGAAAACCAGGACGCAGACTTGATGAGGTCCAAGCAGGAGAACAACTTATTTTTGTCATTTCATTGAAATAGCCATGAGCTCCTTGTGTGTGTGTGTGTGTATGTGTGTGTGTCTGTGTGTGTGGTAGCATATGTGATGATCAGTGGAGGACGGTCACCCACCGTGTTCATGATGACTTCATGATCACAGGGAGCATCTCACTACTCAGCACACATGACTCCTTTGCTTTTAATAATGCAGCGCTTTGGATGTTAAGACCCTAAATCACCTTCTGTTCAGATCCTTTAAAACAGTTTTTCATCCTCACAGACAATTTAGTATGACTGACATTTTATAATTTACTTGATATAAAAGCACATTTTATTATAAAGGTTTTAAACAAATACCTTAATTAAACTTGACATTAGTGAAGTTTGAAGTAACTACTTCAGACACTCCAGAAGGATATATGCTGCATATATGAATGAGACTGCTTTATGCACTTGAATATACATCCGTGCATTTAGTTCTGAAGTGTGATTGTGTGTCTGCCATGGATGCCTGTTGTATGTTTGTGTGCATGTCTGTTTGAATGTGTCCGGTTGTTTATGTGGCTTTTGGATGGTCCATCAAATGTCTGTTTAACTCGTCCTCGTCACTCACCTCACCGTGGCAGCAAAATCTGATCTTTTATTGATGCAGTTTTAAGTAGTGTGAATTATTGAGCGACATTCTCGATGCTCTGTATGCTTTGGCATCCTTTCGTATTCAAATACGGGACTAAGGGGAGATCCCCAGACAGTAGTTCTGTCTATTTTCTCTACAAACTCTATACCTTATATTCTCAGCAACCTCTTAAAGAAAGCTGTTTTATTCATAAGAACCCGTTATCACAAGCAAGTAAAAGACTTTGCATAGACAGAGAGAGAAATGAGATGAGAGCCTTAAGAAGGGAAGAGAAAAACCGAACGTAACTCAAACGGGCGACAAAGAACCAAACAATAAAAGGAAGGAACAAACCTCACACACTGTGAACCTGTGCCAAGAAGAACAGTCCAATAACACTGACAGTGACTATGAGTCAACACATACTCCCTGTTTCTCAGAGCCAGACAGTATAGCTCAGAAAAACAGTCTCACAGAGAGATGGTGACACAACAAATTATTTCACAATGGAAAGAGAACCAAACACACGCAGCCCATTAAAAAATCTCTCATCCTAAAATTGTCCTGACACAAGTGTAATTGGATTATTTTACAGCAAGTGAGTCATGTTTGAAAATGTAAAGCTTCATTATCACTGAAATATTAATCTGAACATAGAAACACTGAATGCGTGCCCAGTGTGAGATGACAACATGTTGTGTGATGATGGAAATAACTGGAAATATAGTAACAGCTGGTGTGTCCCTGTTCCCAGAAGAGCTCCTGTTACTGGAATATTATACCTTTTCCAATTCCTTCTCTCTTTGTCCAGAAGCACCAGTTTTGTCAGAAGCACTGTACATAGACTGATCTCCTGCTACTTTCAGTGTTAAAATATGCTCAACACAAAGGCAGGATTTAGCTGCAAAGAGCGCAAGAGATTCCTACGAGAGTGGCAACCACATAAAGACAAATACATTTTGTAATAAACACTTAACTATTCATATCAAATGAGCTGTTTGAGTATCAAGGTATTGATGACCGAGGCACTGATCTGTTCATCCTGTTAGCTGCATGTAGCTCCTCCTGCAGGTCCAGCTATCAAGTGCCTTGCTGTTTCACAATATAAAGCTATAAAAGCAGATCCAGCTTACAAGTACCAAACCTTCTTTTTTGTCGTGCAACCATATGATTAAAAGCCTCCTTCAATATGTAACTTGTGCTTCCTAAAAGGCAGACATAGTTGTAATAGAGGGAAATGTGATTAAATTAGGTTTTGTGTGAGACTGTCTCATTTAGATTAAATTGTTCAGGAACTTCAGGTCTAGATGGAGTTAGATGTTTATTTTTTTTCATTTCTGTACTGAAGTCTGTTTCCCCATCTGTTTGTGTTTCACCGTACTATAATCTGTAAACTGCCTGTAAACCAGTGGAACCGCAATGGGCAGTGCCATAGAAATTGTAATTCAAATGGGAAACGTCAACTTCAACACAAAGCATACTGCTGCGTCTTTGTCGTTTAAAACCTGTATCCAGCAATTGTGTGCCGTGCGGTGGCAAAGCAAATAAGCGGTGAATACTACACTACACTGCTATATTACACTGACATATTAAGTTCATATTTACCCAATCAGGAGCAACATTAGCATTCATTTGGACTCATATTTGAGTCCACCTAATGAAGTCTAATTTCCACTCTCCTTTTCTAAATCTGTTTTTAGTCATCAACAACCCCTGAAGGAAATAATTTAACTACCACCATGTTCTGCAGCTCATCCCTGGCTGTGTGTGTCTGCTGCTTGGTGCTAAGTGTACATTAGGGCTTTAGAGCTTTATCGCTGAAAACATCTAAAAATAATGCAGCTGAGAGCTGTGAGAAACTGTGGGTCATAAAACCAAAACAATGGGCTGAAAGATGCAAAAATGTTCTGTAGATCTGAGGGGAACTGCCACGGTAACCTGTCTCTCTCTCTCTCCAAAATCAAATCTGTAAACAGAAATTGTATATATACCTGATTTAAATATTAATGGTGAATCTAGCTTATAAGACACACACAACATGCAGTTAGGTGTCAGAAGATAAAGAATGGAGGCGACCTACAGCCTGGAAGTGGCTGCTTTTCCAGGCATCACACTGGTTGTTTTCCTCTCCCTGCCTGAGGTGTGTCAGGTGATCCCTCTTGTAGGGGCTTTTGACAGCGGAGGAGCAACAGAGGGTTTATCTTCAAAGAGCTTTTCTTTTCCCTCTCAGAGGACACTTTCTTTTCTGCACTTCCTCAGGCGGATGAGAAGACGGTGGATGGCGGTCTGCTGCCTGATGCCAATGGAAAAGATCCAAACCCGGGCGGACAGACAGAGGGCTCCAAGTGGCAGAAACCACGGCTCTCACGTAAATCTCTCATGAAGTGCTGTCTCGTCAAATGGATCATCGCCAGCACCAAGCAACAGGGACCAGGTAGAGGCACATGAACAGAGCCACCGCCAGGCTGAGCAACAACACAATATATTGAATATCAGCATGACTGTGACAGCAGGGGAGGTGGGAGATTCAGCAGGGAGGCAGGTCTTCAATCTCCCACACTACAGAATACATGAATTTTTCAGCTTCTGCACCATCCACAGTATAGATCTACATTTAAAATGCTCTCTATTCTTTCCCTCTACTCAGTGTTTACAGCACATACCTCTCTGCTCACTAAGCGCCACTTCATTTTAGCAGGTCATCGGTCAATGACTGGACAGCTGCCACTTTCACTTTAGCCTCTGATTGTGCTTCATAGAATGAAGTTTGATCCACTCCACATTTCTCCTTCCCCATCTAAAACTCGCTGTACACACAGAACTCGCCACTTCATCTCTGAGAAATGATGAGGAATGATTTCACCTTTGGATCTTGTTTCTATCTTAACTACTCAATTAGCGTACTTTGAAATTATAATAAGTAAATTAAAGAATGTACCACACCACACCACCAGTCACAAGTGTTAAATGGCGCTTTTTTTTTTTTCTATAGATGAAGAGCACTGTGTCTTCGACTGCCCCTACATGCCCCAGTTTTCTCTCTGAATTATTGACATTGCCCTCCTGTGTGGGCAAGACAGTGCAGACAGTCTGCTGCGTGCATGCACAATCTTTCCTGCCAATATCACATTTTGTCTTGATTCCCCTAACGTGCAAACAGTCTCTTTGATTCATTCAAATATTTGTCTGTCTTTTGTGCTTTAATAAGCCTCAGTGAAAAAATACAGTGGTAAGCAGACAAAATCAGTCATTTGCAGAGATGACCTGCTGTTGTCATCTAGACTCATTTGCTGCCGACTTCTCTCTCTGTGCCAACAGACAGATGGCCGAGTGCCTTGGACAGGACATCGAGGCTTTAATGGCTAACAAACTGTCACTTCAAAGTAAAACAGCTACACATTTACAATTCAACCATATATCCCATCCCTAATTTAGACATCCGTGAGGAAATGGTCTTGATTTTTTTTATTTATGAGGCCTTTAATTATACCTGTAGTAGAACTCCATTAGATGTAATGCACTGAATCACTAAATTCTTGTCATCACTCTCATCATTTCTCACCTTTTATTTTTATTCACTGTTTGTTAACCTCTGAAATGGAAACCTTCATTGAGGTTTAAACCTATGTCCTTCACATCTTAACAACTTTATCGCCATCTGCTGGTGCATAGACATTATAGCACCTGAGTGTCTCCTGTCCTTACAGTAGATGTTGGTCTGCAATCATTCTCATACATGTGTGTTTCATACACAACACCACACTGGAAACAGTCAGTGGTTTTTCTGAAGAATGCTTGCAAAAATAATACAACTGCTTTGAAATAAAAAAAAAAATCATGTTGGATAATAGAGAATCGCTGCTGAATGGAGACAAAGATGTCTTCTGTTTCTGTAGTTATGAACATGAGAATAAAACAATTGCAAATAATAGATACTTTTGCCATCACACAGCAGGATTCAGCTTAGGATGCTGCACTTAGAACACTTAGCTGTAACTAAGCTCTGAAAACAAAGATTGTAGATGTCTGTTTGGCTGTAATTACAATGTACTTGTGTTACTGCAGAGGTAGCACTTAAAATGTCTCACTGCCTTGTGAGTTTCTTTGTTTTTCCACCTCATACTCTATATGAAATAGTAGTTTGTTGCTTAGTTTACAATAATATTATAGAGAGTGAAAACATTTGTGCATTCTGTCACATCAGACCAGCTTTAGGAGTCGTGACGTAAGGTTTGAATACTAGTACAGATAACGTAAATCCTGCTGCATAAATGCCCTTTAGAATGCCTGTCAAAGCCATCAAGCGTTTGCAGTAGAGTCGGTGTTTGACGATGTAAGTCAAAGTTTAAAGAAACCTGGATAAAAAGTGTATGAAGGACAGATAAAGTCCCTTCCTGTCCTCCTTTACACTGTGCCAGGTGTTTGTATGAAGTTTCTAAAAACAATGAAAGAGTTCAACATGAGAATTCTTCGTTAAGTTAAGGATGTATAATTGTGTGATGAGAACTTGTGTGATATTTTGATCGATGGACTCAGGCTCTGAGTTGTAATGTTGCCCTCACCGCAGTCATTAGAGCCTGACGTTGAGTCTGATGGCTGCACTGTCGGCTTCCCTGCATGCTTAAGCCACTTTCACTCATGTCTGTGTTTAATAGAAGAACATGGACAGATCAGCACTTAAGGTGCATTAATCATTAGCTTTAATGTTGTTATAATGTTTTATGGCATGAGATGGCTGTGTGCAAAAACCCTCAGTTGTATTTGAGGTTTAACTGGCAGCATTTTCTAAGCTACATGATCCATCACCCCTGATCTCACAGTTTACGCTCTGCTGACTCATAAAAGGCAAAGTTCTGGATATCATAATGCTATAACTGTATGTACGAACAGACAGATGGACAACCTGAAAACATAAAGCCTCTGGTCCCGGCATTATGATATCCAGAACTTCGTACATACAGTATGTACGAACATCCCATTCTCGTGAACACAATATCTCAGTAACACTTTGAGGGAATTTCTTCAAATTTGGCACAAACAGTCACTTGGACTCAAGGATTAACTGATTAGATTTTGGAGGTCAAAGGTCAAAGGTCACGGTGACCCCACAAAACAGTTTTCACTGTGTGAACGCAGAATCTTGAGTAGTCGTCTAGGAAATCCCTTCAAATTTGGCACAAACGTTCACTTAGATTCAAGGAGGTTAATGAAATGGTCAAAATTTTATACGATTCTGGATAAAGCCAGAATAGCTCATTAGTTATTTCAATAGTTTGACTCAGACATTATTAAAGACAAGTCCATTTGGTGTCTCTAACTTACATAAAGCCATCTAAATGCATAAATGCATCTCTGGCCCGCTTTCTCTGCCTGCTCTAGGACCAATATTTTACCTCTCAACAATTGATTTGCCCTCCACCCTCCTTTCCTACTTAAACTGAGTCCATTATGTTGTGCAGAGTCATCATATACTCACATTTTTCTTTAGTCGTGTCATCTTCCAGCACGGCATTATCATACAAAGGCTCGCTCAGGTCTTAACAACAAAGGTATTTTTAGACTGCCAGCCGTCATGTTATGAGGAGCATTTCACAGCAGCTAGAAATTGACCTCTGAGGTGTGCAGCACAGACGTAATTCAACTTTACTATTCTTAACTGCAATGTCATAAACAAAGCACTGTTTTTACAGTCAAAGCAGTCGCGTCCGAGTTACTGAGCCTGTGTATCGCTGAACAACCCAGCAGACACAAGCAGCGCCACAAAGGGCAGGGCAGACTCCTTCTCTCTAAGTGCTGTTCATATCCCAGCCATCAGCGGATGTGGATCAATGCTTGGTTTTACAGCTTTGCATCCTTGAAATGACTGAGCAAATAAAGACAACTTAGATCGTCAATCATAGACTATTAGTAAAGAAATTCCTTCAGTAAGAACATCACCAACCTCAAACACACACACACACACATATAAATATATATGTATATACACACACGCACAACTCAAGAGAGAGTGGGGGTGGAGCCCCTGAGTCGATGGAGTTGTGGGAGAAACCCTAAAATGAACTAGGCTGGATGTAAAATGCTGCCGAGTAGTAACACAGATGGATCGTTTGCGAGTGGAGATAACTGCAGCTCATTTTGGGGGATTAAGACGATATGAATTTGATATGTCTTTGCAAGAGCACACCATGGACTTTGCACCTGTTTACTGAAAGGAGGATGCTCTTCAGTCACTCTAATAGCATTTTTTTTCCCCTGACTGGTCAGTGGTTGAAGTCAGGGGTTTCATTTAAGTGTATATAATTGCTGATGCCTGTACAAAAAACACTGATAAAGAGGAGGCGGCTGGAGGAAGGAGATGATTAGCAGCAGGTGATGTTCAAATGCGACGTTTAGAAACACATCGGGAAAGAATTTCAACGTTAAGTTTTTTTAAAACGTGTTTTGCACAGGTTATATCTAATGCAGGGCAACGATGGGATTGGAGGGAATGGAAATTATTGCCATTGCTGTTGTTATTGGACTGTTTATTGTTGTGCTCAAACAGTTTGGGATTTGGGAGCCCTTGTCGTTGGAAGGTAAGACATGAAGAGCAAGTCTGGAGAAAATAATATTGTAGGTTTAAACTTTTGTATTCTGTTTAAGAGTAATACTGTTAAACATTCTTGTCATTTGATTTTGTTGTATGTAATAGCAAAGCTAAAGTTATGAGTATATAATTGTAGTCACACAAACAAGCTGTAAAATATTAAAGGATAGGTTTACATTTCTTCAAGTGAAAAACACTCACATGTCCCCCATCGTTTACATCAGAAATGTGTTAGGAGGGGATCTCCTCACGGCCTGTATGAACCTTTACAGTGAGCAAAATATTTTTCAATGTACACAATGGCATGTAAGTGCTGTTTTTAAAAAAAAAAAAACAAAAAAAAAACAGACTTGACAAAATGTGAATCTGTCCTTTAATGGTGTGTTCACTGTGTTGGTAAATGTAACTTGTAGATATCAAGCCAAATATTTTAACAGTCCTGCGACTTTCTTCTTCCCCTCTGATTTCTTCATCGCCTCTCCTCAATCCCTCCCTTGTCTTTTTCAACTTTCTGTGCGTGTTGCTCTTGTAAAGACGGTGAGTACCTGCAGTGGTAGTTTCATTTTATCCCAGCGCTGGCTCACTGGGAGTTAGTGACACATGTGCTTTCATTGCAAGTCAGATGCTCTGTCTAAAATCCCTATTCGATCCCTGCATTTGCTTTGTGCCATTTTATGCAAGTGCCAGACTGACAGTTTTTGTGAAATCTATGCTCTGTTTATACAATAGTGACCTCAGAAATGCCCACAATAGCTAAAAGAAAAGAATTAGCATGTATATCTGCTTATTTCCATCCTATTTCCTTTGCAGTTCTAGAAGTTCCTCTTACTATACGTTTTCTCACTTTTCTGTAAAAAAAAAAAAAAATCTCTACACCTTTCTTTCTGTCTCATCTTCTTGTATCTAATACTGAACATTCTTCTTACCATCCTTTATCTTCTACCCATTTCCTTGTCTCACCTTCCCTTTTCTAACCTCTCAATTTTATACTTTATTTTGTCTGAAGATGGTGAGCATTTTGAGTTACGTGCAGTCATTTTAATTTTTCGCCTACCATCTATTTGATTTTCTAGTGTTCGATTCCTCCCCTGCCCTTCCCTTTTTTTTTTTTTATTTCTTTCTTGTCTTACCTCTGTTTCCTCCCTCTTTTCTCCCTCCCCTCTGTTTCCCACCTCCCCCGACTTCTCTGTTTCCCCTCTGACAGACAGCAGTGACGGTGACCTTGAACTCTCCATGGTGCGACACCAACCTGAGGGCCTTGACCAGCTCCAAGCCCAGACCCAGTTCACCAGGAAGGAGCTCCAGTCGCTTTATAGAGGCTTCAAAAATGTATGAAAACAGTCAGAGGAATGGCCGGGATTCCTCACACCCACCTTCTCACCTGTTCCCCAGTCACTCATTAGCTCCTTAGGAGCCTATATGTCCTGGTCCACCTCCACTTTCCCCCTGCCAGATTCTCTGTTGTGTCATTCCTGCTGTTGTTTTCAGCCTTGTTGCCCGTTTTACCTCCTGCCTGTTTTTGGACTTGCACTACTGAGCCAAGTTTCGGTTTATTGTTTATATATTTTGTGTTTTACCAACACATGCTCGAGCGTGGGGGTGACGTTATACATGCTTTTGCTAAGTGCAGATGCAGGTAATGCATATTGACAGTTATTGGCTGTAATGCGCCTTTAAAGGTTGCAAAGTGCCATTAAAGAGGAGAGGAAGAAGACCACAAGCTGAAGTAAACAAAACTGCAACATTAAAAATGCTTTGCTTTGGTGTAAACAAAACTAATTGTTTCAAATGAAATATCTTTTTCACAGCAGATATTTGTCATAGCAGGAGAAGCACATGTGCAATTAATAGGATTTTGAATGAGGGTTACTGGGAAACTTCAGCTAAACAGATCTGTATTTAATATTATTACTTCCACCTATATTTTTGCTGCTATGTCTATAATAAAAGTAAAGAAAGCAGTTTATTTCAATTATCAGTAAAATCAGATGCTTCACGTTCTTTGGTTGTAATGAAAACCTGACTTGCATTTGCATAGGTTGTATTTAAGAGGAAACACAACATCTCACTGAAAGCAAATATTTAGCTTGTGACTCATCATTTTGGCCTGTGATGTTAGGAATATTCCCACTGGTGTTGGTGGCAGACCAAGAGCAGCGGGTGGAAAAACATGTCATTTCAAGAGATTTTAGCAGCTTCTCCAGCTCCCTTTTTTCCCCTGTGCTCTTGTTGTACTGATACTGAACTGTTTCCCCTTCTTTGCATCTCTTGCATTTTCCCTTGACCTGAACCAAAACGTGAAGACACTCTCACAGCAGCTTAAACACAGTAATTCTGTGTAACTGCTTTCTTTGGATTGATGAAAAGCTTGAAAGGCCTCAGAGAAAATCTTCTCAATTCGCTGTTGCTACTGGATATCCTGCTCTCCTCACCCTCTAGTGACCATTTCCTTGCACTGCAGTCAGGGATCACGTCTGCACACTACAACACCATTTTAAAATCTCTTTTTAAAAAAATAACAATGGAGCAGAGAGTAGGTTAATCATCAAGAAACACTTTGTTGAGCTGCTTCCCATAATACAGAAGAATTAAATGTGCATGTGTATATTCAGTATAATCTTGTCATTAAGTTTCAACATAATTGCATTGTGCTGTGCTGCATCCTGTTGTGTGAAACTGCTGGTGAGTACAGAAAAGATAAAAGGAGCTACAAAAAAATATTTTTTTTTACCCTTCAATAGGAATGTCCCAGCGGACTCGTGGATGAAGAAACATTCAAGACCATTTACTCACAGTTCTTCCCTCAAGGAGGTACAGTCTGAAATGTAAACTATAAACCTATGAAAGATTGACCTGATAGATTGTGAAACAAGCAAAGTTAGTCATGGTTGCAATGAATAATTGGGTTTTGCAAGAGTGTCACAATTAGCCAACAACGTTTCATGTTCATTTTCAACCCTGTATGTCCATTATTTGTCCTCAGATGCGACCACATATGCACATTTCCTGTTCAACGCGTTTGACATGGACAGAAGTGGCTCTATCCGCTTTGAGGTGAGTTGACAGAGGTCTGCATATCTCTTATCTTATTTCCTGTGGTCGGTAATCAAGTGTGACGTGTATTTGGTTTTAGTTTAAAGTAGGATGCAATGATTTTTGTTTTACAGGATTTTGTGTTAGGATTGTCTGTGTTGCTTAGAGGCTCTGTTACAGAGAAACTCCGATGGGCGTTTAATCTGTACGATATCAACAAGGATGGCTACATTACAAAAGAGGTAGGTAGGAGGTAATCTCATAAGAGAAATATATCAAAATCTGTTGCAGTGTCATGATTTCTACAGATGTAAATCTGAGTGGGTTTTGTTGCTATTTTTAATTTTCTATAGGAAATGTTGGCAATAATGACGTCCATTTATGACATGATGGGCAGGTATACCTCACCCAGTGTACGAGAGGAATCCCCCTTTGAGCATGTGGAGAAATTCTTCCAGGTGTGTTATCTCTGACGCCACTAAACGACACGGTCTAATCCTTGGCATCTAAATAGATGTTATTGCATCCAGATATTGTACTGATCCAAGACCACAACCTGTGTTACTGTACACAGTCATTACAATAGTGTCACAAATTTGTTGCAGGAACAAAAAAAACAAACCTAACTAAAATGCACAGGTCAAGAAATATAATATCACAAGGTGCAGAACAGCATCTGTTTTAACACACTGCAAATGTAAATGCGCGTCAGTCTGTCTCGTAACAATGTTATTTGCACGTCTGGTGACAGGGTGAAAGTTGGTTTTTAGTACACTGCATCACAAGCAGTGGACAAAGGTCAATAATCTCTAAACTGTTCAACACACAATCAAAAACCTTGTGTTCACACATTCCTTCAGTCCAGCTGAATCTCCTGAAACACCTTCACTACACAGATTTCTTTTTTTGTCCTAAATCTACTTTCGGACACCGGACTGTATCTTTGGGTTTTGTGAAAAAAAAAATACAAACTATAAACCTAAAACTGCACCTACACTTTGGATGTGGCATCTCCAGATTCTCAAATCAAAGAATCTGAAGACCAAACTTCTTCCAAACCCACAGTTTGTCACTGTGATTTCATGACACACTTTTAAACCTTAGATGAATATCCTTCAGAGTTACTGTTCATGAAGTATTTTACTCATTTACTTTCCTACTTGACTAAACATGAAGTCTCTCTCCTTTACATGTCTGACATTTTTCAGAAAATGGATCGTAACAGAGATGGAGTGGTGACTATAGATGAGTTTATAGAAACCTGCCAAAAGGTAAACCAGTAATAAAAGTGTCTAATATGGTCAAACTGCACAGATTGACTGTTCACTGTTGCTTTTTGCACAACACCACATGTAGCCTATTACTTGGATCTTTTGTTCATTTTCTCGACAGGATGAAAGTATAATGGCTTCCATGCAGCTCTTTGAGAACGTCATCTAGTTTCTTTAGACGGATGTGGATCAGCAATGCTGCATAGCGCTCCCAGCTGAAACAACTCCTTTCATCCTGAAAAGGAATTCAAACTGTTCTATGCAGAGAAATGTGCAGAATTCACCAAATCACTTGGAGAAATGTTTCTTTGCATGACAGTTTTAATCTTCTTTTTGCACATGAAGCGAATGTGGAAAATTAAAAACTTCATCGTTGCCAGATGAGCATGTGTTTGCCCAACAAATCAAAGCATGTGATGCAAACCACATTGAACACAAACAGGAGGTTTTATTGTTGACCACTCTGAAACTCGGGCATAAGTGGGATGATACTTTGTTACTGTACTATACTGTAAAGAAAATAATTATGTTTCTAAGTTCCTCAGATGTTTGTGTAAACATGATACCTCGTCATTGTCATGTTGACCCAAAACCTGCTGAAATAAATGTCTACCTTCACCAACTGTTAACTCTATTTTCTTTTTTATGTCTTAAGTTCCTCACAGAGACCAAAAATAAGTCTGAGGTGTGTGTCCTTTCCACATGTGCAGGTTTTAACTTGTTTGTATCTTTTGCTAATTTTCACATGGACAGCACAAAAAGGCTTGGGTGTGTCCACTTTCAAAATAAAATACAGAAATGTAAGGGTCTAGCAAATGGTTGCATCAAGAGTGTTGCATTGTATTTCAGGCTGTGGATCTGTAAAGCTGCAAAAAAAAAAAAAAAAAAAGAAAAAGCCATGAAGCAAAGTTGTGTGTAACTGGCTACTTGCAGCCAGTTACATAGATGTTTCACTGTGTTTAAACCATCGCTTGAGTTAAACTGAACAAAACTACAGTGTCCAAAGTGTGCCCTCAGGAGGATCCTCTAAACCCATGACACAAAGCAAAAAATTCCTAGTGCTTTGATTTCGCATGATGGAATCTTTTCCAGTTTTTAGCAATTTGACCAGTCTCCTATTTCTGAACAATCATCTCTCTTATTCTACATCCTGTGGTCTCTTTTATTTCTTTGCATCACAGTCTTGATATGACACACGAAAAAAGAAAAAAGTCCAGATTATTAAAGGCTGCTGTTTCTGCCAGCTGTGTTGTTCATTTTATTCTCTGTACATTCTCTGTTCAGTTTCCTGCTCTGTCTTTGTTCGGCACGATTAATCATTCAATTTATTCACAAAAGCTTGTTCTGATTGGTGAATATAGTCTTGCTCCTCTGGACCAAATATCTTTAACATCTCGATCCACAGACGGCAACACAGCAAAAAGAATAAAATCAACCATCAGTGCTTTTTAATCAAAGAAACCATAAGACTCGACACTCAATATAATGACACAAACATATTACCTCTTACAGTCTATTAGTATATCGGCAGTAGGTTAAAAAAATTAACTTTTCATTTTTTAAATAAATTTTAGTTGTGGATGAAAACTTTGGATATAACACAGTACCACCACATCATTACATCAATTTTTATTCGGATGCAAAAGTGAAATTTGGCTGCTAAAGAAGATGCCAATATTATTCCTCTAAGAGCTTCCACTATATGAGATGTTGAGAAACTGACTGTAATAGTCAATAGATTTGGATGGTAGTTCCATTTAAAAACCCATATAATCACATATGAATGCAAGTGCATGTTTGACTCAAGAAAACTCTCAAACTGGTATCCAAATCACAGATTTTAGATATCTGGTTGAATCAGTACATTTATTGTTAATCCTGAAGAAAAGAACCACAAAATAAAAGCAATAATGCAAATTAAACCTAAAAACAATTATTCTTCGGTTAAACTTGCAGGTTGACCCCCCTCTTTCTACAGGTCAGCCTTTCATCTGGAGGGTCAAATAAAATGAATGGCCACTGGTTAAAGTTAAAGAAACCAATAGTTCCCTTTGACACTGTTGAGCATTATAATCATGCAGGCAAAAACATGTAAGCTTTTAGTGAATAAAATGAAGCCTACAAACATATAGGTGGGAGCTACAGACCTTTGATAGTGATGCATTTGTTTTTGTACTAGCCTTTGCATTTGCTGAATAATGAGATGAAACTAGGTCTCACAGTTGTATGTGAAACGCCACCATCATCAAAAATCATTGAACCTGCACTGTATTATTGATCATGAACCAATAGCACCGCAGGGTTTGTTTTGGGGAGGAGCTGCGCTGACTCTGTTGAGTGGATGTTGGTATGGAAATGATACTGAAAAGCAACATGCAGCTCTGCTGTACTGCAGGTGTTGTGGTTTGAAAAGGGACTGCCACTCCAGCATCACAACTTCTTGCTCTGACCAGTCAGAAAGGTAAATAAAAATATTCAACTAATATTCTTTGCATTTTCATGTTTTCAACTGCAGGATGGTTTTGAATCAAATCAGTAATCTACATTTTTAATTAAAACTTTTTACCTAAATTTTATGCATAATTTCTTTTCAGGCAAATTACAATGATGTACACAAACTGCAAATCTACACCCTTCGATACTATATCACTGATATGTTTTTATAACAACCTATGGTATGGTAAATATGGTATAATGGTATATAATGTATAGTGCTAGTCAGAGCCAGGAAAAGCAAATGCATCATGATAGAGTGAAATATGCATCACACACATAATGCCTGGCTAATCCCAGTGTTGACAGAGCATGTGGATTGTTCTGGATGTCTGTTGTGTTAGTGCTGGAGAGCATGTGACTTTGGATGTGCAGTGAACTAAATCAAAGGCTTTAATGCCAGTTTGAATGACAGCCAAGAGACTTTACTCACTCCTCTCTCTTTGTCTCTCAGATAAATAAATATACTGCATGAAAAGAAAAAAGAAAGAGCAATATTCTTATATAATCAGTTTTAGTGAGAATAAAAAGTCCAGGTTATTTGCCCTCAGCCTGCATGCGTCTCTTTTAGATTAATACTTGTTGATGTGTTTTTGCATGGTGCAGATTTCCAGTGATGGCTGGCCAGCAGAAGCTTCTCTCACTGTGGGTTTGGCTGCTGCTTATGGCAGCACTGTTCCCGGGTGCACAGTACGTGTACAGTAAGCGTGGAGGCTTCAAGGGTCGAGGAAAAGGTGACAGTAACAAAGTGCCTCCCTCCCAGAGCGGAGGCCTCTCCAAGCATGGTCTGAAGTGGGCCGGAGCAGCAGCGGCCGGCATGCTGGGGGGCACAGGCACTGGCTACGGGCTGGGCTTCCTCGGTAGGCCCAAGCATGGTTCTGGGAATCATAACAGCCATAAAACTAGCTCCTCTGAGCAAGATCAACGGCTTTACTACAATGAGCGCCAAGCATATCAAAACCGGTCTCTGTGGAGAGCCCTGGTTAGCACGGCTGCCCCTGCTCCCATGAGTAACATCTTTCTCACATTTGGACATGTGGTGTCTTTCCTTATAGCAGCCTGGATCAGAGACATTTGATCTAACCTCTGATGACTGGGCTGAATCATCAAATCAAATCAAATCAAATCAAAATCAAATCAAATAAAAGCTCCTTTGAATAAATTATCTTTCCTGTCCTTTCTTGTTGAACATGGGATAATTATGTTTGTCCATGTTTTAACTCTAAGCTTTATATGATTGGAAAACTTTAGCTACCATTTAGGACACTGAGGTCATGTCTGTAGTCATGTTACTTCAGGACTTTTCAGGAGAGAAAATATACTAATTTAAAGTCACAGAAAAGCAGCTAATTTTCCCATTTGAGAAGCTGGAACCATCAAATGTTTGTGATGAAAAAACACTTAAAACTATTGTTTTTAATTATATAAAATTGTCTGTCAGTCAGCTAATTGCTGCAGCTCATTCTGACCTTTTCTTTATTCAACAAAATATATCAAACTACTCAATGCATCGTTGTTAAATAAAAAGCCAAATATGTAAAGTTAAAAAAGTTTCATGATCCAGAAACTGCAAATGGCCTATAAAACAGAATAGCAGAAACTTTGCCATCAAAATAGTGGATGAGAGATGAACTGCAAGTAACTGCAAGTAACGGCGAGCAAGATCATAAATGCGAACATGTGACAGTGTTTGTGAAATTATATTATTTAGGGAGAGAAGCCTTTATTTCATTATTTATTTTATTCAACACATAAACATTCATGACAGACCATATTAAATCATATTAGTCTTGTTATTTGATGTGTAAAATGTTTATAATGGTCAAAACCAGAAAATTCACACAGGTGTTTATACTCCCTGTGTGATGCAGTTACAGAATATCCAGTCCTAAAGGGAAATAAGTGCACTTTACAGATATTCAACATCCTAAATAGTATGAAAATGCCAAATTGTTCACTGAATTCACTTTACCAGAATTTAAAAAAAAAGAAAAGGAAAACACCCTGGGTGGAGTATGGAAACCAGTAAACTGGAAGGACGGAAATTTGACGTAGGACTGGCTGGGTAAGAACAAAATAAAGCGTCATCACAATAAAAGGGTTCGTACGATCACTTCCAGATATACTGTACAGTATACTTTGCAAGTATTTGAACAGCACAACACTTGACTCTTCATTTTGGTTTAACATATACAGTAAGTTATAACATACTAAATATTGTGTGTGTGAAGAACTTTATAAAATGCAGACTTAACTGAATACACTATGCCCAAACAGCAGACTGAAATGAACAGTAACATTTTTTTCTTTAAACTTAACATTTACTTGGGTGAAATCCCTTGAAATGGCAATACTGGCCTGCAAACTTTAAGTAGCATTTTTCAAAACACAGCTACCAAGTGCTTTACAAAACCTAAAGGGAATGAATGCATTAGATAAAGGAAAACAAGCTGGAATAGTAAAATAACCACAAACACAAGGAAACACAGTATCACAGCAGTGAACAATACCAAACACAACTGTCAAAAAGGAGCGCTCTTATTGGAGAGAGATGCATCATGACAGCCAACAGAGGCTAAAGTTTGGGAAATGCAAACAGAGGTATTTACAGACCCACCAACATCTGAACCATGACTATCTCACTATGCTGCAGGAAGACGATGAGATGCAGAGATGCCCTGATCAGATCAGGCCCGGAAAGTCTGGAAAGTTTGAGTGTCCCTGGAGACTAACGAGTATGCCTGGACACATGAACATGAAACCAAGGTTGGACCAAGATATGTGAACAAGGCTCCGAACCAAGACAGCAATATCCATGTACAGTGTGTACATCCTCTGTGTTGCTTCTTCCACTGTTTCCAGGCAATATTAAGCCAGTGCCAGGACTTCCAGTTTCGCTGTTAACCTTGTCTGACTGTGGATGTAATGAGTTAAGTCACGGTACAAAGATATAGATTAGTGAATTGTTGTGGACCTCCTCTGTTCAAGACCCCAGTCAAATCCAAGCTCTCAGCAAGATAGCGCTGCACAGAGTAAAAGCATCAGACGCCATCAACAACAAATGCATCTACTATTCTCAACAGCTGCAGGCATGGTGGCGGCAACACTAATAACATCTTGCTGCACATCTAAAGGCGTGCATGGACTGAAGCCTCCTTTCTGTTGAAAGCTATTAGATGCAGGATTTTACAGGCAGCTGAACAACAAAATAATGTGTGAGTAGCATGTACCTGAGAGAGACTAGGCCTATTCTTAATGTGAGGATGTCCTCACCCTTACTTTAATTTCTATCACACAAGTGTTTAAAGGTGCTAGATGTGAGTTTTCTCTGCCACCGAATGTGGTTTCTTGCCAGGAGCGAGTTCTGGTGATAGTGGTGATAATGATCACTTGCCAAGAGCTTCAGCGATTGTTGTGTTTACAAGTTAAGAGCTTAGAATACGCCCTCTGAGCCGCACTACTTCTTCATCCTCTCATGCTGAATGGGAGAAGACTGGACACGACGGTGACTCGCTATCGCAAAGTATTGCAAGATAGCTGTTTAGCAGTAGACAAAAGAAATGATAGAAATGGGCTCAAAACATGAGTTAACATTGGTGAAGCTTTCCACCGCTCTTGGCGAGTACAGGAAAAAAAGTCCGTAAATAAACAACTGTCAATGCTAACGTTGGCTATGTAGCGATAGAAAAAACTTAAATATTGCACCTTTAACTATTTATTGTGTGATTAAAAAAAACATCTGTCCATGGGAAAATCGTCAGTTCTGCAAAAGATAGCCTTCAATATCTACCAGTGCATTTGAATGATGTTTACAAATTTGGGGGACATGTGGTAAGTATGACTTAATAATGACTTCCAAGGAATCCCTCTAGGTTTTATCATTTTGCCATATGTAAACACCATTTGGGCACATGTTTGTACCAAACTGTGCACATAGCCAGTCTTGCGACCTTGTAAAGGTTTCGTCTTGGCCATCTGACAACAATGCAGAGCCAAACATTAAACCTAATCACTCCTAATGGATGTGGTGAAAAACCCTGGCAGACCACATTGTGGAATTATCTCAAATTTTGTTCCCACTGCCAAATTATTATTATTTCTTCTTTGAATCTAATGAACTTTTCCTTTTGATATTTCGGCATATTTCACCAATTGAAAAGTCTGTATGTTTAATTGTCCAGTACAGATGAAAGCATGAATTGATGACCTGCACATATATAAAACTCTTAATGTCACATGCTTATTTTACACAGCAGATATATTGTCATAATAAATTGTCACAAAAATTGAACTTAAATTCCCTGAATCCGTTTTCTATGCATTCAGTGCTCAAAGTGCAAAATTAATTGTTGGAGAGAAACTGACAGAAAAAATAAGTGCAGCTTGTACAACACAAAAAACTGATGACCGAACTGTGAGATTTTAACATGACTGCTGTCCCGTAAAATGTACTCGTTATTTATACATGGAAATTTTGTTATCTTCTGATCGTTTTCTGCGGTGATAATAAATGGTTGACTAAGTATAACCCAAGCAACTTGTAAGTGTACAGCTATGCTTTGCAATGTAGAGATAATATCCATTAGCAGACTGTGGACGTGCAGGTATAATGAATTAGAAACCTATTTGGGGTATGGTTAAAGGAAGGCTATTTGTTTTCACTGGAGCAGGAGCATGCTGGAAAGTAGCATGAAGAGGGAGGTGAAAAGTTGGATCACCCCGTGGTTCAGAGGGCTGCTCCGACTGTGCTGCAATTGCTCAGGTTTTCGTTCCTGTAGAAAGCGCTCAGAATAAACCATGTACTGCTCAACACAGCGCCGGGCCTTCACTTGCTCAATTAGTGCTGGGTATCCAATCTCCTCAATGCTGACAGTGTCATCATCCTCCTCATCACCTCCACTCTTAGGAGTGGAGGAGCTGCTGCCCTGATCTTTCGGAGGGGCAGTGCTATTCATACACCGGTCCATGAAGTTATCGTAGGTCTCTGCCCGTGGTGGAGGGTTGTAGACATAATCACGGCCAAAATCTTTTTCATCTGTGGAGTGGGAGCCATAACGGCGGTACATGTAGTTGTTGTAATAGTACTCCTCTTCAGGGTTGCGGAAACCGAAATGTGGTCGAGGGAAGCGCCCGAGTCCATAGCCAACAGCCATCCCAGCTACAGCACCAACACCCGCAGCCACTATGGCTTTTTTGGCAAAACTACTTGACTTGGGCTTGTATCCCATATTCTGCACAGAACGAGAGAAAGGAGACCCTCCCATCCCATTACCACCATATCCATAGCCTCCTCCACCAAAGCGGGGACTGAGGATCTTATTATTTGGGTTCCAGTTGGGGTAACCACCAACTGCTCCACCAGGGTAACCTCCTGGATTTGAACCAGGTACACCCCAACCCTGTCCTGTATTACCCCCTCTGACTGGGTAACCGCCAGCCGCTGGATACTGGTATGGGTAGCCGCCTGGGTTGATACCTCCCCTGCCTGGGCTTTGGTTAGGATAGCCACCTGCTGCTGGGTAGCCCCCAGCAGCTGGGTAGCCTCCTGCAGCAGGGTACTGGTTAGGGTATCCTCCCTGGTTGGTACCAGCTCTGCCTGGGTATTGGTTGGGATAGCCACCTGCTGCTGGGTAGCCCCCACCGGGTGAATACTGGTTAGGATACCCTCCAGCTGGGTTTCCACCTGCAGCGGGATAGCCACCTGCAGGGTTCTGGTTTGGATAACCTCCAGGATTGGCTCTGCCAGGATACTGGTTGGGATAACCACCTGCTGCTGGATAGCCCCCACCGGGTGAATACTGGTTAGGATACCCTCCAGCGGCTGGGTTTCCACCTGCAGCGGGATAGCCACCTGCAGGATTCTGGTTTGGATAACCTCCAGGATTGGCTCTGCCAGGATGCTGGTTGGGGTTACTACCAGCTCCTGGATAACTTGCTGGGTTTTGTCTGGGATATCCTCCTGAATTAGTGCCTGTTCCAGGATAAGGGTAACTTCCACCAGAAGGGTATGGATTGGTGTTTCGATTGGGACTCTGTGGCTGTCTGGGGTAGCTTCCTGGCTGAGACTGAGATGGTTTTGACTGTGTCCCACCCTTGCTGCTGGTAGACGATGTTTTCTTGCTGCTGCTGCTGCTTCTTTTAGCCCATGTGGAATCAGTGCTCAGGAGACACATAATAAGAAGGGACAGAACAGCCAACTCGCACAACCTCCCCATCTTGTCCCTACAGATAATGATCATAAAAACAATACAACACTATAAAAACAACATTGGTTTCCTTGTTGTTTTCCTATAGCATGACATGCAAAATAGCCTAGCCTTACCTTTTCATTTAATAATGATCAACATGGGCCACAAAATATTATTATATACCCATTTATAATCTTCTAAAGTCCATATAGTATAAAACAGTCTTATTCAATCCTTCAAAATGAGTATCCTACTCAAAGATATCCAGTTAGAACTCACAGCATTGTTCTCTCATCATTTGGTTAATCAAAAAAATTATTAATTAATTAAATCGACATTCCAGCCGTAACCACAAAGAGTGAACGAAGATATATTTTATCTTTACATCAGTGAGTGACAACCGTTGCATCACTAACACCCTGCTCGCCTAGTTAAACCAATAACGCTAAATGAGTACATAATAACGGACATGTGTGCCGCGCTTCGTTCTCTCGTCAAGCCATCCCACAAAGACAAATAACATCATCAGTAAATATGAATCAATTTGCCGTTATTTCTTACCGTGGGGTGATGGTTTATCTGTATGAGTCGAGTATATTTCGGTTATAGGCTACTGCGTTGTTGTGCTCTCTCACTCTCTCTCTCTCCTTCAGTTCTGTGCTCTAGCTCGGGCTGGGTCTGTCCGGATGGGGTGCGCTCGTTTTGATACACAGCAAGTAGGCTACGCTGTAGAGTGGAGGTGGGAAAACTACTTGATGTTTACCTTTTTTTTTTTTTTAACTTACCACTTATCACCCAGTGCTATCACTAGTCCTTCTTGGATGTGGGGCAGCACAACGGTGCTGTAAACGCTCCGTGTAGGCTATAAAATGTCAGAAAATATTGGAAAATGCCCATCATTGTTTCGTGAATTGAACATATCCCGACCAACAGGCAAAAGCCCAAAGATGTTGAGTTCAGTGTCATATAAAATAAAACAAGGGGAAAACAACAAATATTCACATTTGAAAAGCCGGAGAAATTACTTTAACAATTAATCAGTTATCAAAATAATTGCAAATTAATTTCTTGTCAGTCGACTAGTAAACTAATCAACAGTCGTTCGCCCTGGGGCCTTCTGGGGGGTTAATGCACCTTATTAGAGGTAGGCTAAATTGTGCTAACGATGCCTCCGTTCGACCGGTACATCCGTGTTTCTAGAACAAGCGCACACCCGAAGCTTGCGCAGTTCAGTGGATCTGGGATCTCAGCAGGTCTGGGATCAGAAAGTATGTCAGGTCTGCGAGCGGCTCTTTCATTGGATTATATCGGCTGGCCGTGACGTCAAGCTTGTAAACTGTACAGTACCCGTATGTACTCGCAGCTCGCTGTCCGGGACACGGTGGAAACATGTCGGGAATGAGAGAGCTCAGTGGGGGAACTGCGTTTCTGATAGGCACACCCGAGACCTAAACAGCACGGTAAATAGTCAGGACGGAGGGTGGCGTTTTTATGCGAGGTTAGAGCAACTGCCTGGGGCTGCGTTACTATTTCACGGAAGCGAGCCAGTCGGTGTCGAATGGACGGATAGAGACCAACTGCCGGGGCTTGACACGAAGAAGTAGCCTAGCAGGTAGGCGGCCGGGTCGGGGGAAAGAGAGGAGGAACAGCGTGAGCGGGCTCAAATCAAGACGGGGCCGCTCTTAACCGGGGGATGTTATCCGTACTGTCTTATGGCAGACTGGTAGCCAGGGCTGTCCTGGGCGGACTCTCTCAGACGGACGGTCGGGACTACAGCCTGATCACCGCCAGCTATGGCTACGGTAAAGACTTTCGCAAGGGGATCCTGAAGAAAGGGATGTGCTATGGGGACGATGCCTGCTTCATAGCGCGGCACAGGACCGCCGATGTGTTGGGTAAGCTCTCCGACATATAAAACACTGTAACTGCCTTGCTGATGCGTGTTAGACACCCTCTGTGCTCGGGTGACCTTCAGTGAGCTAGCCTAACACGTGTACCGACCACTCGGATGAAAACACAACAGCCCCCACCCCTTTGCAAAAACAGAGCCATTACTTTTCACCCTCTTTTACAGAGGTTATGTCAGTTTAACATAAAACAGGGCGGATGCTTACAATAGATCAGCCAGTGCATTACACCTCCAACTGTGTCATTTAATGCATTAATTGTGATTGTGTGGTGTTTTGAGGTGAAACACCAAATGACCTTTCACCTAGATGAGCTCAAACTGCAGAATACATGGCGGCAGGGCGAGATATTGAACACATTAAATCAGGAGATGGAGATTTTCACCGTTAAAGGTGGACAGGGCTGAAAGAGACCTTTTTACAACATCTCAGACTGAACACTACAATGTCTTGCAAAGGTCAGAATGGTTGAGCATGGAGGCAGCCATATTGCTAATACCGTCGGTAGCCTCCTAGCTTAGCTGAGTGTAATTGCTTTGTCCTCACTGCTCAGCTGACATGAGGAACAGCGAAATGCTCGACTAACCACGTGCCGTGTCGACACTTAAAAATAAGTGTTTTATGATTTTTCACGCAATGTACAGTCCTAAATGTTTGGGCTGATGATATGAAGTAAAAATAGCCACCTCTGAGGAACAAAATCCCCCTCAGGACTTCACGTGTTTACACATGGCCCGCAGAAATAACGTGGTGGGGGTGGTGAAGTCTACTAAACTATCAAGACAGCTATAAAAAAAAAACTTGGCTTTTGGCCCGGGTAACAGAAATGGATGGTGGTCCTTTTGTCCATAAGCACAGAGGGGGGTGAAGATTCCCAAGCTGCATTATATATTTTCACTTTCTTATTTGAGGGGATTTCACCAAAAGAAATTGGTACTAATGTGGGTCTGTGATTTGTATTTGTTTTATATTCCTCACAGGGCATGGAAACACTACTTGTTAACAGTATTGGTGTTTTCAAATATCATACAATATCTTGTTCTGTCTGTGTTGAAAGTGACATCTGAAAAAAAGTGGGCTTTGACATTAAATGTTACAGCATATTATTGCTTTTAGAAGCATTTTCTGCGTTTTAGCTTTTCCAGTAATTCCCATTCAAAAGAAGTCAACAAAAGCTTTTTTCCCCCCAAAGTTTTTTTGAATGTTTGATGGTACAGAGCTATATCTCAGTTAGATGATTGTTTCTTCTTGCCATCTTCTCTATAGCTCTGGAGTGGGATATAATGCACTTAGCAGATATCCAGTAACGTCATCCAGTATCATCCCGATGCATACTGATCACTTCAGAATACAGTTAAGATTCACCTCAGTGTGTTTAACTCATGGTGAGGCACAGATCATAGAGTTGGGTGCTGACAAAAATACGAACTTAAATAGATTCAGTTAGCAGTGAAATTTCAGGACAAGAGAGTATGTTTGCAGGTATTTATGAGGTAAACTATACTACACAGTTTGTTGAATTGTGAGAATATTCAGGAGGTATATTACCTGTGTAACAGTCAATATTTTTACAGCAGAGGTTAGGGTACAGATTTAACAGCAGTAACAATGAAACATGTGACCCACTCATGAATCCACACATTCACGTTTAGCAGTTTGACAAATGTCTGCAAGAGGAACCATTGAAAATTACCATAGCAATGCCACTGACAGGAAAGGAAAGAACTAGCAGCAGCAGTATAGACCTGTAGATATACACTAGACATGTTGATGTTGCCTTCTACAGACAAAGTACAAGCCACGGCAGTCAAAATATTACAAAATAGCAGATCCTTACATTTGCTAACCTGGAACCAGACTGTGTTTGGCACTTTTGCTTGAAAAATTAATTTTCTGTTGACTGACTAATTGGTTCAACTAAGAACTGTACAGCAGCTAAATACTGGTTATCACTTAGTACGACAAAAATGCTAGCATTAGTTTGAGGGGTGTGTGAGCACCAAAACAGTGATAAGATTAAAATTTTTATTCCCATTTTGTCCATCAGGTGTAGCAGATGGCGTCGGTGGTTGGCGCGATTATGGTGTTGACCCGTCTCAGTTCTCTGCCACCTTAATGAGAACCTGTGAGCGACTGGTGAAGGAGGGACGCTTCACTCCCAGTTATCCAGTGGGCATCCTGACCTCTGGCTACTACGAGCTTCTACAGAACAAAGTTCCCCTGCTAGGTGAGTACACACACTCTCTCTCTCACACACACACACACACACAGACACACACACAGATACACACCCACAATATGTTATGGTACACAGTCTGTGGTAGAGTGAGTCATGCTTCCCATGTGAACAGCCATACTCTGAGAATTAAATAACATAGCTGCAGGATGAGTCAGTCTGTGAGTAGCCTTGCTTAGAGAGTTGCATAACATGTTACTATAAGTCAAGACAGAACTTATCTCCTTTTTAAAATGCATGTCAAAATGTCTTTCACTAAGTTGACTGAAAGTGCATCAAGGATAGAGGAAGGGGTTTTATTTGTTTGTTTTCTTTTTTTTTTAACATACATATGCGCAAAGAATTGCAGTTTCACAAAGTATAGTATTTTGCTCGGTATTCACATATTATTAACACGAGGATTGTTGGTTGTCATTGATTTCGGCTTAGACCTTCATCCCACTGAGTGATGTAATATCCATGAGGTAACCAACTAACTTGATCAGTCTGTATTTTGTTATGCCACCAGTTGAAATTTTAGACTCAGTGGCCTTGTTGGCCTCAACAGTTTTCCTTTTACGCAAGGTGAACATTTTGCCTCATACCAGAGGCCTCCAAAAGGCCAGGAGTGCATCTGTAACTGACACTGCTGGAGGACTGAACTGATTTTAAAAGCATGGCCATGTCAAACATGTGACCAAGGTCACATTTCTTCTTAGACTCAGTATCCCTGACCCACAGCCAGTGCAGACACTAAATGTTAACCTCCTCCCCCTCTCACTATGTTTGTCAAATGGTCTACTTTTATTTTAGGCAGCAGTGACAAGGTCTATGTTTGACCTTCCCTGCTCAAGGTTACTGGGCCTATTGGCTTGTAACGCTGCAGTCACTGGGGATCTGGGACAAGCAAAGAATTTGACCTGTGTGTTTTGTTTTGGTTTTTTTCTTCTCTCTCTCTCTTTTGATGGAAGAACATTTGGTAATTACATAATAATCTCACCCAGCCACAATGAAAGCATCAGATTCATCAGGGTGGTGTGCATGAAGGCGGTGATGCACTGGTTGGGCAGCATTCTCACTCTGTGAAGCGAAACACACATCCAGCCTCTACTTCTTTTTTTTCTTTTTCTTTTTTTTTTTTCTTCTTCTTTTTTTCCTAATCTTTCCAAACTGGAAATGTTAGCATTTTCTCTGTGGTGCTGCAGTATCCTCAACCCAACAAATGTTTCTTTTCCACTTCCCTCTACATATCTATAACCTTATTGTTGTTTTGCTCTCCTATTTGTAGGGAGCAGCACTGCCTGTATTGTGGTTCTGGATCGGCGGAGTCACCGGTTACACACGTGTAACCTTGGTGACTCGGGTTTCCTGGTGGTTCGGGGAGGAGAGGTGGTTCATCGCTCGGACGAGCAACAGCACTATTTTAACACACCCTTCCAGCTGTCCATCGCTCCTCCGGGAGCCGAAGGGGTGGTGCTCAGTGACAGGTCAGTAGCTCAGTGTTGCTGACATCATTATAAGTCATGTGAAGGCAATTTAAAGAATAAAA